TTGTTCTTGGTTTTGAACATTAGATCATGTTTTGATTTTCATATTGAATCTGGTTACTAGTAGATTATGCAGTCACATAGCTTTTTAGGAAATCGAGGCTTATACTTGTACTGTATGGTCTTTGTTTATATATATATATTTCTGGGTACTGATTGCTTTCAGCTAATATGGTTCAGATCTTGAAATATTGATTTCTTTCATTGGATGAGCTTTGGGTTTTTGAAGATTGAGAAATCTGTTTTTTGTTTGCTGGACAGGTTTTGGTTGTTCAGTGCGATTTAAAGACAAGTCAAGATGGTGAGTTCAGAGAATACGTTACGTTTTTCTTCTTTTGCCGGTTTTCTGTTTAGTGTTTAGTTTAAGTTTAGCTGTTTTTGTTTATTTTATATTTGTTGGATGTGTTACAGGTGAAGTTTACAGCTGAGGAACTTCGTGCTATTATGGACCGCAAGCACAACATCCGTAATATGTCTGTTATTGCCCATGTTGATCACGGTACGTTTAAATTCATGTTAATTTTCAAAGAAGCTGTTGTTAAAGATCAAACTTGTTTTAGTGAATTTGTACTTGATGATGCTGTTTATGTCAAAGTGTCATTGCAAGGTTTTTGAAAGACGTGATAGTATTATATGAGCATTTTGTTTGTATTAAAGTTATGCTAGATTAGTTACAAAATGAACTTAGTTTAGTCTGTTATGATGAAAGGTTTTTGGATCTTGATGATTGAAAGTTTTAATATGATGTATTCTCTTGTTGTAAATCGTTGATTTTGTTGTCTTCATCTCTGATTACCGTTTCTTTGATATGCAGGGAAATCGACTCGTACTGATTCTCTTGTGGCTGCTGCTGGTATCATTGCACAAGAAGTTGCTGGTGATGTTCGTATGACAGATACTCGTGCTGATGAAGCTGAGTGTGGTATCACCATCAAATCTACTGGTATCTCTCTGTATTATGAAATGTCCGATGACTCTTTGAAGAGCTACAAAGGAGAGAGACAAGGGAATGAGTACCTCATCAATCTTATTGATTCCCCTGGGCACGTTGATTTTTCGTCTGAGGTCACAGCTGCTCTTCGTATTACTGATGGTGCCCTTGTGGTTGTTGACTGTATTGAAGGTGCCTGTGTACAAACAGAGACTGTCCTCCGGCAGGCACTTGGAGAAAGAATCAGGCCTGTGTTGACTGCTAACAAGATGGACAGGTGCTTCCTTGAGCTCCAGGTTGACGGTGAGGAGGCTTACCAGACGTTCCAAAGAGTAATTGAAAATGCTAATGTCATTATGGCCACCTATGAAGATCCTCTTCTTGGTGATGTTCAAGTCTACCCAGAGAAGGAACAGTTGCTTTCTCTACTGGTTTGCATGGTTGGGCTTTTACCTTGACCAACTTTGCTATAATGTATGCCTCAAAGTTTGAAGTTGATGAGTCGAAAATGATGGAAAGACTTTGGGGTGAGAGAACTTTTTTGATCCAGCTACCAAGAAGTGGACCACCAAGAACACCGGAAGTGCTACCTGCAAGCGTGGGTTCGTTCAGTTCTGTTATGAACCCATCAAACAGATAATCAACACTTGTATGAATGACCAGAAAGATAAGCTCTGGCCCATGTTGAAAAAGCTTAATGTCACCATGAAGTCCGATGAGAAGGATTTGATGGGGAAGTCCCTAATGAAGCGTGTAATGCAGACTTGGCTTCTGGCAAGCAGTGCTCTCCTGGAAATGATGATCTTTCACCTTCCATCTCCAAGCAAGGCTCAGAGGTATGGTGTTGAGAACTTGTATGAGGGTCCACTTGATATCTATGCCAATGCTATCAGGAACTGTGATCCGGAGGGCTCTTATGCTCTATGTTTCAAAGATGATTCCCGCTTCTGATAAGGGTAGGTTCTTTGCCTTTGGTCGCGTCTTCTCTGGCAAAGTTTCAACTGGTTTGAAGTTCAGGATCATGGGTCCAAATTATGTCCCTAGTGAGAAGAAAGATTTGTATGTTAAGAGTGTACAGAGAACTTTTATTTGGATGGGAAAGAAGCAGAAAACTGTCGAGGATGTTCCTTGTGGTAACACAGTGGCCATGGTTGGGTTGGATCAGTTTATCACCAAGAATGCTACCTTGACTAATGAGAAGGAAGTTGATGCTCACCCAACTCGTGCCATGAAGTTCTCTGTCTCTCCTGTTGTCCGTGTTGCTGTTCAGTGCAAGGTTGCATCTGATCTTCCCAAACTTGTTGAAGGGCTGAAGCATTTAGCCAAGTCTGATCCTATGGTTCTGTGTACCATTGAAGAGTCGGGAGAGCACATTGTTGCAGGTGCTGGAGAACTCCACCTTGAGATCTGTCTCAAAGATCTGCAAGAAGATTTTATGGGTGGTGCTGAGATCATTAAGTCAGACCCTGTTGTGTCATTCCGTGAGACTGTCCTAGAGAGGTCTTGCAGGACAGTAATGAGCAAGTCTCCTAACAAGCACAACCGTTTGTACATGGAAGCACGACCTCTGGAGGAAGGTCTGGCCGAGGCCATTGATGACGGACGAATTGGTCCAAGAGATGATCCCAAGAATCGTTCTAAAATTTTGGCTGAGGAGTATGGTTGGGACAAAGATCTTGCTAAGAAGATATGGTGTTTTGGGCCCGAGACCACTGGTCCTAATATGGTGGTTGATATGTGTAAAGGAGTTCAGTACCTGAATGAAATAAAGGATTCTGTAGTTGCTGGATTCCAGTGGGCATCAAAAGAAGGTGCATTAGCTGAAGAGAACATGAGGGGCATATGCTTTGAAGTGTGTGATGTGGTCCTTCATGCTGATGCTATCCATAGAGGTGGTGGTCAGATCATTCCAACTGCTAGGAGGGTTTTCTATGCATCTCAGCTCACGGCCAAACAAAGGCTTCTTGAACCTGTTTACTTGGTAGAGATCCAAGCCCCTGAGCAGGCACTTGGCGGTATTTACAGTGTTCTTAACCAGAAGCGTGGACATGTCTTTGAGGAGATGCAGAGGCCCGGTACTCCGCTATACAACATCAAAGCTTACCTTCCCGTTATCGAGTCGTTCGGATTCTCTAGCACCCTGAGGGCTGCAACATCAGGACAGGCTTTCCACAATGTGTGTTTGATCACTGGGATATGATGTCGTCCGATCCATTGGAACCTGGTTCCCAGGCAGCTGCCCACGTTGCTGACATCCGCAAGAGGAAGGGATTGAAAGAACAGATGACCCCACTTTCCGAGTACGAGGACAAGCTGTAAGATAGAGGCTAAACCGAAGAGGGTACGGTATGATTCTGCCGGCCTATCTTTTTCGCTGCAACCTAGTTTTGTTTTGCTCTCTTTATGTTTTACTAGTGTTTTGCTTCTTGGGTTCCCTTCACCCACAAGACCTATCATTCAAGGTCAGGTCTTTTTGGATACTTTTCACAATGAACTCAGTATTCCACATTTTATTACTTCTGTTGGTTTGGTGCAAGTATTATTGCATCACTGGGCGTCTCCTTTGGTTGTTCATGAGTGGAGTTGAGAATCATTTTGGTCTAGCCTTGATTGAAAGTGTCATTATTATAAAAAATATTTTATTTTTATAAAAATAACATTTTGAAATTTAATGATAAAATGTTTCAAATTCCAAAATAGCTTCATTTTTATAGAACGAGCACCTAAAAGAATCATTTTTCACAGAAGTTTCTATTACCCTTCAATTATATTAAGATACTAATTAAATATTAATTAGATGCTAAGTCAATATCTAAAACCAGACATTATCTTTTTAAACAATATTTTTCGATTAATCTTCTCGTATTATCCGTTTAAATAAATATTTAACACTATCCTTTCAAACAACATATTTAACCTTTTAAACAAGAAGACTTCGATCAATCTTCTAGTATTAGTAAAACACTCAAATATCTCATAGTCAATTTAGCCTTAGGTTGGAACCAATTACATGTTAAAATTTAACTTGTTAAGAGAATAAATTTGTATTATTGAGTGAAACTTAAACGACAAAAGGTTCAACATCCATCTCGATTCGAAATTCATTAATCAAAACTTAGTTAAAGATTACATTCTAATGCATATACATAGATATTGTACAAAAAAGTGAGACACGAGAAACCCCAGTGGAAAACAAGACTAAGGCTAGCAAAATCATCGCCTGATTTGGTAAGGGCTAGGTTAATGATTCATGCTTGCCCCTGCCGCCGCTACATGGCTCCTCAACTCTTCATTCTTCTCATCCTCTTCTCTTTCCAAACTTTGCCACCTTTTCGAAATCATATCGATCGCAGTAGCATCATCGTCTGCACTTTCCATACTAGGCCTTTTATTCGAAACCGTCGGTCTCATGTCGGTATGAGGTGATTCCTTAAACTTGTTGTAAATATCGATAACGGAATCCGAACCCGGAAAGGAAAAAACTTTCCCATTCTCGGAGATGGAAACAATGGCGACTCGTGCACCGCATAGTGTCTCGAGCTCCGCAGCTTTCTTGAACAAGCTCCGTCTTCGTCTCGAGGCGGCTATGTTACTCGCTTTTTCACTGTCCATGGCCATTGAAGCAAAAGGGAAGAGAGCAAGTAGATGATACAATGTTACACAAATTTGGCCTAAGAAAATTATGTTAATCACAGGCGGTCGAATTATAGACCCGTTGGGTAATATATAGACGTATAGAATTATTATTGTTAAGTAGGACTTAAACTTTATCAAGGGAATACGAAAGTAAAAGAAGCAAAAAAAAAGGTACTTTTCCTTCTTTTTTTAAATATTCTACTAATTAATTAAAGGTAATTATTTGAATATATTTCCTATTTTCATTGTGATTTTAGGGTAGGACAGTTAAACGGAAACTAAAACTTTCCAAACCTAATAGAATTCTAGAAAGGCAAAGTCGTAAGCTTTATATATGAATGTTTATCCTCAAATTTCCTTTTATCTTAAAGCTTTACGGTTTACACCCCGAAACCCTAATTTTTATGGGGAAACTATTTAGGGTTTTCGACCTTTTTTAGTTTTCTTTAAAGCTAGTTTTGGAAGTGTTAACCATGGAAGTGCCGAGACAGAGACCAAAAGGGTGCGGTCGAAAAAAGATTGAGATCAAGAAGATAGATGACCAGAGGAAACGATGGGTGTCTTTTTCGAAACGGAAAAAGGGTTTGCTCAGCAAAGCCAGTCGGTTGTCGAAGCTGAGCGGGGAAGAGATCGGCGTCGTCATAATTTCCGAACAGGGTAGGGTTTATACCTCCGATAATGCCGATGCGGTTATTCATCGTTATCGGTCTCAAAGAGATGTCAAAGAAGGCGATGATCGTAATGAGATGGAGACGACAACGTCGGGGCTTAATACCCTAGCCTTGGCACTTGATGATATCAATGATGACGAGGAAGACTATGACAATGATGATGATGGCGGTGTTGATATTCATTGTTCGTCGTCCAAAAGATTCGACGAAGACGACGATAACAAGGATTCCGGTGCCGGTGGTCGTCAATATCTACCTCCAAGAATTGTTAAAGAACGTAACGACCATGACGATGGAGGAACGATAACATCTAGGAGTTTAGAACACCAACAGCGAGCCTCGACCACTACAGGCGATGATGATAATGGAAACTCTAAGAATGGAAGGGCGGTGGTGGAATTTTTCAGGCTCAATGATGAGGAGATTGAAGCGACAAATACTTGATTGATCTAAACGAAATTCCGGACGATGAGTTATCCATGAAAGCGGCCAAGGATTTTTTTAGCTGATTGTTCAACTGTTACAATTTTCTCGCCGTTTAGCAGAGTGAAAGTATGAACTCGTTATAGTTTTGATCTCTTGGAATTTGTTTTTGGCATTATAATAATACGATAGAGTTTTCTGTTACGATTTTCTTGTGTTTATTTTTAAATTTAAAATTTTTCATAAGTTAATTATATATCCATTGTTTTCGTCTTAAAATTCTATTTGTGTTCGTCCTTATAAAAATTTGTATAAAATATATAAATGGTTTCCGATTATGTGGTTTTGTTTTATCAGTCATCGACTATTAAAAGTTATGAAATGATTCTCTGATTATATAATATTACTTTATTAGTATTCCAACTATTAAAAATTATAAAATAATCACCTAAATATTCATCACGTTACAAATTCGTCATTTTTCGTTGAAAACTGGTAGTTGTCTAAGCCCATAATACCGTCACTATTTTAATAGAAAAAAGAAGAGTTTGGAATAATGAATAATCTAGTACTATTTTATAAATTTTAAAAGTTGAGGAATTAAAAGACAACCCTTTATTTATAATTTTTAGTAATTGAAGAACTTAATAAAACAATATCTTATAATAAAATGACCATTTTGTATTTTACCCTAAATTTATTGGGTTAATATATATACGTTTACCTTCAAAAAAAATATTTTTAAATCCGCAATAAAGGGTTGGTTTTTTAATATAATTGAGAGGGGGGAAATTAGTTTAGGATGATGACATAAAATTTACACAGTTGTAGACAAATTAGGAAGATAGTAACAGTTCAAGGTAACTTTTAAAAATTATCTCAAGACGCTGATTGCTTTGGTATGATACATCTAAGAATATAAATGATTAAAACAATTTAATCTAATAAATTTTTATTTTGATTTTAAATTTTTAAAATTGTTTGAAACAATATTGAATTTAAAGATGATATGCTTTGATTTAACATAATATATTTTATTATCCTATTTGTTATTTCTAGAAATTTTAAATTCAAGCACCAAATTACGAGATATTTAAACATTTATTATAAAATAATTGAGAGCCTTTAACTTATCCCAAAAATTTATTCTAAATTTTTTCAATTTTTCTGCTATTAACTTCATCGTGAGGTAGAATTAGCCCAATAATCATGATGGAATAATTATTTGGGTTTATAAAATGATCCAAACATTAATTAACAATTTACAACAATTATTTACATTGATTTGTAAGCGGACATAATGAATTTTAATAAAATATAATTTTTATTAAAAAATTTCACCATTTAATCGATTTTAATACAAATTTATATTCTTTCAGAACTTATCACGTTTAGAAAACGAATTACAATAAATTTTTTTTCTGAAACTTGTCATTATAATATGACATATTCATCTTCCATTATAGTTATTACCGTAAATCCTAAAATAAATTTTAAGCTATATTATCAAATTAAATAATTTATTCACTTAGATGATTATCCTGATTTTACCTCATCATGATTCATTAAATAATTTTAGAATTAAGATATTTCATTTAATTATTTTCCCTATTCAACGTTTTCCCGAAAGATCTTAAAAAAATAAAGAAGCGATAAGAAAACAATGTAAAAAGATTTTTATGCGAAGAGGTTTGCAAATTCAAAAGAATATTCCAACAGAAAAACTAAGTTTAAGTATAGACCAAATAATTTCTCCTTCTCTCTCATTCCAAATTAGTATTAAAAAAACAGCCCTAACGTTATGTCGCCGCCGCCGCCGAACGGAAAGCCCGAGTGTCCGATTTCCCGGCGAATTGTTCGAATAACCGTTACGGATGCCGACGCTACCGACTCTTCCAGCGAGGACGAAGCGGTTTCGCCGAAGGAAACCCTAAAGAGACAGAAGAAGAAGCTTGTCAACGAGATCACCATCGGAGCTTCTGAGAAAGAGATTGAAGTAATAGAGGAGCCGAGCCAGGGCAAGGCGAAGAGGTACAGAGGGGTGAGGCAAAGGCCGTGGGGGAGATGGGCGGCGGAGATTAGGGATGGTCGGAGGATGAGGCTTTGGTTGGGCACCTTCGATACGGCGGAAGAAGCGGCCGTCGCTTATGATCAAGCGGCGCTGAAGCTGCGCGGACCTAACGCCCCTACTAACTTTAAGTTGCTTGATTTAAATGCTGTTCAGTCCTGAATTTTCTGTAAATATTAACCTTCTTTGTCCTTTTGTACCTTTTGTTGTTCCTGATGTCTATGTTGTTGTTGTTAGGGCTTTTAGTTTTTGTATCTTTGACTCTTTGCATGCAGTAACCTTCGAACAATTGTTCCTCTTGTTTTTCTCCTTCATTTGATCATAATATTGTACATTTTTTTAACTCCATTTCCTAGTTTGTCAAGTAGAACTACAATTTTTGTTATCTAAATTTGAAGAAGCTTTCAAAGTTTAAGGTGATTTTAGTACCATTTCTCTTCTCATATACCTTAAATGTTATCTGAATTTAAACTGCAACGAGCAACACAACGAATTCAGTTTTCCAGGTGGTTGGATGGAAAGCAAAGATATTCAATATGTTAAAGGTACATACTTCCTTGCTGATAAAATTCTGTTATTATTTATTTCCAAAGAAATAAGATATTTTAGGAAATATTTGTAGTTATTGATTGGTAAATTAGTGAAAGTTGGAGCAATTGGTATGGTGTAACTATTTCTTAGTAGAAGTGAAGTTTATTCTTTTGTGAGTAGAATTTATGTAAATGTAATGGTGTAACTTGTGTTCATCGGTTAAGGTGATTCTGAGCGGAGAGTTTTATCAAAATGGTTTTACAGAAGGCATAGCATCCTCAGCTAAGTGATTATCTATTCCTCTGTTTCTTGACATCTTCCTTGCATCTCTGATTAGATTTATTTAGATTTCTATTGGATGCCGCATGTGCACATTGATCATATAAAATTTCTGATGTGGAAGCCTCTGAGCTCTTTTAAATATGCGTTCTGATGTAATATTAGCTTTAACATGCATATGAAACCTCGCAGAGTATAGTACACATCTTTGTAAAACTAGGGTATGGTAGAGAATTGATGTAATCTTTTTTGGAAAGTCTTATTTTCAAACTAGCTGTTATTTTCCGCTTGAATGTGGAGGAGAGTGATCTTGAATTCTCCTCAAACTTTGTCCCATTTACACGGGTTCTACTTTGTGATAAGGGTTACTGGAACTTATTTATAAAATATTCATGTGTTCATTTGGTCCGAGTGAGAATGAAGAGATACTGAATTCACCTAAATCTGGTTGGGATTTTGTGTGCTGGCTTACTTGTTCTTTGACTATGCTGTGAATTTTTATTTCTAATTATGATCTGAAGATTAAGGCGAACTCTCGTTCTTTTTTGTTTTATAAATTTCAGGTGGGGAGATGATGGCTTACTTCCATTGCTTCTTCCTGGTTAGTACTCTCAAGTATACAGAGTTGTGGATCCCAAGTGAGTCAAAACAGTGGCAACAACTCCGATAATCCCTATCGAGTCTATGATCCCAGAACCCTCTGACCAATTATCCTTGGAACATATGAGCCTATCTGATGCCTTAAGAGGTAACTCGTACAGCGATCATAGTAATCTGGTACGACACCCACACATGGAAATTATGCCCTGCTTTTTTGGCACGTAACTTACATGCACTTTTAACATCAAGCTTAGAGTATGAAGTTGAGCTAAACAAGAATATATTTGAATATCGAAGCCAAATTCGAAGAAGGGACCAAACCCAAACGTTTTGAATGAGGAAGCTAAAGTATAGCCTGTTGATTACTCTGTTGATATACCTATTTGATGACTTGATTAAACCTGTTTTATCTTATAACTAGGGCTTGCTTTCTAGTAGAATGTAAATGGTTAGCAGATTATTGATCTAGGTAGATTAAAGCAGGTTGACATAGTGTTTATGTTCTCAATGAAAGTTTTTTCGTTATCTTGAATTAAATGTGGCTCTCATGTCTTCCTCTACATGATGCTTGGTGCTCTTTCTTTGCACCAGCTTTGTTTGATTTGAGTAGCATACAAACTTCGAAAATCTAGGGTTTGTATTTTTAGTTTTTATTTTCAATTGAATATGTTAATTAAAATTAAATTTATTACTATAAATATCATTGGTAAGAAAAAAAATAGCATTCAAAGGGAATTATTGGTGAGAAAAAATATATAGATTGTTAAATTAACAAGTTAGCGATTTTTTTATATATAAAAAATAAGCATTATAATAATTGTTTTCCCAAGAAGTATCAAACTATATTCTAATAGCAACTATATTCTAATAATATGTTATATTTGATATTTTTTAAATATTATGATTTTTTATTTTTATTTTTAATAGAATATTGATTTTATTTATTAATCCAAGTAAAAAATCAAAACTTTCATGTTTGATAATGTCGTGGAAAAGTTGAGAATCTTCTTTTAAAAGAAAAAAAAACGTGCAACGTTACGAACACAATAATCGAACATTCCTCCGATAAGTTTATTAATATTCATAATAAATATGACAGTAAATTACACGTTTAATTTTTAATTATTATTTTTATTCTATTTTAGTTATTTAGTTATTATTATTTTTAAATTATATTAAAATGTTATGTTTTTGTTTTTTTAATTATTTATCGATAAAAAAATAATAAAATTATCGATATAACATTTTTAAAAAATTCAATAATAACATGATTATCTTTTGATGACATATCAATATATTCGCTAATTTTTAACATTATAAATTATTATTTCAATATTATAATAATCAATAACAATTTATATTACTTAAAAAATGATAAGTTATGTCATGTATCCTTTCCTAACCAATTAAAAATAGTCACATCAATTAAAAATGATAAATTATGAATTTTATTTTGTCCTCAATGTGTGACACACATAGCACGTATACGTCTTAAAATACGAGTTAAAGATATCACATCAATTTTACAAACATTCACTGATCATAAATGCTTAAAATTTTATTCTATTATAAAATATTCTATTATTAACTTTCCAATTATTTCATTAATCGTGTAATCATAAAATAATAATTATAATATAAATCAAGCTTAATTTTAGGCAGAAGTTTAGTAGCTCAATAGTAAATAATAATGCTTAAAAACTGCTTAATTTTAAAATATTTTTTATTATTGTAAAATATAATTTTGATCTAAAATATAAAACTTCGGTTCACATTTATAACCCTAATAATATATCTTTGACATTTCTTATTTGTATACATGCTATCTATAAAATTTAAAATAGTAGGATGTCATCTGATACACGTATTTGTTCTTTGTTGATTGATGCCAACTCGACTCCTTACTTCACTTGTTTTCTTTACCTAAGTGTGAAAATCATCATAACTAAGTATTTACTTAGTGAGACATTATAAACAAACTAAGGTAATATAAAATATTAAACAACTTAACAACATCATAACATTATTTTTCTTTATATACAACTTAACTTAAAATATCATAGCAATTCAAAACATTAAACTTAAATTCAAATAAAATCATTAAATATTTAAACCGATTTATTCAAGTCGTCTTTCCTTATCAGAGACCAGAAAATCATAATCTCATGATTTTGTCAAAACCCTCATTTCCAAACTCATCATACATGCATGATCTCCATGTAAAATTTATACCAAATGATAGAGAATTTCAAGGAGATTAATTCTCTATCTAATAGCTTAATCTAAAAATCAATCGAATAAGCTTAAAAATAAAAAAAATAAAATTCTTACCTTGTAGCTATGGTGGTGCACGTTTTGGGGCTAGAATAAACTGAAAATTTTCTATTTTTCTTCAATTAAAACATAATACACTTGTCTTAATCTAACATAAATGAATTTAAAATTCATTTAATGTGAAATTATCATTTTACCCTTAATTAAACATGATCATTTCAACTTGTCATTGCATTATCATCCCTTTTAATATTCCAAAGTCAAATATGAACAAATAAAAATCCACTTTCCACCTTTTCCATTGAAATTTTTTTAAAACTGTAATTTAGTCACTAAATTTTCCAATTTCAGCTAAATATGTAAAATTGACTTCAATTTCACTGATCCACATTAAATTTCACTGTTCTAAAATTTGGAAATAATTTTTCCAACCTTTATCTATCGTCCTTCAAATTTTTGTAAAATTTCGGTTAGATCCAATTATCCAATTTTCTTTCGAGCTTTACTACTTTATAGCTTTTAATACAAGTTATAGATCTAAATTTTGATTCCCACAAAAATTTCATTCTTGGAGTTGAACTATTCATTTACGGGTTCAAAATACATAACTTTTAAAATTTATCCTTTTGGTCCCTAAACTTTTCCAACTTTATACTTTAGCCATGTAACTTTCAAAATTTATGTTTTAGTCACAAACCAAATTGTACTTTGGCCACTAAACTTTCAAAATTTATGTTTTAGTCACTAACCAAAATTTGGGGTATTACAAAATGTGATTTCCATATTCAAGTGAATAATCTTATAAACTGAAGCAGAGTTGGATGAGTATTTAAGTTTCGATTTTTAAAATATGTCTGCAAGTCATCTTACTACTAACTAACCACTACTGAATCTGATCTAGCAAGAACTTCGAGCACTATGCATCATTGATTGCCTTCTCAATTCGGTTTCTTATGGAAAACCTATGCGTGTATGTATAAAAATGCTATTTCAAATAAAATGTGTTCAAAATTTCAAGTAATTTTTTTACTTGTAAATGGTCTTATTTCAACAACTCGATTAGGAAGAAAAACAATGGAGTAAGAGAAATAAGATTGTTTTGATGGATACGAAAAGGGTATTAATTAAGGTTCTAAAAACAATTCCTAAATTTAAGTTTTATTTTATTTTGATATGCATTAATGAATAAGCTGATATGGAAAATAAAATACATGGTATAAAAGACATGGTCAAAATTATTAACGTGGCTATTTTTAATTGGTTGGACCATTAATGACGTGATGAGAAGATTCATGGAATAATTTATCCTTAAAAAGATTATATTAGTTAATTTTTTAAATTAAAAACTTAATCAAGTTTAAAATATTTTAGAAATTTAATTAACTTTTTCTAAAGTGCAAAGACCTTTTGCACTAGTTAAGATTAAAATTTTAAGATTTGATATTTTGCACTAGTTACAATTCAAATTTTATGTATTGAGTCAAATTTTTTATATTTATTAATAGATTTTTAATAATTTAAGAGGATTATAAGATAATATTTTTTTAAGAGTTTTTTAATTAATTAATAATGTAAACATACTTTATTAACACAATCACTCAAATCTAAAATCTCTAAAAAATCTTTAATAATAAAAAAACTAAGATTTAATTACACGATTCATGAGGAAAACGTGCAAAATGTAATTCAACCCCGTAGGAGCCTGTATTCATTCCTGTTCTAAATACGCATTCAAACAATGTAATGTAGTCGAAAGGGGTAACATTTTGTTCATTTTGTCGGAGTAAAAAGGACAGGTGAGATAACTACACGTATGGGGTCGAACAAAATTTTGTCCATTCCTAGTTAATCTTCTTTTTTTTTAAAAAAATATATAATATTTGGTTATCTTCGTTTATATTTAGTTAAGATATGATTTTGTTTTTATTTAATTAGTATGTGGTCACTACGAGTTAACATTTAACATATTAGGTGATGTGATATTTGGTATAATCACACATTTGGTGTCTGTTATTTATATATTCTCTCAATTTAGTCATAATTTTAATAAATTAAAATAAATTTAATCCTTCAATCGAATGATACCACATGTCATTGTTGTCACATATCACCATTCGATTGAGTAACTAACTTTATTTTAATTTAATATATTTATTTTCCATCAATACTTTGAAAAGTTAGTCCTTCAATTTAATAGTGACCAATGACACATGGCACGACACACAATATCATTCGATTAGAAGATTAAATTTATTTTAATTTATTAAAAGTAATGTTAAATTAAGATAATATATAAATAATAATGATCAAATGTGTAATTATATCAAAATATTTAATGATATTTAATTGATGATGATCACATCTTAATTAAATAAAAATAAAAATATCACATATTATATTTTAAAAATAAGTGAAAAAAAAGTGAATAATGAATCATATAGTTAAAAAAATCAACAATTTAACGTAATTCCAAAGAAACAATTGAACCTCGACACACTGTCACACTGATTTACCCTCCCGATTATGACTTCTAAAACATAAAATAAGATTCTTCAATCCTTTTTTTCTCTCCAACGGAAGGTATTGCCAATCGATCGAAATCCATTTCTCCATATCTGGGTTGTTTGTTGATCTCGAACCGGTTAGTTGTTCCAATACTGGTTTTGGGACTTGCACACCAACTGTTCGAGGGTTTGTCTCATTGAAATAAAAGCACCGTCTTTATTTATTAATCGATGATTAAAAGATCCATAATAGCGTGGCCATCTTCTGCAACCAGATGTCAAAAATCGGATTCTATGTTAGTTTCAGTGCGGCAAATAATGGAGGAAAAAGAAGAAATATACCATAGGGACTATCAACTTGACAAAGTAAGGACTTGCAAAAAGCCATCTTTAATTCTTCAGCTAAAGTCCATCATCCAATCTCAAAAGCATCAATGTCTTCTTCTCCGTGACCTTGAAAAGGAAGTTGGGTTTGTGGCAAAATGGAACTTCATGCCCATCATTGAGAAGTACCCTTCAATATTCCGTGTTGGTGGTGGTAGTGGAAAAGAACTCCCTTTTGTTACACTAACCGGAAAAGCCGAAAAGATTGCTAGAGAAGAGGGTGAAGCTAGGAATTTAATGGAACCCATTTTGGTTAAAAATCTAAGGACGTTGTTAATGTTGTCTATTGATTGTAGGGTGCCATTGGAAAAAGTTGAATTAATCGGAAATGAACTTGGCCTGCCCCAGGACTTTAAAAAGTCACTGATCTTCAAATATCCCGACTACTTTTCGATCAAAGATATCAATGGTAGAGCTTATCTTAACTTGGAGAGCTGGGATTCTTCACTGGCAATGACTGCTCGTGAAGAGAGATTAGCACGCGAAGGGATGTTGCAGTCTGCTGGTGGTCAAAAGAAGATTAGGATCATGAAAGATGGTAACTACCTTGGTCCATTTGCTTTTAAAATGTGTTATGCTGCTGGTTTTAGACCGAATAATAGTTATCTTGAGGAGCTTCAGAAGTGGCAGAAAATGGAATTTCCTTCTCCATATTTGGATGGGAGGAGATTCGAATTCGCAGATCCGAAATCCCGAAAAAGAATGGTGGCCGTACTTCATGAACTCCTCAGTTTAACTATGGAGAAGAGGATGGTTTCAGCAAAATTGGATGCATTTCATTCAGAATACCGACTACCGTCCAAGTTATTGCTATGTTTGATAAAGCACCACGGCATCTTTTACATTACAAATAAAGGTGCAAGGAGCACTGTATTTCTTAAAGAAGCTTATGGTGGTACAATATTGGTAGACAAATGCCCTATCTTGATGTTTAATGATAAGTTTATTGCACTTAGCGGTAGAAACGAGATCAGTCATGTAACAATATGAATTCTTCAGAGGTTGTTACTTAACAGAAATGTCAGTTTTTATTTGGATGGAGAAAACCAGAGTAGATGGAATTCTTTCTGTCTTTATGGAATTCTTTCTGTCTTTCTCATTAAGAGCGGAGTATGCACGGCACCATTTTCTGCTATGAGTTGCTAGTTTTTCTTATGGTAGTTATTTTATTTGATAAACAAACTAGACATCACTTTTCTTAAAAGAAAGGCAGGGCAAACAGAGGCTACTTTCTCTCGGGTGCAGGTTGTAAAATTTTCTTATGTTTCTCATTGGTATTCAGCATTCATTCCCTGTTTAGACTGAAGAAAATTTTGCAGCTTGTCCTTTAACCATAAATGTTGAAGAAGTTCACTGCTAAAATTGCAGCATGTGTGCGGAGATTGATAAATCCTATTGTTATTGTTAATGGAAAGAACCTCAATCGTCCAATTCTCCCATTTTTCTAAGTTTGGAGCGATTCGTTAAAATGCAACATTTGGCTAACAAGGGTCAACAACAAAGGATGGAGAACGCCAGATGAAGAATTCTCTGCAACTAAAGTGAAGTGCTTATTGGACCTCCTACAATATAGGGTCATTTGTTTGAGGCCTTATGTAATTGAAGCAGTTTCATAGTGTATGCTCATTCATATGGTATCTAATGAAGTTTTTTTTAGCTTGTAATTTGTTATGGCAGAATGCAGATTCAGATCATTTATTTAATTCCGCGAAAAAGGTACTGTCAGATGTAGTATTGACATTTGTTTCACATAAGTAGCCAAATGACAGCTCATTTCCGAGCTGAAGCTCAGATCTTTATGCTTGTGAATGCCTTTCTTTTCTATGTCCTTTTGGTCCTGCAACTTAATCGCGAGTTCATGCTCTCATCTTATGATAGGTACTGGCTATTGAGACTTTATGTTACAATGTTGAAATAAAAGGAAAACCAAGAACGAATCCTCAACTTTAAGTAATGGTGGTATCTGCTGGAAAACAGGATGATTTTAATGGATCTTCAGTTGTGTATTATCATCTAAAGGCGACAAGGATTCGAGTGGCGCGACTAAGCCATCGACTGTCAAGAATAGGGATAGGAAGGACAAACAACCTATCAAATGTTACAACTACAAGGGACTTGGGCACTTGGTGAGGGAGTGTCCACAGAAGAACAAGATCCATGCCATCACAGACAAGGGTGGGGAAGAGACCGAGACTATTAAGTTTGGCTCCATACTCAGTACTATGTAGGTCAAGAAGGGTCGGAAGAAGAAGGGGTTATGTTCGTGGACATCAATGTTGCTGGCCAAAAGTTGAGTGCACTAGTTGATACGGGTGCCTCAGAGTTGTTCATGTCAAAACAAGTTGCTAAAAAGCTTGACCTTCGTGTGGAGAAAGTAAGTGGTACCATCAAGACCATCAATACTGAAGAAGCTTCGATTGCAGGAGTCGCAAAGGGAGTGGAGTTGGTTGTTGGGGGCCGGTCCGACAAGGATTTCATCATGGTGATTTCTCTTGATGACTTCGATTTTGTGCTTGGGTTGAGTTTCTTGGACCAGATCAGTTCTTTTCCAATTCCTTTTGTCGATTGTTTATGCATAATGGATCCAAAACAACAGTGCATTATTCTAGTGAATTGAGGGTCCAGAGTAAGGCCAAGATCTTGTCTACAATTCAGTTCTTGAAGGTGGTGCGCAAGGAGGAGCATACCTTTTTGGCTACCTTGGAGTGCGATGATGTTATCACAACCGAGGATGTTCCTAGTGAAGTGAGACGTGTGTTGGCAGAATTCAAGGATGTGATGCATGTCGAGTTACCGAAGAAGTTACATTCGAAGAGGGAGGATAATCACAAGATTGAGCTTATGCCGAATGTTGAGCCAGCCAGTCGTCCGAGCTCCTTACTGGATGACTCTGTATGAGTTAGAGGAGATGCGTAGACAGTTAAAGGATCTCTTTGATGCTAGTTACATTCGACCTTCCAAGTCACCCTACGATGCTCTGGTGTTGTTTCAAAAGAAGCACGATAGGTCACTTCGGATGTGCATCGACTAAAGAGCTTAGAATAAGCTCATGGTGAAGAACAAGTATTCAATTCCTCTTATTGTGGACTTGTTTGTTCAACTTGGTGATACGAGGTGGTTCACTAAGTTGGATTTGTGATCGGGCTATTACCAAGTCATGATAGTCGAGGGAGATGAATTGAAGATAACTTGTGTCACAAGGTACATTTCATATGAATATCTTGTGATGCCTTTTGGCCTCACGAATGCTCCTGTCACTTTTTGCATGTTGTGCAACCCTTTCTCGACAAGTTCATTGTAGTCTATCTTGATGATATCGTGGTTTATAGCAAGACATTGGAGGAGCATGTTGAACACTTGAGAAAGATGTTCATGGTCCTGCGAGAGAATGAGCTCTATATCAAGGAGGAAAATTGCTCATTTTTCCAAAAGGAATTTCTGTTACTCGGCCACATTGTTAGAGGTGGCGTGAGCAAGATGGACAAGGACAAGATTCAAGTCATTGAATAATGGGAAGCACCAACCAAGGTAGTGGATTTAAGATCTTTCCTAGGGTTGGCTAACTACTATCGGAGGTTTGTCAAAAACTACTCTAGAATCGCCGCACCATTAATTGAGTTGTTGAAGAAGACCAAGGCGTGGGATTGGGGACCGGAGTGTTAAAAAGCCTTTGACAACTCAAAATCGCAATGGTGAGTGAGAAGGTCTTGGTGCTACCAGATTACACCAAGCCCTTTGAGATTTACACTGAATGCATCCAATGTGACAATTGGTAGGGTCCTTATGCAAGAGGGACATTCGGTTGCTTTTCAGAGCCAGAAGCTCAAAGATGCTAAACGGAGATAAATGGTGCATAAGAAGGAGATGACCGCGATTTTGCATTATCTACGCACATGGCGGCATTATGTGCTTGGGTCAAAGTTCGTGGTGTACGCGGATAATGTTACCAACAATTACTTCCTCACATGGAAGCAAGCTCGTTGGTAAGGGTTTCTTGTTGAGTTCAATGTTTTCTTAAAGCATAAATATGGGAAAATAAATTTTGTTATCGATGCTTTAAGCCGAAGGCACATTATCGGAATGGTGAGCTTGTTGGAGGGACCGATACTAGATCATGTCAAAGAGGGCTTGTCACATGATCTTGTGGCAAAATCACTGAAGGAACTTGCCGAGGGCAAAATTCAGAGATTTTGGCTTGAGGGGGAGCTTATGTATGCTCGAGGATACCGACTTTATATGTTGCAATTTGGGGGATTACAGAAAAAACTCATAAGGGAATCCCACGATTCCAAGTGACGGGACATCCGGAGATTCACCGGACCTTGGCCTTGATAGCAGAGCACTATTATTGGCTGCATATGGGCGGTGATGTTGAGGCCTATGTGAAGACTTGCCTTGTGTGCCAACAAGACAAGATTGAGAAAAAAAAATCTGGTGGTTGTTGCAGCCATTGCCGATCCTGGAGAGACCATGGGAAAGTGTTTCCATGGATTTTATAGTCGGTTTTCCAGTTTCAGAGGGATGTTCGAGCATCATGGTCATTGTTGACCGATTTTCTAATTATGGGATGTTTATTCCAGATCCAAAGTGTGCCCAGTTGAGGAGGCGACTCGTCTTTTCCTTAAGTACGTGGTGAAGTACTGGGGTGTTTTAAAGAAGATCATCAGTGATATGGACACAAATTTCACTGGGAGGTTTTGGACGGAGTTGTTAAAGTTGAAGGGTCAGAATTGAACTTCTCAACGAGTGTCCATACGCAGACTGATGGGCAAACTGAGCGAGTAAATGCACACGTTGAGATCTACTTGAGGCACTATGTGAGTGCCACGCAACGTGACTGGCCGAAGCTGCTAGATGTAGCCTAGTTTTCTTACAATTTGAATCGAATTGAGGCAACCAATCAAAGGTCGTTTGAGATTGTGATTGGTCAGCAGTCGCTCACACCAAATACGGTTGTGATCGGGTACCGAGGGTCGAATCAAACAACATACCAATTTTCCAATGAGTTGCAAGAGAATCACGACTTAGCCTGCGATTGTTTGCACAAGGCGAGGAAGCAAACCAAGAAGTGGGCTGATCAAAAGCGTCGGGACGTGAATTTCAAAGTTGGCAATCTAGTCATTGCCAAGTTTATTGGGATCTTGCGCAACATGAATCACAAGGGGCTTGTGCGAAGATACGAGGGTCTCTTCAAAGTTGTGAAATGAGTAGGCACCATGGCCTATAAGTTGGAGTTACCATCAACCATCCAAGCTCATCTTGTGTTCCACGCGAGTTTGTTGAATCCGTTTCATTAGGATGAAGAAGACCTGGATCGAGGTAAGTCACACCGAGCGTCAGTCGAAGTGAAGGTCTCATACAAGAAAGAAGTTGAAGCCATCCGCATAGAAAGAGTTGTTAGACAAGTGGGATGTAACCCAAGGTATACATACCTTGTACAGTGGAAAGGACTTCCCATGAGTGAGGGGAGTTGGGAACCTTCCGAGGCCTTGTGATAATTCTAAAAGGAGATTGACTAGTTTCATTCGAGCCGTGCGACGAGGTTGTTGCTAGATTTAATGGGGGAGAAAGTTATGGACCACGAGCCCAAGATCGAAGGAAATGCGATCAAGGCTGCCCAAAGCTTTCATTGTCACGTTTTGGGTCTTTCAGAAGATCCATAAGAGTTTTGAGAAGACCTAAGAAGCTGACCCACTCATTTGAATGAAGAGATAAGGCATGATAATTCTTTATTTATCATTTAAAAAAGATAGAAAATAGAGTTTTAAATAGAGTAGGCTTTCTTCTGAACCGTTGATGTAATTCAATTGTAACCGTTAGATGTAGGGGACTCCATATATAAAAGGAGGCTCTCTCTACTTCATTTGTGATCATCACTTTGAGGAATACAAGTTAGCATTCACTCATTCTCTCTTCTCTTTACTTTGAGGATCCATCTCTTAGTTTTCCCTTTCTTTTGTTTGTTTCCGTTGTGCTTTAAGCAATCTTAGCTTAGGTGTTTGGGTTACTTAGCTGCTGATTCGACTAAGAACGCGACTAAGGCCGCACGAGCTTGCTAGCAACAGTCTAGCCCCATGACACTATGCACTCAATCAATGTTGTATTCCTAATTGGTTACCCCATTTTGAATTGCATGGTAAGTTTTGCGTTTTTGGATAGTGTAGTGGCTATGTTATTCAAAATCGAATATAAGTGTTGCATATCATGGATATGTGTCCTTCACAGTGGCATTTCATTTCCGGTATCTTACGATAAGTCCGTAAGGTAATACTACTCTTTGCCTTACAGCGGTTCCCTTTGTTTAGAATTGCATATTTCATTTTATGAACGGGCGCATTTGTTGTTTTCCAATTAGGGATGGCAACGGGCCGGGTTCGGGCCGGGTATTGGTCTCCCCGTCCCCATCCCCATCCCCGTTTAAAAAACCGGTACCCGTCCCCATTTAAAAAACCACGGGGATTTAAACGGGGATCCCCATCGGGTAATCGGGAAAAACCGCGGGGAAACGTGTATCCCCGTTTAGCATAAACGTTTGTTCAATCAGTGGCCGAACCGACCGAACTACCATTAACCGAATTTTTTTTTTCTTTAACCGTTAATCGAACCAAATTTTTTTTCAAAAATATTAACCGAACCGAATAAATTTCGGTTAATTCGGTTAATTTTTGAATTAACCGAAAATTTTTAGAATTTTCGAATTTAATACTAGAGAGCAGTTGTTGTTCCATTTGCTAGGGAAGAACGTGATGTTGGTATAGGTCCTGAGGCTGATTTTAATATGGCTAATTCACATGCTTCGCTTTGTTAGAGGAACGTTAAAGCTTGTGTAATGGAGACAGCTTGTATGAGGTTATTGGGATGCGAGGTGAAAATAAGGGTTGCTGTCGAAGAGACGAAGACAATATTCAAGTTGCATTGATTTTAAATTATGCTGGACATAATTTCCACCTTGCCAATGCTAGTGGTGGGCTTCAGGTGTGTAATGTTGTACTGGACGAGGACTCTGCAGCAAGTACACGTTCGTTGGAAGTGACACAATACCACCAAACCAACTAGACTTTTCCCATTTAACTAGACAATGTTTGTCTATTAAAAGATATTAAAGGTTCACACGTGATTGCAAACAAGAAGTGTAAGCACTATTTTTACGATTAAAAGAAAAAAAGAAAATTATGAGACAACGAAAATTGAGGTAAATTCTAGAAATTGAAGCGGGAACGATGTTTTAAAGTGGGACAGTATGGGGTGAAAAAAAAATAAAAAATATTTAAGGGTTAATTTAAAATATGTTATTAATATTATATATAAAAAATAATTATTTTTAATATTTATCGGGTCGGGAATCGGGTGGTAATCGGGTCGGGTAATCGGGTAATCGGAACGGGGATTATCAAACCCGTCCCCGTCCCCGTTTATCATATCCGAATTCGACCCGTTAAATTCGATTTTCGGTTTTCCTCGTCGAGTTCGGATTTTTTTACCATCCCTATTTCCAATGGATCATCCATGCTTGTGTGAACCTTTGGTAAAGCCTATATTTGTGCTTTTTACAGTTTTATCTACTAGTTGAAGTGCTTTAATCTCATAATATGTTACTCCTCTCTTTGCAGGTGGCCATCTCACGAGCCGGAGAAGAAGCCAACTGATAATACTCTTGTTAATTTTTATTCTATAATTAATTAATATTTTATAAAAATTTATCTGATACACATATTTTGTAAATTAAAATTTACATAAATCTTTTTAAATAATATCTACTTAGAGAAAGAGAAGGAGAACTTTTACTCTTAATTAATATTAAATTCACAATCTAAAGAAGATGATTTATATACTTATCTCTAATTGTTGACATATTATATCTAATCTTTAGAATTTAGGATTTTAGGATTTAAGTTTCATATTTTAAATTTTAAATTTTTTATTTTAATTTAATTTTTTATTAATATAATATAATTAAATTAAAGTTTATATTATTTTATTAAAAATATAATAATAGACTATATGATAATTTTGATAATACAACATGTCATTGATAAAAGTGTATTGAAATACCTTACATGTAAAAGCCTATGTAGAAAAGATCTAGCCTATTACTTGCCCTCTCAGGCTCTCTCTCCCTCTTATCAGAAACAGAGTAGATAAAAGAAAATGGCAGTGTCTACAACCACCGCTCTATCCATCGGCGGCAACGTCTTCTCCGGCCAGCTACGGCGGAGGGAGCTTAACGAATCCAAGCTCTTTCAAAAACCCAGAAGTCATTTTCGGTGGTCATGCCTTAATGACCTCCATTTGCTCCGCTTCAGAACCAAAACCTCGAACTTCAACCCAAGGGGAAGCTCGCTGCCTTCACTTTACGCCTACGGAAAAGAAGCTGACGATGCCTATCTCTCGGTACCGGTCTCTTTTTTCCCCATTTAGTTACTTTAAATGACGGAAATTGAGCATGGTGGAAGCTTATGTTTTTTTTTTTTGCTTTTGAAGTTAATGTTTTGAAAATTTAAGTTTCAAATGTTAATTGTTCGGTGAACCTTTGAGGATATTAGAAGATTTTTACTACGTATTTGCAGTTTCTCAGAGAGTCATAGTGTTATATTAAAGCTCGAGAAATTCCAGCTCCATTTAGCTGTTATTTACTTTTGCTGCTTTTTTTTTGGCCTTTGGAACGTATTATAAAGCAAAAATGTGCTCTTAGATACAGTGGTTTTGTTTCTAATAGTAATATTTACATAATAATCGATTGTAATTTATTTCTGTTAATGGCTTGCACCTTCTGGGCATGTTTATGTAATTCTATATGATGTACAGTATAGTCATACATCCATCGGCAATGTTCTTCGTTCCTTGAATTCTTCCTTGCATCCCAACGAAGTGATACTTTTTGCAGAATGTAAATGAGGACACTGATGAGATGTTTGATGATTTGATGAAAAAGTATGGAGAAGTAGTATTTAGAAAGAGTGACCGGAAGTCTCCGAGCGCTGAGCTTGATGATGATGCCGAAAGCTTGTCTTGTAAGTTCATCCTGTACAGATCCGTTACATATTGACAACTCCCATTACCATCTTTGGTTTTATGTTGTACTAACTTGGATAGATATCTAGCCTCACCTCATCCATCAATGATCATAAATTCCTTCCTTCGAGCTTTCAAGTTCGTGTCTCCTTGTTAATTATTGCATTTATGCTTGCAAACTGTAGTCAAAATCAAGATTATGCTTGCCTACAAGTTTAGCTGCTTTGCAATTGTTTTTGTATATTTTCTGTCTGCAGCTGTTTTTTTTATAACTAAATAAAGGCGCCTTATACTCTTTTTGTGCCCTTAAGTATATCTGTATATGTCGATAGGGTGATTTCACTGCTCACGCCTGTAATGTGGCATATCACTTGTGGTGTGGTTTTAGTTTTGTAACCGGCTCATCATGCTGTGGCTACATAGCCTTAACGTGTGCAGCATCTCATAAACAATTTTAGAAATTTGAAGTAAAATCGTACACCCTATGTGGCAAACATTAGTAGCTCTGGTTTAAGCTTGCACCAGCTGACAGCTTCCTGCTATATCTGTAGTTGCTGTAGAAATGGCCAAGGTTGCAAGTGATGTGAAGGCTGGAGATATAAGGGTCCTCTTTGTGAAGCCTCTTGTGTATTGGACTCGGTTTTTCATCATTGCCACAGCATTTTCTCGTCCTCAGATTGATGCTATTGGGTATGGACTTTAACTTTGACCTTTTACCCCACTTTGTGGATTTGGTTTTTAGTACTTTTTCCAGCAGTTCTTTAACTGATTTGTTTCTTCCGAGTAACAATATAGATCCAGAATAAGAGATTTGGCTGAGAAGAAGTATGGAAAAATTCCCTCGGGAGATACAAAACCAAACTCGTGGACACTTTTAGACTTCGGTAAGCCATCTACGGTGACTATTCGTTCGCACATTTGTTGTATACCATTGACATGACTATGAAAGTTTTACAAATCTAGCTTAGATTTTGTGCCTTGTTTTTTTCAGTATGGTCAAAAAGCATTATGGAAAATTTAAGAGGCAAAAACAGTAACAAGAAATAATTTGTAATGATTAGGAAGTCTTAAACTTAGATGTATAAAATTCCATTTGATCAATATGTTGATGAAAATATAAAGCGTTACCATAGTCCGGCATGATACGAGTCCCGTGCTCAAGTAAAGCTATTTTCGTTTCTGTTAATCTTTTAGCGGTGTTTCATCTGTCATAATTCCAGGTGATGTTGTTGTTCACATATTTCTTCCTCAACAAAGAGCATTTTACAATCTGGAAGAGTTTTATGGGAACGCGACGCTCATTGAGCTTCCTTCCGAAAACCAACCACCATTTCACGCTCGAGAGTAACTGATTCCGACGGAACCAAAAGCACCGACATATAGAACCCCGTTGTGAAAGTGCTTATCTTTACCGGGGTACACTTAGCATTACATCCTCATCACCTCAAAACCTTGAAGGGAGGCTTGATCTGGGCTCACAGGGGGGGGGGGGGGGCACAGTTCCGTTTCCGGCAGCTATCTTTTGCCGATCATACGGAAAAGTTGGAATTATCATATGTTTTGGTTGATTCTATTCTTCTTGGATGATGCTTTTAAGTATTTATGGCATGTACCTCGAACAGATGCAAGCTCTTACGCAATGAGGCTTGTTGAGATCTAATCAATGTGAATGTAGGTTGGACTTATAGGTTAAATTTAGCTTATAATCCGAATCTAAGAATTCTAGCATGCATCGTTCGACACGGGTGAGAAAAATTTGACTCAAAAAATTAATTTTTTCTACTCGATTTAATATTAAGACTTAGTAATTTTATAAATTTGATTTAACTCGAAAAAAATTAAATTCGAGTCGGGTTATAAGATAGAACTTGAATAATTCAAAAATTTTATTGATTATTGGATTAATTGTATATGATTATAAAATATCATTTAAATTGAAATCAAATAGTATCATACTTTTATAAATATTTATAGTTAAATTAAATATAAACTCGAGCAATTTAACTCTATTTAACTCGAATTTTATAAACATGACTCGTAATTTTTTTAAAATAAAATGAGTTATAAAATAAGATTCATTAATTTGAATAACTTAAATTTTTTAACTCAACTCTATGATTATTCCTACCACCAATTCAACTAAATATACAAATAAAGAGTTCAAATAAAACATAAATTCCGTTTCATCTCATCCCACAAATTAGAGATTTTCTATTAACGTACATCACAATGTGTATTTTACATATTCAGGTGTTATATAACTCTTTTTTTTAGGTAAATAACTTCCAACGCAATGCATATTCAACTCAAGGTTGAGTATTCGATTGAATCAAGTTAAAAATTTCAGAGTTATTTGAGTTAATGAGTCGTATTTTATAATTTGAATTTTATTTGAATTTTTTTTTAAATTTGAGTCGAGTTTGTATTTAAATTTAATTATAAATATATATAATATTATGATATTATTTTATTCTAATTTAAACGTTTTCTATAACTATATACAATACATATATATTTTTCTTATGTGAATACATATATTATACAAAGTTAAGAGATTTGACTCAAGCTTAAAAATTAATTCACTAATTACTAAAAGTTTATGAGTTATTTGAGTTACTCAAGTTCTATTTTATAACTCGACTCAAATTTGAAGTTTTTTTCGAACCAAGTATAAAATTATTGACTCGGGTCAATTCGAGTCGAGCTTTCCGAATCAAATCAAGTCTAAAAGAATAATTTTTCAAATCGAATCAAGTTCTATTAGCCCATAACCGATAGATGCTTTAAAAAACACAATACTAATTCCAAAATAGAAATATTCAGAAGTTTCAACAAAACTCCCATGGCGATTCGTGCTCGACCGCAGCTTCTCGACCAGCCCACTTAGAAAAATATATAATCTGGATTACTATAAAAGCATCAAGCAGCGCACATCCACCAGCATCCACCAGCCATGGCAAGTTCGGTTCTATTATCGACCAATCCAAGCTCCTCACAAGTATACTAGCAACATACGTAAAGTTCCCAACCAAAGCAAAGATGAACATAAAAGGGCTAAGTCCCTCTACATTGCCTCTTCTAATGATCAAGTAAATTTGTGGAAGCCGTCCACCCATGTAGATAATCGCCATTGCCCAACCAAGAAAAGTCCCAACTCTGCTACCTCCTTCAGAACCGCTTGAATTTGACTGGAGAAGCTTTCTTCCTATATGTATCATAAATCCTTGATTTACTTTGAATTTGGAGACGTTTGAATTGAATAAGCCGATGAACATTAATGCGGACACCGAGCATAGCAATGATTTCAAGCTCCAAGGCGATATGAGTTCCCGGTGCCGAGAGGTCGATTGTGTTGTGACATATGTACCCAGCAATGGCTCTTGAACTAAATCCTTGTTGCGCACGTCAGGGTAGCTGTGACCATAGTATACAGTCTGTGCCGTGAGGATAAAGGTGGTTATCGCATACAAAACCGCCATGTAGTACTGCATCGGGAGAGTAGCCGGTTCGAGAATACAACCGGAGAGATTGAAAAGATCGCCGACTATCCAAGTAATCAAGAAACCGAGAGAGAGGCCTTCAACGGATTTGTTCTTGTAGTTGGTCATGATCTGAGGGATTTCGGCCACGGCCCAGCTTAGTACACTGACCAGCCCCAAACCGAACGAAACTCGGTCTCTCGTGCCGCAGACGCAGTCGTCTAAGTAAACTTTCGCCCATTGCCAGCACTCCCCGCTCAGCCGGCTGCATGTCGCCATTATCTCTGCCCCTGATTTCCCTTCCTCAATGCACTGATACTATGGGAATGACTGAAATTATCTCTTAGCCTTGCATTCTCTGTTTAAATAAGTTGTCTTACGTCTTCTAATCTTTCAAATAATTCCTATTTGAATTAGGTCTTCTAGTTGTACGAGAATTAAAATCATTAATAAAAATTTAAAATAAAATATATAATAAAATAATCTTGGAAGAAATATTTGAGAACTATAGTTACACTATATGATTAACTTGTATTTTATTTGTTTATCCTTAAAGTAGCTTTTTGATTTACCTGTTTTTTATTTAATTAAAATTTTAAAGTTAAAGAAATTATTAAACTGTCAATTTAATAATGAAATTAATCTTTACTTAAGTTTTTTAATAAATAAATTATTATTAAAAAATTTAAAAAAGTCGTAATCTAAGTAAAATTATTAAAAGCAGTATGAAATTATTTTATATTTCAAAAGAAAAAATATGGGAAATATTGAATAAATACCAAGGATTGAGGCTAAGTGGTTAGGTGCAAATCTTTTCATAAGCATCATTATTTTTTTAATTTATTTTCTTTTTAATAAGATGGTGACACGTTACATAATTTTCAATAAGATATTTTGACACATTAAATGTTAATGGTTAGTAGCTTAATTGGAATTATTAAATAGTTAGATGATTTAATTGAGAAATATTTAAAATAAGTGACCAAAATAAAGAAAAAATAATAGTTAAGTGATCATATGAATAGTTTACCAAAAATAGGACTTATATAGTAATATGGATAGAGTTTGTAGATTTTAAAAATAGAACTTACTTTTTTTGTGTTAAAATAAATTTTTAAATGATGATATTAAATTTAGTTTGAAACGATCTCTATCTTTATAGAAAATTTTAGAGCGATTATAAAAGATAATATATATTTTAAATATTTTTAATTATTTGACAATAAAAATTTTAATATTTTATAATTATTGACGCTTAAATCAAAAAAATTAAAAATAACAATTATTTTTTAAAATTTAACCAGAAAATAAAAATTACATTAAGCTCAATGAATCCATGAGTTGAGTAGGTATAGTTTTATTACAAAAATTCTAAATTTACTAGAAATACAAATAAAATAGTAATCCACAAGTGGCCGCTCCACGTGCGTTATTCTCTTCTTTTAATAATCTGTACAGCTTTCTTTGTAAATTGTAATTGTTCCCGATTAAAAGCAAAACTGACTGCAGAAACATAGTAGAAACCGAAGCAGAGAATGGGAGTAGCTCGCTTCGCTCTTTGCGAGATTGCCGCCTCCTATGAATAATAAAATGTTTGATGTTAGCTTACAATGGAACACTCATGTTTCAGTAAATGTGCATTTCAGTTTAAACAGCAGAATGTGTGATTTGATCTGGGGCCTTATTTCTATGGTCAGATGAAAGTTTTTGTGTTCCTTGATGTTATCTTGTATGCTAATGGATTGAAGAAGTCATCATTTGGTAGATTTTGCAAGCAGAGGTTCAAAGTTTTCTTAGGTCTGATATCTAGTTTTACAGATTATCCTCATTCCTTCTTTTTTTTCCTTGTCTTTTTCTTTTCTCGTCATAGCTTGGAGTAAACTCACCGCTGCTGAAAGGATCAAATTATCTTAGAAAATGGTATTGCCATGTCCTGCTATATCTTTTTATGATTCATTATATTCAAATTTGGAATGGCCAACCATATGATAAGAGCCATGCTCTTTTTCCATGTTTCTTTTTGTGGTTTAGCTTGAGATATCTTGGCAAATGATTGTAGCTGATGGATGTGTGGAATCTGACATATTTTTTAAATTATTGAGGATTCATTTTTCGAAGCATAGTTTGGGAGTTCAATCTTCTGCTTTTTAATCAAAATGGTCCAGATTGACAGGATATTTTGTAGCATGGAAATTTAAATGCTTATCTTTAATGGCTGACACCCAGAATTTAGTCGTTTGGCAAGACTGAACTAATCATTCTTGCATGTTTTTAGTATCGGATAATTTCTTTCTTTCTTTTGAATGTTCTTTAATAGGTACGATCTTATAATGTCCCACAAGGAAGAGCTTGGCCAACTAATAACATTAGAGCAAGGAAAACCTTTAAAAGAAGCCCTGGGTGAGGTATTCATTTGAAAATTTAGTGTTATTAAAATTGAGCAACTGGTTTTGACCGCAACATGTACATCATCTGTCAACTCTAAAGCAAGATTCAAATTATAGGTTAGTTATGGAGCCAGTTTTATTGAATTCTTCGCAGAGGAGGCCAAACGGGTCTATGGAGATATAATTCCGGCTGGTCTAGCTGATCGTCGTTTGTTTGTTTTAAAGCAGGTGAGGATAAATTCTTCGATGTTTAAATCACATTTTGATTACTTGTACAAATTTTAAATAGTTTCTTAGTTATGGTTTGATAGTGTATTCTAAGGGAAATATGATATGTTGACCTCAATTTAAGGGGATAAATTTGTTGATATCATTGTTAAGCATTCGATTTACTTCTTGCAGTCTTGTATCCGTGCAAGGAAATATAAATAGTGTCCCTTTTGTATTTAAAAGAAGAAACCAGCATATAAGAAAAAGGATAAGAAAGACAAACATGAACTAAAAAAAAAATTGGAGAAGTTAAATTACCTCAACTATCACAATTCCCTTCATAACCATTGAAGTAGTTTGACATCTGAAATTGCATAGCATTTGGTGTCATATGTGAATGTCTTGGATGATCCTTTGAGATAAATTTTGGTGTTTGGTATCACTTTTAATATCGCTATGGTGATGTAATTAACATGGTGATAGGATCACAAAGGTGATTTGATCACTTGTGACCTTGGATTACCGAGTTTGGTGCAATATTCTAAAACACTACTGATATTAAATCTGTGTTTAGTGTAGTGTAGAATGAAAAGATGGCCGAATATAAAGCACTTAAAATAATCTTATTATAATAACAAGATTTCTTTTTATTGAATGAACAGTTTTATATAAGAATAATTCATTGTTCTAGAGCAAATCAAGCTAGTTTTGTCGAGTATGATACACAGTTATTGACATGTTCACGATTAATGATCAAACAAATATAAAGATGGAAATTTGATTATAAAAAATAAAAAAATGGAGGGATATATATATTGTGGTGGGCACTACTTCCCAGGTAAATGTGTCGTAAAATTTTGAAGATAATTCTCCTAGGAGAAAACCCCTTCATAGTCTTTGGGCATTTAGATCACCCCAGAGGGCCATGTAGGATTTGCAAGTTATTACCAAATACTTTGATTACATCACCGAAGGTGTTACCCCTCTTCAAACAGCATCTTAAAATCCATGAATTTGTTGCCTGGGACTGCTGATCCTGGTGGCAAATCTCTCTGAACAATTAGATGGATATGTCATGCTTTTAGCTTGGGTGCATTCAAGGGAACCAGAATAGCAGGCTCTAACCAGCAGGTGGCATCTTGATTCTGCCCCAACCTCATGGGAAGTCTAACAAACATTCTGAAGAGGAAGGGTTTTGAGGAGTTTTGAGGAGCACTATTTATACAAGGCCTCTAACATCCAAAAGTTTGAGGAGTTTTGAGGAGCACTTCTCAGCTATAAACTTGATAGGTGAATAGAGGAGAATTCACACTGGAGAACAACTTTCCTGCTGCTTTAGTTTCTTCCCTTTTAACTATTGTTGTTATTATGTTGGCTTATAGAGCAAATGCAGTGGAAACCAGTTATATTGAGTTATTTTTTAGTGACTGGGGTTTTCACAAAGCTTTAATGTACTTCTTAGTGCAAACAGTTAGTGTCAGATTATGTATTAATTTTAAAATTCCTTAATTTCTTTTTGGCAACCTTTAGGTGTTGTGGGTGCAATTACACCCTGGAACTTTCCCTTGGCAATGATCACCAGAAAGGTGGGTGCCATATGTAGAAGTTTTGGTAATATCATGTTTCCATGCTGCTGAAGAACTAAAATGTTCCTTTTCATGGCTGTATCAGGTTGGCCCTGCCCTCGCTTGTTGTTGTACGGCGGTTGTAAAACCTTCTGAACTTACTCCCCTCACAGCTTTAGCAGCAGCTGAACTTGCTCTTCTAGCAGGAATTCCACCGGTAATCGTTATGCATTAGTGCCTTTTACAAGGTTTTATTATTCAACAAGTTTATATTGCAGTGTCTTAGCATGTAATGTTAATTCAAAGCTTGATCTAAAAACAATTGGATCATTTGTTGATTTCTAAAATATAGGATAGATAGTTTCACACATGCATACATGTGTGGGTGTGTCATGCCCAGTGTTGTCATCTGATAATAACGTTGACCTTTTGAAGCCAAGTCTGACTTCTCACTCTTGTTAATTTAGATATAGATTGATTTGGCAGTCTTGTATGCATGGACAACCTAGAGTTGAGGATACCTATTTTTTGGCTACCTTTTACAATTCTTTTTGACATGTATAATTTTTTTAATAATTTGTTTTATGCAAATTTTGACATGCTTGTCAATTACTGTTGTATTTATATTATTTTATTTCTAGAAGAAAATTGTTGCCCCTGCTGCATTTTATTTCTTGGTCATTTGGTTTGCATCATTTGTTATTAAGGTTGTCTACTTTCCAACCTTGCAGGGTGTTCTGAATGTGGTTATGGGGAATGCTTCTGATATTGGTGATGCATTACTTGCAAGTCCACAGGTCTTCTATCATTAACGTGAAACTCAGTTGTTGTCACATGACATGACATCACAATTGATTTGCCTCTAGAAATAGAGGGTTTTTTTTTTTCATATCCAGGTAAGAAAGATCACATTTACTGGCTCAACAGCGGTTGGGAAAAAGTTGATGGCAGGTGCTGCTGGGACTGTTAAGAGGGTATGGATATTCTGGTAAATGGATATATGTATATATATAAATGCTAAACCAGTATGATCATGCAGTTGACTGCTTGTATTCTGGATTCTTCTAGATATCACTTGAACTTGGTGGTAATGCCCCATGCATCGTCTTTGATGATGCTGACCTGGGTGTGGCAGTTAAAGGAGCTGTAAGTTTACACTTTGAAGTAGCTTTGATATGTATTGACATCATTTTGCGGTAATTTTCGGGGCGGATTATGCTTTCATTAAGTCGATGTCAGGTTGGGGTAAATTATGTTAAAATCGGGGTCGGGTCAGGGTCAAGTTGGGATTACTAAATTTCGGGTCGGGAGGAGGCAGCCAAAAACCCGCCCCACTTCCGCCCCGTTGCCATCCTTACTTGTAACTGGTTGTGGGACTGCAGCTACCATTCTAGATTTTGATAGTTGTTATAGAATCAAAATGGTTATCAAAATAAATGTTGTAGCAAAATCTTATCTGAACTAAAACCTTCTTGGAATTAAACTTGGTTCGAGTTGGATTGACTCAAAAGGTCAATGAACCAAAGTAACTAAATTGTATGGAACCCAAATTGAACCAAGCCGAATAGGCCTGAACCTGAAAATTGTCAAAAACATAAATGGCATGAACCGGTGCATATTAGACCTAATAAGCTGAAGTCAAATCTATTTGTAACCCAGAACTGAACTGATCAGAAACCATTACTACCCAAATCATAACCTTTGAAGACTGCAAATGAATGAAACAGTGACACTGACTGTTTTAAAAGATCATCAAGTTTACTACGATTTTCTGGATACGTGAAAATTGGCTGTAATATGCATTCTACTCTCTTGTCCAATTGCATCTTTTGTTTTATTCTTAACTCGATCATGTAGTGTTACCTTTGTTACATCATTAACAATGCCATGCAATTTGCAGGTTGCAGCAAAATTTCGTAATAGTGGACAGACGTGTTTGTGCAAACAGAGTAATTGTGCATCATTAAGGAATTGTACTGTTAAACATGGTTATGTTGCCAGTTTATGCATGGATTGATGTTTTGCGTTCTTTTTGTAAAATTTGATAAATTCTCTACATTTTCAAAATCACAAAAGATACATTTTTTTTTATTGTTATCTGCAATATGGTGCATGCTAAACTTCTTAACTGATTATCATAAGAGCCAGGAAGCACAGACACAGGCACACAGTACATGTACGACTAGACACATGCAATATGGTGCATGCTAAACTTCTTAACCCTTGAGGGAGGATGGCTCCGTGGGTAAGTTTTCCTGATTAGAATAATTTATTTTTAGCAAGTATTTTTATTGCAATTGGAAGTCTTTAATTTTAGTTTCTTACTTTACAAGAATAAAACCCTATAGAACCTCTATTTAAGAGGACGATTCATAGTAATATACTAAGAAATCATTCAAATTTATAGAGGTTTAAGATTGTATCTCTAATGAGTCAAGGATTATAGGAGCTGCCTTCGAAGGTTCCACACATTATTAATCATAGGTTCTTCATGAGGTAGGGATTGTAATGAGGATAACGCTTAATCAACTGAAGCAGGTTTTCTCGTGATCCCTGGTGACTTAAACGACAACTCATAAACTTAAGAATTTGGTGTAAGAGTGGGAGACTAATGGAGATTCCCACACAAAAGAAGAGTTGAGGAATTAGTTGCAAGAAGTTAAAATAATTAACAAAGCAAGAGTGGTAGAGGGCAAGTCACAAATGGCAGCAAGTGTAGCCACAAATAGCCTAAATTGGGAAATCAGTTGCAACAACTGTCTAGTGACTCAATCCATAACTTAACTTGTGAACTTAACAAATACAACAAGAAATAAATGTATTAATTTACATTCTTATATGTATGTATTTAAAAAAGGGGAAAAGTTAAACCATTTAGATACATTTCTCATCTGAAAGAATTGATAATTTAGTACAACCAAATAGACAGCCAAACCTAAAACTATTTGGTGGGTTTTTTTTATGTTTTAGTTTGTTGGAAAATTTGGGCTACAATTAGGCTTAATTATGAGCAATGAGCCACAACATTTTTATCCTTTTGCTGCAAACATGTTGCATACAACTACTCTTTATTCTCTAGGATTCGGGGTGCAAATTAAAACAAGTTGTAGAATTATTCTAAATTCAGTTCTTTGTTTGTTTATCTTCCAGATGGTGATTAGAAAGGCCTTTTTTTGTGCTTCTTTTATCATATTTAGATACCCAAAGCATAAACTATACGGTTGGCCTTTTTGGTCTTGGTTGCTAAATTTCATCCAAAATTCAATGATGGATTATACTATGACCGTGATTATTGCTTTTATTTGCATGAATGCTGTTGATATCATTGCTGCTTCAAAGAAGTTGATAGTCTACTGCATTACAAGTGTGAAGTGTTTCAAGCCAATCTGGTGTATTTGTCATTGTGTACATGTTTGGCTGTTTTGATTATATATATGTTAAGAGTCAAACATGCAGTTGTTAAATTTCTTGTCCTGTATATGCTGTCATGTTTCCACATCAATTTTGCTGCTTGATTGTGTCTTTGTATTTACGTTTTAGATTTATGAGATGCATTTCAATTTGTCTTGTGTCAGAGAGGAAGTGTTTGGACCTGTGACCCCTCTTTTGCAGTTCAAAACTGAGGAAGAAGCTATCCGCATTGCAAATGACACCAATGCAGGTTCGTTTTCCAGGGTTCATTGTTGTCTTCTGGATAAGCTAATCCGTAGTCTTTATTAAGTTCATTTCCATTATGTTTTTAATTGTTCTGTTGGTGTCTAGAGAACTATTTGTCTACCAAACCTAATAAATCACTATTGGTAAAATTACTTGTTTAAAAATTATTCATATACCACCTCTTCTAGGATAATATTATACAGTTTGATTTATTAGATCTCATTCTTTGCTGCACATATTCAGGGTTAGCTGCTTACATATTTACAAACAATGTTCAATGGACATGGCGTGTTTCAGAAGTGCTCGAATATGGACTTCTTGGTGTTAATGAAGGAATCATTTCAACCGAGGTGAGTCATATTTGGATAAACTAACAGAAAAGCAACAGCAGCGATAGATTAAAGTTATGGTTTGTCTGTTTCAATTCAGGTGGCACCATTTGGTGGTGTCAAACAGTCTGCTCTCGGGCGAGAAGGTTCCAAGTATGGGATAGATGAATATCTTGAAGTGAGTGTAACCGAATATTGCCTCGATGCATTTTTCTCCTTGATCTCCTGTTTCCCTCGGTAAAGCAATCTTTCATGATTTTGCAGCTCAAATACGTGTGCTTGGGAGATATGAACAGAAAATGAAGCGCAAGGTATGTACTGGGATTTTTGTTTATGATAGAAGCCTGGAACTCGAAACCGCAGAACATCAAGTGGTTTGTATTGCTAAATGTCTGTTCACAGAATTTAGGCAACCTTTGCCGCCGCTGTAGACTAATTAATAGTTGAGAAGGCAACTTGTTCGAGAGTGAGGTGCACTGAACAGTGCAGTCTTTGAAGGTAGTTATGGTCTGAAAGCTTTTATGATAAATTAAACAAAATCCGAATCTATAACATTTATGAGCATGCATGATCCATCAACCCTCCCCACCAATATTTTATACGTTCATTGTTGATGATGAAGTTAGTTGTTACAGTGAAAGTGGAAATGATTAGTGAAGGTAAATACATATATCTATATTAAGGATCAAAGATATCAGCTGGAGGAATGAAGGAATCAATGGAGAGTCCCTGAACATTGAAAACAACATCATCGATGCTCCAAAATTCCTCCATCCGACTCCGGCTGTGCTGCATCGACTGCTCCCCGAATAGGAAAACGGTAGCGATCGATCGTCCTTGGTGCGCTATCAACACTCCGTCCACGTCTCTGTAGTCCTCAATGCTGCTTCCGATGGTTGTTTCCCAGTAGGCATCGTCTCCTTGCGTTTGGACTCTGGTCAAGTGGGAGTCCTCCAAGTATATCAACAGCCCACTCTTTTGGGAAAAGTAACCATACAACACGTGTCTGATCACCTCCGCCGGCCCTTCATTCCGTTCCATAACTGCTGCACGGTCGGCGCTTACTTTCAGTACGAAGCAATCCTCATCGCCTATTCGTTTCTCCCCCAAGCATTGCGCTTTTGCAAATAAGCTGGCTGTTGTCCTTGGATCCAGCCCCTGAATATTCATCCCAATTAGCCCATCTTTATCCAAATAATTTAAAAAAAAAATCACAATTGTAATAAAGTAACACATTAAAAAGGAGATTATTTGAGAATGGGATAAAATACCCATAAAAGCAAAGGAGGAGAGCAAAATAATGCAAGTGTATGGTAAAAGAAAAGAAAAAAAAAAGCAAAAGCAAAAGGCAAAAGGCAAAAGGAGAAGGTGACAATCCCAAGATGGAAGCAGTGGAGGTGTTGTTGGATGCAAGTGATTGATGAATGGATCATACATTACATGACATTTGATGATGTCAACTACACCATATACTCAATATTATCACACATTCATTTCTTTTCCAAGGATCAAAACAAAAAAGAACAGAAATTTTGTCTGCTTAAGCATGAGACAGTTTCTCCATCCATCTTGTCACTTAGTACCATCCTTGTCTGCTAAATCAAAAAAAATTAAATTTGGATATAATTTATCAAATTTTAGAATTAACAGGGATTTATCAAACATAAAAATTTAAGTAATTTTAAAATTAACAGAAGTTTCAAATACAATTAAATCAGAAATTTAGAGGACTGATATTTAATTTGATTAATTTAAAATTAATAAGGTCTGATATGTAATTAAACCAACAAATGAAGTCCTCCCCTGCACCATATGATTATTTACATCATATGTTAATTTTTTTTATCATGTACAGAAATGTTAATGCCACCATTGATAGCTTAGATACCTGGATAATGCGTCTCAAAGGACGTCGAGGACCCTTGGCAGCATGCGTGCCCAGCCAAGACGTGTGTCGCCACACCGTTTTTCCGTCGCTGCCGGCGATGACCTTGTTGCCTCCTACGACGAGCTCGAGAGACCACATCTCCGGCTTCATTTGCCATACCACAAAACAACCGGTCATCTCTTCACTCCTCCTACCTAAACTCTTCACCATACTCTTCCCTTTCCCCAACCCCGTCCCCGTCGATATCTCCGTCTCGCAACATACCATCTTCACACTCCCCGTCGCGAACATGTTCTTCGCCCCGCAATTCTGCCGCTGCTTCAAGCACCCCGACGCCGCTAAGTATTGCTGTATGATGTAATGCGCCATTGATACTTGCTGTATTCGATTAACAGTAAGAAATGATATAAAGACAGAGTGACAGACTCAGAATTTTATCTAAAATTTAAATAAATAAAAAAAGGGAAACTTACAACGGGAATGTCTTTGGGGAGAATGTGATGAATTTGGTGATCAGGTAGCGGAATAGGGGCGAGGGGGCAACCCAAGACGCCGAGCAAAAGCCTCAAGTCTTGTCTCTTGGCCGCCGCCGGAACATTACTTCCGGGATAATCGGACAGTGGGAAGCTGTTATTATTAGTAGGAGACAATGACAAATCCTTGTGTGTTCGAAAGCATTCTCCGATGAGTTCCCAAGACCTCTCCTTCTTGCTCCCTTCATCTTGGATTTCCGGGTCCATTGGTCCTTCCATTAATGGCGTCAGTGTCTGCTTGTACCAGCTCTGCTTCCTTCTTGCTCTCGTTCCCATTGATTTCGATCGGTTAAAGACGATTTATTTGTGTCCTTTTCCGTCCCAAAGAACTCAGAAAAGATTAAAGGAGATGACGGTCAGAGAGTAATGGAAAACTGGGAAATTTTCTTGTGGCAAAAGAGTGAGAAAAAAGGGACCGGTGATGAACCGTTCAACCACATGGGGAGAAAGGGTTTGTTGATATCAAAATTTCAAAAAGAAAACTTAAATCGTATGAAAAAATATTCTATCTTTACCTTTAACATTCTTTCCTTTTTGCTTTTGGACTTGGACTAATAGTTTATGCATGTAGTCAAGTGTTGTTTTGTCTTTTTTAAGGTTAAAATTACTCGTTAGAACTATTCATTATAATGAAATAAGAAGAAGAAGAATTGTGCTATAAAGCAACATGGTGTTAATATGGTAGCCGGTAGGTTGGATGGGAGAGTTAAGTAGAGTACCAAACAAGGCCCCGGCTCTTTGTTAGAGGGGCATCCACTAGTGGACATTTACCTTCTCCCAAGCATCACTTTAGTACGACAGTAGATGAAACTAGAGACAAATCGCGAATTATTTGATATTCGATTCGAAAAATTCGTGAACTACTCAAAAAATCTAATATATTAAAGTTTTAGTTTTTTTTAAATTAAATTATTAATAATAGTAACATTTATATATTATTTTTTAAAAATAAAATATACGGCTATTATGTGGTTAAGGCTTGGGTTTGAGTTTGAGTCGAGTTTCAATTTTTTTATTTCGAGTGGAGTTTGAAAATTTTAAGCTCACGAGTTTTCAAAACGAATCAAGCTTAATTCTAAGTTTTTGAGTCGAGCCGAGCTCTGTGATACTTGAACTCGACTCAATTCATTTACAACCCCATACTTCTTTCATGTTATCATTGAGTTTTTAGAAGGTTTAATGGTAAAATTTTCGTGAGTCAGTGTTTGTGATTGCAGAATTCGTCGAAAACAGCAGCAAAGAGACGATGACGATGGGGTTCAAAGAAAACAAAAATATGATAGTTATGGATAGACCAATGAAAGAGGCGGATGTACAGTCACACCTTGAAATTTTTAAATTTCATATATTATAAATTTTTTTATACTTTTTATTGATAATTTATTTTACTTTATATTGAATGGTATGATTTATTTTACTTTTTAATACATAATATCACACTTAAGGCTGATTGGAGGAATCCCTGTGCCTCATATGCAGGGTTCCTTAGGGTCAAACCTAAGATAGATTGGAGGAACCAATATACTTCACACATTAGGCTTAATAGGAGGCACAGCTATGTATGTTGTATTGCATATATGTTGGACATTTTATGATTCTATTTTATATCTCCGGCAGCTTTAAAACTTTTGAACACTATTGCTGAGGTTCGATGGGTATTTAATGCCTTTCTAGACAATCATCTATTCAAATTAATATTGTTTGTTTGATTTATTTAAGTATATGCTTTTAGGTACTAAAATAGAAGTATGTTTCGTGTAAGTATAATCATCTAGTATTTCTTTTAAGCATGTATGTTTATCTTTTATACAAGGGTTGGGAGGAGATAGTTGTTAAGCAAGAACAGTCTGATGGGGGTGCATCAGAGATGAAAATATCACTCCCATCTATGCCTTCTCTCTATGTGATCTCCTTCTTATGTCAAGCATGTGAAGAAATTCATAGTATTGGAGGCCATGTTCTCAAAAAATCAATTGTGCAAAGGTTTGCATTAAGCCTTGCAGAAAAAGTACAAAGTTTGTCTTGCATCATGTTCTTTGATTATTCTACTAACACTGCAATTATCTTGTTTATATTCTATATACCAAAATCATGCTGTATATACTTTAATTGTCTTCTTGATGGTGTTATTTCTAAAGTTCTTTTTCTTGTAAACATATACATTAAAGCCTTAATTTACAGTTTATTTGTTGTAATTGTAATTGTTAAACTGCTATGGTTAGATCCCTGTTTCTTAACTTGTAGTTGTTATTCCTTGAGGAGTCTTCTTCCATACAGCTCCATACCATATGGTTTTTGATGTCTCTAGTTTCTTATATTTTTGGGGCTTTATTACCATATGAGTTGATTGACCATCTGATTTTCTGTTCATTTTTTGAATACTAGAGCTTGAGACAACCATGATGATGGCAGTTGTTTCCCTTTTTAAAGAAATATTAATAATCAAGTTATTTAATTTTTTCTCTTTTTTGATGTAAAAGTGGATGTGTCCTTCATAAACAGCATTGACAACCATGATCTGTGACTGACTTAAAAACTGGACACGAGTTCTATGTTTACATCATTAGAAAGAAAATTACACATTGCTTCTGTATTAAGAATGATTTCTTTAAATAAAGAAAGAAAAATTATGCCTCTTGAGAAGTATTATATGGTGGATTCTTTTTCCCAGGAAGGTTTCTTTTCAAAAATATTTAGCTCTAAATTATATTTTGCTTGGTTCCCATATGTTTCTATTCTTTTTGGGTAAATTTGTTTCTATTCATCGTGTAGCTCATTTCGATTTATGAGAACTCTCTCTCTACTAGAGAAGCCTCTGGAGCTCAACTGTCAGAGAAGGGAATTTTGCAGGTGTTGTGCATGAGATTTGCTGCTGATGTTCTTTCTGGGGGTGATTTCAATGTAAATGAAGAGTTATCTAGAAAACCGAAGTATAAATCATCATTCAGAAGGAAGCAGGATCAAATTCAGACCAAGTCTGTTGTTAGAGACAATGTTGATAGGCTGATCTATTCTCTTTCTCAAAAGTTGGATCCTATAGATTGGCTGACGTAAGTGTTTCCATAGCATTTTACATAAATTTGTCTTTTGATAATACTTCTAAAATTCTTAACGACTGTTATATAGACTAGAGACTACATAGTATTCCTTCAATGTCGGAAGGAGAACCGAGATGCATCGAAGCTTGATTTTGATTTCTTTCATGTTTTTTTCATTTTGTATGGTTTGCTACCAAACTCCAGCATATGTTACATTCAAGTCTAGCTTTGACTAGATCCATGGTAGCCATCTAAACCTAGTGTTGGTAAAATCCCTTACATATCGACTAAATGAAATATGTAGCTTGGGTAAAAAGTAACTTTGAAAATGATAAACAAGAACAATAATTAAAATTAGAACTAATTGGAGTACATGCTCTTAGACTTGTTACTTTATTTCACCTTAAGTAGTGAAGTGGCCTGATTTTCTGCTGTTGATATTTATCTCTGAACTCTAAGCATATTGCACGTACAGGGTGCTGTAATTTATTACAATGGGCTGTTCCTGTAAAAGAAGTTTTCTGATTGTTTAACTCAAACATTGCAAAAATTAATGCAATGGTTCATCTGATAAATTATTTCATTTGTTTAACTAGACCAGATTGTTTCTAGTCTGATATTTATAAAATGTGTACTGCTATTTATCAAAATGCACTACCTTAATTAAACTCTGTTAAAGCCTGATGAAATCGCCAATGTGTCATCTGTTCTCTGGATGCTTCCTTTTGAGCACCTTTGTGCCTATCAGTTTATGTTTTAGAGTCGTTATTTCAACTAGCAAATGTTTATATGTTATATTTATGCTGTTGGCTTAAAGGCATGATTGCTTGTAGCTCTTCTGATTAATGGTGTTTTCTAAATAATCTAAGGTATGAGCCATACTTATGGGAGAATGAGAGGCAGTCATACCTCCGGCATGCTGTGCTTTTTGGGTTCTTTGTTCAACTTAATCGGATGTATACAGATACTGTACAAAAACTGCCTACTAATTCTGAATCGAATATTATGAGATGTTCTGTGGCTCCTCGTTTCAAATACCTTCCAATCAGGTTTGTGTTTTACTCGTTTATTTTGCTACACGATCTTCTTTTCACTTTACTCGATGTACAATACTATCTTGCGGTATTTATTGATGTATCTGATTTTCCTATACTTTATGGTTTGGTCATGTAGTGCTCAAGTTTTGTCTTCTAGAGGTAATAATGGGAAACCTAATAAGGGCGCCTCCAGCAATATTACATCAAGTTCCTGGAAAGCTTACACGAATGGAGACCTTTCCCAGAAAGGTGATTTGGATGATCATCAGAGTTTAGGTGTTGCGACACCTTTCTTGAAATCATTCATGCAGGTGATGCTATTCATCATTCTTTACGTCATTTGAAATGGTTTTTCCTTTCCCTCTGTCATGTGATGTGAATGGAAAGTCTCCGTATAGTTAGTGTACATTTCAAAAGCATGTTTGCCGATACGTATAAACCGGTTAAAGTTGCACCCTTTCCGGTTTTACGTCGTCGCAAATAATACCTCGTAGTGTTTCGTTTTCTTTTTAATTTGCATTTAGTACTTAGCACTCTGGTGTTTCATCTTCATGTTGTAGGAGATTACTTAAAGTTGCTTATCAACAGATGGTAAATATTTAGGCACATTTGATGCTTTGGCACCGTGTTAGGCATATGAAATCTCATGTTGATGATGAATTACCTTGTATTGGCCCTGGCAGGTTGGCAGCAGATTCGGAGAGAGTACTTTAAAACTGGGATCCATGTTAACGGACGGACAAGTGGGCATATTCAAGGATCGATCCACATCTGCCATGTCAACCTTTGGTAACATTTTTACCTGTACAAGCTGCCGGACTTCTTTCATCTTTTACAAACACCAGGTCAGATTCTTGATCTCTGCTGGATTTCCCATATTTTAACGGATACATCACTATATTATATGGAGGGTAGGGCGGCTTGAAATTTCCGACCTCAAAGAGCAACGATGGGGAACAGCACCGAGTGATATATACTTTGAAAGTAAAAAGTCGAACCGCAAAGTAAATATAAATTCGTACCCCCACTTGAAATCATTTACAATTATCCACTTTAGGAGCTATATCTTAATGTATCAGACAAGCGCATATAAGGCGACATCGACAATCCCCAACTTTTGTAAATCAAATTTTGTAAAAGACAAGTGTAGTGTGTATTAATTCCAAATGCCGGACATTCCAATTTCAGACAAATAGCTTTGGTCTGAGCTTCCTTCTCCGAAGCTCGGCGATTCCTTCACATTAAGATAAGCATCCAGCTTGGTCAAATGGTTCAGCACAGCTTTGATCACTTTTTTATCACAAGGGAAAGAGTCCAAGCAAGCAACATTAACGGATGTTTGTCCAACAGCTGTTTGTGTTTCGGCCGGAATGTTCGGTCCGACGTCTATGAAATCCGGGTCGGTTTGGGTTTGGGGCAAATTGGAGAAGCAGGGCACTTGCTGCTCATCTGGATTTGGTTGATTCTGATGAGAAGTGAAGTAAGAATCCGTCAACGGCGGAAGAGGTGTTGAAGAGCCTGTGTCATCATTACAGCTTCCCATGCTACTGTGTTTTGCACTAATCTCTTCGTTCTTGTGCAACACTCGACATAACACCCAATCTTCCTGCAAGTTCCAAAATGACACAGCTTTTATCATTAATTTTGGGTAATCATATTTTGATGTCATGTGATTATAAGAACAAATCACAATTGAAGTTCGGTATAACAAAATCTTACACTAAAAAGTTATGGTAATGTAACACAAAGGACAAAGGTTTTTATTTTATTTTTATAAATCAAAGAAAAAGATGAGATCAAAAATGTGTCGGCTTCTGGTATTTGAAAGTCAGAAAATCATTTTTAGAGATTTGACTTTGACATTAATATTTTTTAAGTTACAACCTGCCCCAATGTTCATGCAGAAATTTACGACTTCATAATTTATATTGATAGAACATACAACCAATCAATTTATTAGTTGAAATATTGGTAAATTCAGCCATCGAATTATAAAATTATCAGTCGTATAGGGAATTCAGAATATTGGGAGGGTCGTCCTTGTTTTAATAGTATTCGATTTAGATTAGTCGATTAATAGATCAGATATCGATAGTTATAATTTTTTTTTATTTGAAGCAATACAGAAAGAGTGACATACCTTGAAGGTGGAAAAGAGACCATGAAGCCTGAATTCATGCATTACCCAATCAGTTTTTGTGCCTTTGGGAGCCCTACCATGGTAGAACACCAAGGTTTTCCTCATCCCTACAATGGTGCCCTTGCTTAGGACTGCCCTATCTTTCCCAGTGGCCTTCCAGTACCCTGAGGCTGTTGCCCTATTCGTCCTCAATCCTGTTGCATATTTTCTATCTCTTTGACTGTAAAAATACCATTCCTTCCTACCCACTCGAGCCGTTTCTACAATTCATTTCCATTTCCAAATTAACTATATCATTAAAAGTATTATTTCTCTTTGAGATTTTGGGTTCGAGTAATTGAGTCTATAGGATGTGTCTGCGTTGTCAATAACTAATAAATATTATAGACAAATTCATGCTCAAAACTTTTCTTTTGCTTTAAATATTCGAAATCTTCGATGGATAAAATAAATTGTTGTTATGTCTAGAAGTCAACAGTTATATTAGCAGAATAGGTATGCGTTATTAATAGTTAAAAAAGATTCGGAAGAGATGTTATCTTGTAATCACACCAGACTATTTTAAAAAAATATTAAATTATGTAATATTTTAATTTTGTTTTTACTTTGAAGTTAAACTCTTACGTTTATTTAAAAAAACGTTTACCTAATGAATGTATACATAATATGTATTTTCAATAAGTGTATTATTAATGAAAACAACTCTCGACTTTATCGTTTGAGTTTTTATATGCAATAATACATTTGTTGTCATTTCTTTGAAGAAGTTGCACTAAAATTGTTAGTTTTTGAGGTTGACTATGTCATCAAACTAACTAACTTTGAATTTTGGGTTACTTCAACCTAATTCTTCTTGGATGCACCTTTTTGGGGTTAATTGAAATTTAAATATTCTTTAGATTAGGTATATACATAGGGATGCACAGGAGACCCGAACCCGATCGAGTCGGGTTTTTTAATCGGGTTCAGGTCAGTCGGGTTTTTATTTAAAAAAATGGGTTCGGGTCGGGCCATATTTTTAAAAGGTGATGTTTGGGTCGGGTCGGATTCGAGTTTATGGTGAAAAATATCCGAACCAAAAATATATTTTACCTTATATATTTAGGAATAATTACAATAATACTCCTTTATATATTATTTTTTTCAATTAAATCATTATTTTTATTGAATAAAAATAATATTTTTTATTATTTCAGATCGGGTAGTGTTGACAGTAACTCTACCCAAAACTGACCCATATACATCCCTATATATACACTCGCATAGCCAGCTAAATGTGAGGGTGTCATATAACACCCCAATTTTATTTTTTTTGAAATTTACAAATTAACACCTTAAAATATGTATTTTTTAAATTTGACAAATAAATTTTCTAATTCAGTCCCTTGGGTATATACCTAATAAAACTCATATATATATATATATATATATATATATATATATATATATATATATATATATATATATATATATTATTTTATATATAAATTATTTAAAAATTATTTAATTCTTATTTTTAATTTCAAAGTCTAAACCCTAAAACCTAAAACTTTAAAATCTAAATTTAAACCAATAAATAATAAACTCTCAGTTTTAAATGCATAAAGGGTAGTTTGTTGATTGGCTTAAAATAGCTGAGCCAAAGCCAATCAAAGATCTTAATTTGTCCCTTTAATGGAGAGTTATTGAAGATTGGTAGTTTTTCAAGAGGACAAAAGAGGGATGCTTTGCTTACACGTGTAGCACGTGTGACAGACGTGCAAATCTTTAGGAAGAAATTGAAAATTAATTCCCACCACAGTATTTTTAAATTATTAATAAAATAATAATAATATAAAGTTTGAATAGATGATGAGATGTAGACGGTCTTTTGGATTTGTTTAGGACAATCGAAGTACTATTTCAATTCCTTTGAATAGAGGAAAGTTATATAGTGCGATAATCTTAATATACGGTTAAAGAAAGACATTATCGGTTTTGTTATTATTATTTTTAACAAATATGGTAAAATATTACCTAAACCATATCCATCATCCCAAGTCCCAACTCGCCCGTCACTCCACATATATTTTCTATCATGATATTCATATTTAACATTTAATACAAATTTAAATATAAATATAAGACTTAATATATTTTTTAGAGCCTGAATTATATCTCAAAATACGATTTAGTGTATAAAGGACTTCTTTATTGACAATTGGTATTTAACGTTTTTAATATTATACTTTTGGACCTTAATCGTTATTAAAAGAAACCGAAAATGCAAGGCAGCTTAGAAAGGCAATGGAAAATGAATAGAATAGATGCATGGTATGGTGAGAGAAAAGTTACCAGGAAGATCCCAAGGCTCGCACTTATTAAGATCAACTTCAATCAAGAGGTGCAAGGCATCAGTTAAAGTGACCTTCCTCATCAAGTAATCACACACCAGCTCTTCATCTCTGGGATGGAACCTGAACCCTGCTGGCAACTTCGCCTCTACCAACTTTATCTTGCTCATCTTCTTCACAACCTTCAAACCCAGAATATTGCAGAAGAAAAGGGCCTCTTGTAGTTGAAGGAGAATGGATGAATAAATAAACAAGAGTTTGAGTCAAATCAAACGCATCCAAATGCTTAGGTGTTTAATTATTTGGACCTCACCTATCATCACCAGTTTCCCATTTGTAATTTATACCAACTCCCTGTCCTTTTCGTTTCTTTTATATTCTAAAATCAACTTTCGTTTCAGTCGAGGCGGAACATAGAATTTTATGTTAAGAGTTAATTTATAAAATTTTAGAATACGATGAGTTTATAAAATTTAAAAAATAATAATAAATTATTAATAAAAATACAAAACAATCTAATATATATAACAATTTGAAAATTTTAGGAACACGACCACCTTCGGCCGAGCTTGGATTTGTTGGTCCATTCAACATAAATAAATGGGGGAAATATTTCTCTGCTGCCCTCATGATATCCAATAGATTGGATTTTGTTTTACCAATCGTGTACTAATATAATATTTCGTTATTTTTTGAATTAATTAAAAATTATATAAGAAATTATTGAAAAAGACTAATGAAATATAGTGCAAAGGTCAATAAAGTCACATTTTCAGTTCCTTGGTAAAGGAAATATTGTTATTTTGAAGATTCGAGTTCGAGCACCATAAACGTCACGAGTACGGGTGTTCAATGTCAAAAGATTGAGAGTTATCTTTAAAGAAATATTGCTTTGTATTTACCTCAGATTAACCAAAAGAAATGAAAAAAAACTATCAAATAAAATATTTTTAAATATATATGTTTAATTATTTTATTTAAATATACAAAATTATAGAAGAGAGGAAATACACTTCTAATAAATATTAATTATCATTTATAATAAAAATGTTTTAATTATATTTCAACTCTTTTTTAAACAATTTTTGTGTAAGAAAAAAAGGTAAGGAGCAATGAACATTGAATTCACAATCTATAAAAAGAAACGTTTCAATTAAGAATTTTTAACCAACTTTATATCCACTTTGAGAGTGCTTGTATGATATTAGTAACTTTTTTTTAAATAAAAATGAGTTATTGTTTAATTATTTAATTTTATTTAAAGAGCCATCGTTCGATCGATCTATCAACTAATCTTAGTGATTAAATAGAATATTATTTTCCTTGGAGGCATCGGGTTCAACTAATCGTGTCTGTAAAGTGTGTATATTGCCAATGGTTAAGATATTTTCTTTATATTTTTAAATATTTTAACGATATGAGATATTTATTTCATTGGAAAAAAAATGAAAGGTGGTAGTAAAACCCATTGAAATCCAAAAGATGGTAGGGGATAGTATATTGAAAGGAACAGCCTCTGAATCCCTTAAAGCAAACCCTTATCCACAACTCAGTCAAATTCAATTCCTTCACAAACTCTTCTTCAGATAGTGCCGGTTCTTCAATTTGTATTTAAGTTTTTTTAAGTGAAATGCATGGGGAAAAAACAAAGGAATTGTGGGGAAGAAGACATCGATGGTGGAAGGAGCCAGAGAAGAAACAGGACAGGTGTTTCAAACGACAAAAATTGTTCAAAAGCAACCAATAACTGAGATTTGCTTCTTTTTCATACGTGGTTGGACTTTGCATGCCCTACCCAACTACCTAATGCTTAAGCAGCAATCTACAACATCTATCCAACCATGTGCATTGAATAAATGCATAAAAGGTTCTGTATTTTTTTAAAGAAAAACTAATGTGGCCTTTGTGTTCTTTTTTTTTTATCAACGTGGCCCTCCAACACACACATACACAATTTTTTTCACATGTACAATTAAAATTTGTAATATCGTTTAATATATTAAATATTATCTAAAAATATGTAACATGTCAGTATTTTTATTTATTAAAGAATTGATTACGATGATAAAGTATTGGAGTATAAAAGAATCAAATAATTGATGAGAATTTTTTTTACAAAGAGTTGTAGTTGGAGGAGAAAATTGAATAAAATATAAAGTTGTGAGACCAAATAGCAAAAAGAAAAAAATTGTTCACAAAAAAATTATTAAAATCACATAGGTGTTATGCACTGATTAAGAAACGTATGGTTCAAATTTAGTCAAAATAAACGTGAAACAGATGAAAAGCTAAAGAAGCAAGAAAATTATTCAAAATTTAGGACTAAATAAATAAATTTAAAATAATTCAAAATTTTTTAAAAAAATGAATCAAATCATAAAACAACCGCATTATTTTGTTAAAGTCCAAATTGATATCAATTTAATTTTTATTTTTCTATTATTCAAACTTTACATATTTAAATTTGACTCAAATTTAAAATTTGAAATAAATCAAATATTAAATTTGACTCAAATTTAAAATTTGAAATAAATCAAATATATCAAGTAAATTGAACAATTCGAGTTAAATAAGTTAATTTATTTTAAATAGTTTTAATTAAAAAATGACTAGGCAAATTAAAATTTTCGAGCTCAGGTTGTGACTGGGCAAATCACTTGACGAAGAGAAGTATTAATTACAAAACGACCCTCGCACTTGAACACAATTTACACCCGAGCGAATTAGGGTTTGGGAAGGGTAGGCATTCAAATATCAGTAGTGGAAACGTCACTTCTCTAGATAGATCTTCTGCAAATCGATCACAAAGCCCCAACCCAAGATGAGAGCCAAGGTAAGTTTCATCTTCATCTTCAATTAATCTCGCTTTTCCGTGTTTTTTTTATTATTTTCTTTCATTCTTTTTCCATCTTCAATTATATACATTCCTTTTTGCGGTTGGAATTTAATTTGTTTTTACTCATTAGAGTTTCTACTTTTTTAGACATCGTACAAGTATAGGGTTTTATAATTGGATGCGTGGTATGTTATCTATATGCAAAAGAAAGTGGAACCTAAATGGGATATTTGTGATGTTAGCTGTAGTGGATTATAGAGTCTGGAATGTGTTTGGTAATAATAATTTTGTTAATCCGAACCCTCTAGTTTTAATTGCTGATAAAGTAGATGAAGAAAATGTAAGAGGACTGGGTGAAGTTGAGAGATTATTGAGTTGGAACAGGAAAATGAGGAAAGCTGGTGAGAGAAGCCTTTAGCTTAGGTGAATTATATTTTAACATGGAATTGTCATATGGTTTATCGGTTTGGAAAATGCTTATGTTTTGATTGGCATTTATTGTTTCTTTCTTTGGATATTAGCTTTGCAAAGTGACAGATGAAGTGCATTGAGGAAATTAATTTGTTTGTTAGCCTAGAGATGTGTTTACATTGTGGAACTTTAATGCCTGGTTTTGGATTGGGAAATGAATGTAATACGATATGCAACTCATGCTAAAATTCTTGAGCAAATTCTTGCCTAAAGCATTATTTTTTTACTTTTCTGGTGATTTGAAGAAAACTTTTGTATTTCACACTTTGGTCTGGTTGATAAAGGATACTCATTTGTTTTACTTGTTATAAAAATGCATTGTTTTGACTTAAATTGAGAGATGTGATGGTTTGCAACGATTGAATTTTTAGTTATTTAAACAAGTGGAGATGGTAACATTTTAGAATAATTTACTGCATGAGCCATTTGGAGCAAATTGTTTAACTGTGTTGTGCTTTTCAGTGGAAGAAGAAGCGCATGAGGAGGCTGAAGAGGAAACGCCGAAAGATGAGGCAGAGATCCAAGTAGATGCGTCTTTCACTGGATTAGTTTTGCCCTGGAACCCCTTGTCTTCATGATTTTCCAGCATATGTTGCCTGATGTTGTGAAGATAGAAGGGTGTTTTAAGGCAAGCTTATCTGTTTCGTCTTCTGAATCTAGGTTTAAGTTTTAAGACTGTTTGAGATGTTATCTAGTACTACTAGATGTTATGCTGGTATTGTGTGGTTTGATCTTTGTAAACGGTTATCTTTGGCATCCTAAATGTCTGAAATCGGAACTTTTATTCTCTTATATGGTATCTAATAAATGAAATAGGTTGTTGGCATATATATATCCTGTAGCACTCAGCAGTGTCGAATTGGTTTAAGGGGGCAAGTTGATCATGTCATATTATGACCATAATACATAATTAAGTAATGTTCTACATGTGAGAAGGGATTAACAATAAAAATATTAACCAGCTCACTCAATATTAAGTCTAAAATACGAGTCCTTGTGCTTGAACTTGATTCATCTTCATTCCACCTTCCATAAATTTGGTTCACAGTCAAATGATCTTGAAGCTTCTTCTTTCCTCTTCAGAACAAAATCCATATTTTAAACTGTCAAAGGAATTGAACACTCAGAATCAAAATCACAGACCAATGACCTTCCGTTTTCTTCCATTTCCCCCCGTATTTTGGTACTCTAAAATTCAAAAGTTATCAATGGCTGAAAGGTTGTACTGCATTATAAGTCTGTCTACAACATGTTGACTAACAACTTCTCTCATATGCAACTCCTTCAGTACTTCCGCTGCCAGCACCATTTCTCCTTCATGTGCAATCCCTTCCACAAGTATGGTATACGTTGTCTCGTTAGGCATATAGCCTTTCTCGATCAACAACTCAAAAACCTTTAAGGCTTGACCAGTTCTCTGGGATTTGCAGAATCCTAATATAAGTGCATTGAAATTGTCAACATCAGGCTTAAAGTTGCTTTCTTCCATTACTGTGAAAATTTGCATAGCCGCTTGCAACATTCCCTCCAAGCACAATCCTCTGATTAGTGAGGAATAGGTGTAAGAGTCTGGCGTGAAGCCGGACTCGGTCACTTCATATAAAAGCTGAAATGCTGCAAATGTATTCCCTTTTCTGCATAAACTTGAAATCACACTCTTGTAGAAATCATTCGGAGACGAATTTTGTTTGCTTGCTAAGCTTTGAAATATGGAGAACGCCTCCTGCACCATTCCCTGCTCACAGAGCACAGCGATAGCATTATATGTTCCTTCATTATGTTTACAACGTCTATAGATCATTTGGTCCAGACACTTAACCACAAGATCCACCTTCTCCTCTTGGCAAAGTCGAGCGATTATCGGATTATAACTTGTAGCACTGACCTTAAAACGTCCTCGTATCATTTCATCCAAAACATCCATAGCATGAGAAGTCCTGCCATGGAGGGCAAGAGAACCAATCAATATATTGTAAGTAACTACAGAAGGAGATCGATCCTCACCATTCATCTCCGCCAAAAGCTCATTCGCTTCTTCCCACCGTCCCTCATAACACAAATTCCGTAGCACAATGTTATAGCTCACAACATTCGGATCAAACCCTTTGGCAGGCAAATCCCGGAAGAATCTAATCGCTTCATCTGTCCTCTCTTCCTTGCACAACCCGGTCAACAAAACATTGTAAGTAACCAAATTCGGCTTCCCACCTTTGGCAATGATCTCATCCAAAAGCTTCATTGCCTCGTCCACACCTTTTTCCTTATAAGCAGCTTCAAGCAAGAAAGAATAAGTGAATTCATTTGGAACCAATCCTTTCTGTATCAACCTATCCATCAACTGCAAGCTTTGCTTCAAGTTTCCATGCATACAAAGCCCTCTAACCAGAGAGTTATAAGTAACAGTATTCGTGGGATAACCATGAGCCTCCATCTTCTCCACTAATTGCATAGCATGCCCAACATTCCCCCTCTTGCACAAATGATTCACTAAGAAAGTATAAGAAGCTGCATCGGGTATGATACCGGAGTCGACCATCATCTCCATCACTCGAATCGACTTCTTCATCTTGTTAACCTTGCACAAATCGTACAACAGCTGAGTTGCTTGAACTACATCAGGCTTCTGTCCTTTCCCCACCATGTATTCCATGTGGAAATACGCATCGCTAAGCCTGAGTTCCCTACTCTTAGTGTCGCCCTTCCCTGTTTTCCAATTGGGTAAAGTGAAAACAGAGTGTTTAGGGGAAATTGTGATCTGGGTCGTTGCTAAAACCCTGGAAAACCCCTTGCTGAGTGTGAAATAATGACGGTTTGCGAGCTGGTAAAAGAAACCAGGTGGTCTCCTCGTTGGTTCAGGCGATGGGTTGGTCATGGAAGATGTGAAGTTGATTAAAGTTTCCATGGACTCCACAGAAACAAATGGGGAAAAAGAATTAAAAGAAACAGAAAGCGAGAACCTAATTTCTGGCAAATAGTTTCGTTTTCATTAAACAAAAATCAAGAGAAAAGGAAGGATGAACGTACATATAACTCGGTTGAGTGGCCTTTTAATTGTTGGGTGCTTTTCTTCAGGGAAGAACGCTTTGTTGTTGTTTTTTCTTTGGTGAGTTGGTAACTGGGAAGGCGAGGCAGACTCGGGTCATCTTCTGCCCATTGCCATCCACTGCTCTTTCCCTCGTTATCCATCTGCGACTGGTATCTACGCGCTATTTTTACTAGTCTGCCTGCCACGCGCTGATTCTCACTGTTCTAAATTAGAGGGCATTGAGGCTCATATTTTTTGTTTACAGAAACATAAAATAAAATAACAATCCAAAACCATTGAAGCCCAAATTTGCCATTTTAGTTTTTGGGTTAAAATATTGGGGTCCTTGAACTATTTTAAAACTTATACTATTAGTATTTTCTTTTACGTGACATTTTTAATTATTATTTTTAATATATAATTAAAATAAAAAAAAGGGGTAGTGCTGGTGACAGTGGGTGATCGTAAAGAAAGGGATGGGTTGAAGAGGATGGTAAAAGAGAGACCGTGAGGGTCGTATGAAAGATTTGTGATTTAGGATTTGTGGTATAATTTTTATTATGTATAATTTTAAATTTATTTTTTATTATAATTATATATTCATAAAATAATAATAAATGTCATGTAATAAAAAATATTCATAAAATAAATTAGAGTAATTAAAACCTCGTCAACAATTAAATTGAAAGTTTTTAAATTTAAATAATCAAAATAAGAGTGAAAAGATAATTGAATGACGAATAGTGTAATTTACCTACAAAAATAACATACAATTCCGTTAATTTTCAAGGCGTGGTACCAAGAAACCTAAATATGTGACAGTTTAGGTATTAAACGTATAATTTATCCTTATTATTATTATGTTATAATTAGGCTTAATATAAAACTAAATGTTTAAATTATATTCAAATTTGACTTTTGGTATCTAAAGAATTTTTTGTTAAAAATAAATGTATAATGTTTTCTTTGTTACACTTTTAGGTGTCTATCGTTAAAAAATAATTAAGTAAGACATGTCAAGTTTAGATTTTTTTTTCAAAAAATACTTTTAAAAAATATTTTATTTAATAAATAAATAAATATAAACGTGACAAATATCAATTGACATTTTTTAGTGGTAGATACTTAAAAGTATGACATAAAAAAATATTAGCACTTATTTTTAACAAAAAATTCTTTAGGCACCAAAAATCAATTTTGGATATAGTTTAACAACTTATTTTTATATTAAGCCTCAACTATTCATTTTTGGGTAAATTATAAGTTTGGACTAAATTTTATTCTCTCTCCTATTTCAGCCATTGTACTTTTAATTTTTTCAATTTACTCTTGAACTTTATAGATTAATTTTTTTGTCACTCTGTCATTAATAATTAAACGATGATAAGACATAACAACTTACATCAAAACGTTGTTGTTTTGAATTCCTGAAAAAAAAATTAGACTAAAACGAAATCATTTTGATTAAATATGACCGTTTTATAATTCCCTTAATTATTTAACGGCGGAGTGATAAAAAAATTCAATCTATAAATATAGTGAGTAAATTAAAAAAAATTAAAGTATGATGAGTGAAATAGGAGATAGAGTAGAGTTTATTTACTAAGCCTCTAGTTTACCCTATTATTTCGTAAACTGTTAGCCATTTAGGGCTCTTTGTCGTCTTCTTCGAGTTTCCACTTCCCAGCTTTCCTTCCTTCATCAATCTTCCTCAAAGTCCCTAACTTCGTTTTCTTCTTGGCTTTCTCGTATGTTAATTTCATTTTTTATTCAATTTTTTTAGCTATTAATTTCATGGATGTTACCGTTATATTTCAGCTGTGTTTTTTGATATTCATGTTTTATTCTTTTCAGAAATAGGAAAGAAATTGTTTCTTTTTTGTTCCATTTTTCTACTCGATCTTGTTAATTTCCGATTGATTATAAATTGGGTTTTCTCCGTGTGCTCGTGGCCGAGACGATTGTTAGTTATAATCCATAATATTTCATTAATTTTGTTTAGAACAAGGGATTATTTAGATGAGATTTGATTCCTTTTAATCTTAAAATTCCGATATAATCTGATAATACAACCTTTGATATATTTTCAGGTTTTGTTCTTATTCGAATGACCTTTTTGTTATTTGCAAATGCTGACTGCTAGCGTTTGTGCCAATTCTCCACCACGTCTGTCTACCGGTATGCTCATTTTCCATGCTAAAATTCTTGGTACTTTCTTATAATATTCATATGATATATTTGTTTTGTGATAATATTCTGTCATGGTTTTGAGCAGGGACCCGATTAAAGTTGCAAATTAATTGCAATGATCGCTTTGATGCTGTCAGAGTTTGTCCGCAAGTTAAGCCAATCGGACTCGGCCTGGAATTACAGCCTGTTGTTGGAATAAGCAGGAAGCAATCTATCTCTGTTGTATGTGCTGCTGCTGCTGCTTTGGTAAGCTTGTCACCGTAGATAATCGCTTACTTTTCTGTCTTGCTGCTTTATTGAAATTTAAATGTAGAGGAAACTAATTGAGTTATTGATATGGTTTGAAAAACTACATCTCAAAAGCTAGTTGTTGAGGTTAGAGATCTTAGGTCTATATAAAGAATAAACCACACCAAAAAATCCCTTACTTTCTTAGGTGGGATAAAAGTCTCATGCCTTGCAATGAGGCACCATATCAGTTTGTTTAGAGTAGGTAACATGGGAATGGACGAGAGAATGCATAGTGAGAGTGTCGCTTATCTTTGATCATATCAAATATTAAAATTCAAAACTATATATATGTGTGTGTTTGTTCTTCTACTGGCATAAACAGATACAAATCCTGAAATAGATTTAGTGAAAGAGATCACACCTGTACCGCCTCCTCCCTTGTCTCCAATGGTTAGGTGCTTTTTCACTCGGCATTGACAAGGTTCGAGAGTCTTGGTAGGCAAAAGACATGAAAGGAAAAAATGATCAAAACTTGTGTTTGAAAACGCTTATATGTTTTTGTGTGTGTTATCTGCTTTAAACATGCTAAAAGTTGACGTTTTAATGAAGTTGGTACTGAGTTTTTTATTTCCTTATCCTGCAGAGTGCAACATGTAGTGCATCTGGGCAAACTCAGACTGTTATTCGCGAGGCACCAACAATCACCCAAGCTCCTGTCCATTGTAATAACTAACAAAAACTTTCAATACTTTGCTGAAGTTCATTAGATGTATTCCTTTTTGTGTTTTTCAAGTGGACCTAGAGCCACCAACCTTAAGGTGAATGATGGTTAAGAAGGTTATGGAGGGCTAGGTGATTTGGTTGGAATAATAGAAGACATGGACCACATGGTGATAGGCATTTATCATTCTCATTCTTTTTGACACTTAGCCATTCTGCATCCAAACTTGCATGATCATTTGCTCCGTGTACATTTGTAGGATAGGATGATTGTTATTTTAGTACTTGGGAATCCGTATGCTACCTGTCACTACTAGCATTGAAAAATGTTCCATTTAAGTTTTACTAGCTTCTCATGGTGTCCCATGATTATTCAGGATTTCACTGTGAGTTCCAAGCTACTTTATGCTATTTTTTAAATATCTGGAATTTTATGTACTATTTTAGTTGATAAATACTAAGCCACAGCGGCTAGGGATAGAATCCTGGCTCTGGGGCTGTGTAACTTATTTACCTTGGGTGGGATACAACTATAAGCTGCTCACTTGAAGTTCATGGATTCGGCGCACTCTTTTCTAGTTCAGAGTATAAGTCTGGTAATTTTGCCAGAAAATGTACCATTTAAGATTGTTTTTATATGGCTTATTGAATTGCAGCAAAAGAGAAGTCACCACAACTGGATGACGGCGATTCTGGATTTCCTCCCCGTGATGATGATGGTGGTGGAGGAGGTGGAGGTGGTGGTGGAGGCAACTGGTCAGGTGGATTCTTCCTTTTTGGATTTCTTGCATTTCTAGGCTTCTTAAAGGATAAAGAAAGCGAAGAAGATTACCGGGACAGTCGAAGAAGGAGATAAAGAGTGAGAGACTGCAAATTGATAATATTGTGGAACCATTTGCATATAGATTTTAATACTGTATGCCTTTTGATAATGAATAACCTAATTCATCTTGAAATAAGAATTTGTAGTTAACTAGCCTTGTTCTTTTCCTTTTCTGGCAGAACATATGAAGAAGGGTAATAAGAATAGAAAATTTGTTCATCTAATGATTTAGATTTCATAAATCACTTTCTGATCTAATATATGTATCAAAGTAGGGCTCTGTAATTTTCCTTTTAATGAAATATATTTCTTTTACTTTTTTTTTTTTTTTTTGAATTTTGATATTAACTTGTATATGATTAGGGTTCTAAATGAGGAGTCGAGCTTGAGTATTGATGAGTTTGATTAGATTTGAAAAGTTAATATTGAGCTCGACTAGAAGCTTGTGAGGTTAAAATTGTTAAGTTTAACTCAAACTTGAAATAAAAAATTGAAGTTTGACTCAAAAGCTCGAGAGCTTAAAATTTTCAAGCTCGACGTGAAACCAAAAATTGAAGTTTAACTCGAGCTTCAAAAAACTTGAGCTTGGAACATCCTCAAACTTTGCTCGATTAAAGCTTAAACTCGAGTTTGGTTCAAGTTTGAACATGAACCTTTAAGTACATAAAAGTCTTGCATTGTATTAAAAAACATATACATATTAATTTCATTAATAATTTAATTTAAAAAAATAAAAATTTAATATATATTTTTTTAAGTTGCTCGCGAACTTTTCGAGATGAATATCAAGTAGTTCATTTCGGCTCATTAAAAACTTGAGTCCATTCAATTCTAGTGTTAAACTAAATTTTGATTGGGTTGAACTCGAGTGACTTATAATATGTCTCGTCTCATTTACAACCTGATAGATTTTACAAACCTTTAAACTAAAGTTAAGGAGCTCATATATCATTTTTGTTAAACAGATTTACTTAGAATTTTCTACAATTCAATAATACTTATTTGTCCTTTAAAAAATACTTATTTTTTATGGAAGGAATATGCAATTTTTTTAACTTTAAATTCTCATATGTATGAACGAATTGATTTCTTTCAATTTATTGCAATAAGGGTCCAATTGATTTTTTCTGTATTCCATAAGGGCTTTTTAGAACATTAAGCCAAAAATTATCAAGCGTCAATAGCAGGATCTATTTACAGGGAAAATACGAAATTGAAAGAAAAGTAAACTAGTAGAGATAATCTCAAAATTAACAGAACTTATAAGCAAAATTTAAAATTTCCCAAAAAAAAAAAACTTGTAAAACCCGAAGGCCATAAATCAAACCAGAACCAGTGGCCGTATTCTTTTATCCACTGAAGCCTTCGTCTTCTACAATGGCAAGAACAGCATGCAATAGTCTTCTTTCTTCTGTAACTCTTTTTCCAAGCAAAGCCTCCTTTTTCACCGAAATTCCTCAATTCGTAACTGCTTTGAATGGGTCCAAAACGAGATTATACTCTTCCAAAGTAACCATGAGCTTAAGAGCCGGCATTGTTGGTCTTCCCAACGTCGGAAAATCAACTCTCTTCAATGCTGTTGTAAGTTTCACTCAATTTCAAACTTTGGGTTTTATTTATTTTTTCTTCATTAGAACTGACAAGATTGATTTTGAGGAGTGAATTATTGAATTTTGAATGAAATCTTGTAGGTTGAAAATGGGAAAGCACAAGCTGCTAATTTCCCGTTTTGTACGATAGAGCCAAACGTGGGGATTGTTGCGGTTCCGGATCCTCGGCTTCACGTTCTTTCTGAACTCAGCAAGTCTCAAAGAGCTGTCCCTGCTTCTATTGAGTTTGTTGACATTGCTGGTCTCGTTAAAGGTGCTAGTCAAGGGGAGGTAAAACTTCTAAAACTATTTTATCTGTTTTTTCAGATTCTGTTGCAATTTTGGTTCTTAATTTCGTATCTGTTATTTATTTGTAGGGATTAGGAAATAAATTCTTATCGCATATCCGTGAAGTGGACTCCATTCTTCAGGTTCTTCTCTATTCTTTTCCACCATTCACCTGTAATCTATTCTGCATTTGCATATGCTCCGCTGGTTGCTTCTCTTATACGTCTTTTTAAGTTGATGATGATGTCATTTAAATGGAGTTTTCCTAATAGAAAACACAGGACAAATAATGGAAGGCATGCATATGCTAGCTTGACCGTCATTTTGCTAACTGAAATTAACGGAGTTCCCTTTTCGTAGTCTTTGGTTTAACTCTTTAGCTTCATATGCACAAATACAAGCTAATCTCTTTGTTAATCATTACCTCACTTGTGGCATTAAATGTCTGGTTCCTGCCTTTCTAATACTTACCCAAATCTGAGTGTGTATCTTTCAATCTCAGTAGAGCTATATAACCGATGGAGCTAGGACGCAATACATGCACAACAGGATATGGACATACAACTTTCCAGAAGAATAGGACACAGATAGCAGGACAGTTAAGACAGGATAATAAAAAGAAATTTATACAATAATATAAATAAAAAAATGTAAAATTTGATGCTTTTCAATTAAAATATAAGATGCAAATAGCTATTCAATTTTTGAAAAGCAATTCTGAATTTTAAAACTTGAACCGAAGAAACTCATCGGTACCAAATAGCTCAAACTCAAAGACCCTAAATTATCAGTTACACTATAAGAGAATTCTTTTCATGCTTGTTTCATTCTGCACTGCATCAGCCTTTTTCCCTCAAATTCTCAATCCGTGTAATCTTATGTTGATACTTTACTTGATACTCTCTCTCAGTCTATCATTTAACTCTCGTTCTTGTTTCCCTATGTTATTTTTTTTTCTTTTTTCATTTCATGACCTCCTTAGGACATGAGTATTCACTCTTTGTTGATTCTGTAATTGGGACAGAAGAAAACCTCTTCACCGTGTGTCCTGCTGTGTCTTGACTATTATTTGATCGTGTCTGATTCTTTTTGTTATATCCTCACATATCCGATGCATATTTTTCCGTGTTTGTCACTCATGCAAGACACTTGGACAATCCCTGACACTAGTGTCCAGGCTTCATAGGCTAAAACCTTTAAATGGTGAACTTGCTTCAAATTAGCTTAGTTGGAAGTTCAAACCAGTACTCCTTATTGATATTTCCCCCTTTTTCCAGTCTCTTTTTAAGTCAGCATCTTTATGCATGAATAAAGAAAATTTTCAAGAAACATGTAAAACCTTTTATTTTTCAACGATAAATACTGTATTTTTCCATATTAGTTCATTCCATTTTTTGAATGTTTAGAATAAAGATCTTAGTGGAAAAGCAAACAAAGAGGTCCTTTTGATTTGAGGGCAACCGGGCAAGGGATCATATTAATTATTGAGCCATTATTCCAGTATTCTATTTGTTTAAAATTATAAGGAGATCATCCCTTTATCCTTATACAGGAGACTACTCATATATTTAAGAATTAAGGAACCCAACTAAAAACTCCCCACCCTGAACAATCTTTTACTCTTTTTAATTGAATATGAAAGTACTCATTTTGAGAATTTGTTGATTTTTATGCTTTATCATTGTCCAATCAAAAGCTCAGCTATGTTGTCATTAACTTTTATTTTTTGAAATCAATGCTGATTTTATTATTCTTTTAGGTTGTACGCTGTTTCGAGGATAATGACATTGTTCATGTGAATGGAAAAGTTGATCCCAAGTCAGATATTGATGTAATCAATTTGGAACTTGTTTTCTCTGATTTAGATCAGGTATGCTTGATGGAGCTTTAATACAGCTTCTGCATTTTTTTCCCGAAAAAGTGGGGATTCTGATTCAATAGTCTGTAACACATTATCATCATATGAGTGCATCGAAACATCTCTTACAATGTCTAATCTTTCTGCATTGTTTGTGTGGTGTCTAATTTACATGTTAAGAGAAAACTTTAAGAAGATTTTACTCAATTACTGCTCCCCTCATGCATTTGGGATGATATTGATTCAAAGAGATTTCTATCTCAAAACTTACCCCTCTTTTAGCAAATAATGGTGGACCTATTTTGTTTAATTTATGTATTTATTTGAGAATCGTAGTTATATCTGATTGATAAAACACAGTCCTGTGTTTAATGGCTTATGGTGATGTGAATCAAATTACTATTTGTGTTTTTTTTCATATGCATTGTATCATCCATACAGCTAATCTATTTGTGTAGCCATCCCATATTGCATCCTGTAAATGATATGCATGCATATGTTTCATATCAATGTCAGTTTTTTCCAACATCTGGTTTAACATTAGCTTTATGTAATATCATATCCTTGTCCATGCCTGGGATTCTTACCATGCTGAAATATTTGTTTACACATTTATCTGTGAATTCAAATTAATAATTTTCTGTCCTGTGTTATGTTTTACTCATGCACTAACAGACAATAAATTTGTTTAACTGTTCTTTCTCAAGGAACATTATACCTTAAATAGGTTTTCTTGATTGCTTTTTTCACCGATAACCTTTATGAATCCTCTATGGCCATATTACATTCCTTTGGCCGCCTAAACCAAAATGGGGATATATTAAAGTATTGTATCTTTTATAACAACTGCAGATTGAGAAAAGATTGGAGAAGCTTAAAAAGGGAAAGGCGAAGGATTCACAATCTAAAGTAAAGGTGAAGCTATTTTCCCTCCTCTTATCTTTTGCCCGTCAGTCTGTCTATTCTATTCTCCGATATTGTTTGTGTTTGTGTTAGCATTGACTTTTTTAAATTTATGATTTTTTAGGAGGAAGCAGAAAAGTCTGCCTTGGAAAAGATTCAGCAGGCACTTATAGATGGAAAGCCAGCACGATCCGTTGCACTAAACGACTACGAAAAGGATGCTGTGAAACATCTTTGCTTGCTGACTATGAAACCAATCATATATGTGGCCAATGTAGCAGAATCAGATCTTGCTGAGCCTGGAAATAATTCCTATGTTAACGAAGTGATGAATCTTGCTTCTGAATTTCAGTCTGGAATTGTAACAATTTCTGCACAGGTTTGGTGTTACTTTTGAAAAGCATAGCATAGGGATAGTAGCATAGACCTTTGCCTCCTCTCTCTCTGATGTGCTTGAGCCTGTTGGCAGGCATCGATGCTCTGTCATCTTTTACTAAAATAAGAAAATATATCTTCATTTAACGCCTGATGTTGATTCATGTTATATAGCTGGTATTCTACCCTGCAGAGGAACTAAGGAAGCTTAACATTGCAGGTTGAATCAGAGCTCACTGAACTTCCGTCAGAAGAACGAACAGAATTCTTGAAATCTCTTGGTGTCAGTGAAAGTGGACTTGGAAACCTTATTAGAGAAACATATAGTCTTCTAGGGCTACGTACGTACTTTACATCTGGGGAGAAGGTGAAAAGACACTCATAATTAGTTCAACAGTTTTTAAATAATCCTGTGAAGTTATACTTCTGCTTGAATCCTTAGTTGTTGCATTGATTGAAAGCATTGTACTTAATGCTGCAGGAATCAAAAGCATGGACAATACTTGCAGGTAGCTTTAGCCGTGCTAGTGTTTGATCCGTACATTGTGGAGGCAGTCTTATCTTTATCTTGAATCTTAAATACGTGTTCCACTGTTGTCTAATTTTTTTCTTTCTTGATCAGGAATGACTGCTCCTCAAGCTGCCGGAGTCATTCACTCTGATTTTGAGAAAGGCTTCATTCGTGCTGAGACGGTAAGCATCAACAGTAATTTTGTGGATTGCATCCCATATATATTCAGTTTTTTCAACTCGAAGTGGCTGAATGGATGCAGTTTTTTTTTCCTTTTCCTGCTATTTGGTTTTATCCCACCTACTGTCTTGGCTGATGTTTTAGCTCCAAAAAGGGAACTTCAATCGTTTTGCTGGGCTATGCTTAAAAAACTGGACCAGAGGTCAACATGGTGAAACCACCTATTATCGGTTCAACTGGTTGGATCTGTTAAAATGTTTGATTGTCAAGGATAGAATTCAAAGATTACAAAACTAGTTTTTAAATTAAAGAAATATTAAAATAGTGAATAGCAATTAAAATTTTATATTTGATTAAATGGTATAAAACTTTAATCAAGGGGTTATAGGTTCAAATCACATATGATGATGTTTAGCACCTGTTTTCTTTCTTCAGATTTTTACTCTTTTTTACCAGTTCAACTGGTTTTTAGTCAATACGAAAATCTAATGGTAAGATGATATGTGCTTGATAGGATGCACCACTGCTTTCCGTTTTGACCTGACCGCCTGGTCCAGTTCTTGTTTAACAAAGAAACCTGCATGTAGCACTGCAGCGAGCTACTATCCCTGCAGTCATCAGCAAACTGTATAGAACATTATTCTATAGAAAGACATGGAATTCATTAGATGCTGGCCGAACTAAATATGTTATGAGGCCATCTGCTTATGTCAAAAGTGCAGAATTGTACAGTATATGCCGATTAAGGGGGGAAAAAAGAAACAATGTTTTACATTTTTGAAACATAATTCTTTAATCTGAATATAAGCATACTTTACCTTTTCAAACATATGCTTCTTTCCAAGTTATATGAAAATTCAGATATACACTCACATGCCGCTTGTTTCACCTTAAGATGTTTACTCAAACACTGAATCGTCGTATGGAGGGTGTTTGATCATTGATCATGAGATGAAATATATGCTTTGTTCTTTCAGTAACCATCTCTTATGAACAACTTTCTTGTTCTTAACAGGTATCCTATGATGATTTTGTCGCGTCTGGTTCACTAGCAGCAGCAAGAGAGAAAGGACTTGTAAGTTGTTTCATTGTTATTATCATATAAACTTCTAATCCTTAATAATTTTCCTGAAAGGAATGTGTATTAATACCTAGCATGATGTTCGTTTGTGCTATCAGAAAAGTAAGATTGTTTTGCATGCATTTATTTTATTTGAAAATGGTGAAACTCTTCCTTGGTCCCTATCTATGTTGCTATGTTTCTCTTCATTTTTCTTAAAATACCCGTATCCAATGCACAACTGGAGATGGGTATGGGTATACGACCCTTCAAGACCCTCCAATACATGTGAAAACTCGGAAAAAGTTAAAGCATACCTGTGGCTCATACATACCTATATTTGACACACATCTTGATCTAAGTAGGAATAAGTTCCCATGGCGCCCTATCCAACAAAACCCGGACTTGTATTTAATTTCATCTTTTCCTTGTTTATCCTTTAGTTTCATGCATATTTCAGCTATCCGCATTACCGAGTTTTCTTCATCTCTCTCTCTCTCTTGGATCTAATGCTCAACATACTTTTTCCTCTGTCTGCTGATGTTGTACTTTCTGCAGTTGAGATCCGAGGGTAAAGATTACGTAGTACAAGAAGGAGACGTACTGCTGTTTCGCTTCAACGTTTGATGACTGTTCTTCCGACGCCGAAGGCAAATTCATGATTCTTTTTCCCATCAAAGCAGTGAACAAGAAATGTAAAACTCTTTGGTTTTATATACGACAGTTGTCTAAGAGACTAAGACCATGTTCAACGTCAGGAAAATAGTATAGGATTGAAATTATTCTTTCATCATAGCCAAACCAAGAGATATTTTCGGATATTTTGCTTGAAGAATTGTTTGTCTGTAATTCAAAAGTAAAACGAAGGTAAACCCAAGATTCAGTCTAGTTGGTTCTTACATTCAACGTCTATAGCATATAACAATTTGTACTCTCCTTTGTACCAAAAACAGATAAACATTTGTAGTATCTTAAAAGAAAAATTGGGGGGAGGGGGGCATTTTTTATCTCAAGGTTGACATTTTTTATTAAGCTACATGTGATTACAAAGTAGTATATGTTCTAAGTATTCTTAATCATTGTCATGTAATATTTATTTTAAGTACTTTTAACCATTTGACAATGAACGTTTAAGATTAACCTTATATTTAAAGGTATGCATTATACTTGTAAACATTTGTATCTTTAAAATTTCACCAAAATTTTGGACTTTGGGATAGCCAAAATGTTTGGAGGTGATCAAGTTGAAGCCAAAACTAAAAGAGTAATTGGGACATAGTAAGTCTAATTTTGTTGCATGAAATTAATAGACTGCTTGTTTTCATCACTTGGTTCAAAAGCTTACACTTTGCTTGATCATTTGTTTCAGTGGTTATATGTCGCCGGAGTACGCGATCGACGGGAAGTTTTCGGTTAAATCAGATGCGTTTAGCTTGGGGGATGCTTCTGTTAGAGATTGTGAGTGGGAAAAGGAACAGGGGCTTTAACCATCCGGATCGTTACCACAATCTCTTGGGACATGTAGGTCGTCTTTCTTGCATTGTCATATGATTTCGTCGTGTCATTATCCTTATCCACTGGTGGCTGTCGGTCAGTATTCACAGATAAAATGTATTTGTAAAAAATTATATTTGACGAGCGTGAATTCATTAAATAATTTTTTAGTAAAATAAATAAGGTTAAGTGTTTCATATTAATTTTAAAAATCTATTATACGTTGCCATAGATATTTCTCCTAAATGAATGAAGTATGAAAGCATATACCTGAAAATCATCTTCATTCCAAAGTTGTTCTATGTCGCTCCGTGTCAATTTTAACACGACAAGATTCTTTGGATTGAAATTTGGTGATAAAGATTTGAAGGGGTAACACTCCCATGCAACATACCTTAATTCATTTGGAAGAGATGCAATACCAACCCCATTTACAGGTGGCTTCGAAATCCATTCCCATGAAAAAGGAGAGACATACAAGTTGATATATCTAAAATTAGACATGTTTTCAAAATTAGTAAGCATGAACTGTAGATTATCAATTTGAGCACATGATATACATCTTCAGATACCCATAACCTACTGCGTTTTTTAGGGTCTTTTGATTCTTGATCAACGATATCTTTTCCCATTTTTTCAAGCATATCATGCATAGTAATCCGCCCATAAGAATTGATATCGAATAAGCATTTGTCGAGCAAGTTACTTAGTCCACTCACAGCACCCATACGTGCAATTTAGAATTTCTTCTACATCTTCCTTGGAATCTCCCTTAGAGAAACATGCTATGTCAAGAAATATGTTCTTCTCTAGCTTATCCAGTCCATCAAAGCTACTCTTCAAAATGTCTGAAATTTTTGGTTCAACATACCGTGTTAGTCTATCCACCTCACTTTCCCACTCTTCTCTAGACTTTGAATATAGTAGCTTACCACCCAGAATCTTCAGAGCAAGTGGACTGCCTTGGGCGTACCTTACAAACTTGTAGGATAAATCTAAAAGTTCAAGAGGAGCAGGATTCAACAACTTAAATGCAGAAGTAAAAAAAAAGTTGAAGAGAATCCTTCCCATTTAACTTTTTCACCATACGTATTTTGTTAACTTCTCCATTCATAAGCACTTGTCTATTTCTAGACGTCAGAATGATTTTACTTCCATCACCAAAATGTTTAACACCCATCCGGTCTACTTGTTCTGAATCATAAACATCATCGAGAACAACAATTACTCGTAAATTGTTCAGCCTCTCTCTGTAAGGGTACCCTATCGAAGGGGTGTTTATATGAATTTCTTTATCCTTCAAAAGTACGGAAAGAACTTCATTTCGCGCAAATTCCTTCCCTTGTTTTTCTATTTTCTCTCTAACATTTTGAAGAAAGTAACAACTTTCAAATGTGGTAAAGACTTCATTATAAACAGCCTCAGCAAGGGTGGTTTTGCCTATACCACCCATTCCTCATAGTCCTACACATTTATTTTGCTTAATCAACTCCAAAATCTTATTTTTCTGATCATCTATTCCGATAAACTCTTCAAAAGCACTTTCAGAATAGCTATTCACCAACTTCTTTAATGCATATTCAACAATATCAACTTTCCATCACTTCACTTGATCAGCAGGCCTATTTGACTCATGGTCTTCAAAGGATGTTTTGAAACTGCCACTAAAATTTCGAACACCAGAAGGATCAACATGATAAAACATGGGAAGAACAAATTGACCATGAGTTCTCTTGCGGTCCATGATGACAGAGAGTTAAGCCAAGCATGATTTTGAAGATGCATAGTCGGAAGATAAAACAATGATGAAGAGTCTCGAGGCTTCAATAGCTCGAGAAAGTGCTGGTGAGATATGCTCCCCTATTTCCAATTGGTCTTCATCGAAGAAGACACTCATCCCAGTTTCTTTCAAAGCTTCGAGTAGATGAGAGGTTAAGTTAAGACGGTATCTTCACCCCTAAAGCTCAAGAACACTTGATGCTTCATTGGAGGAGAAGATGAAGAAGAAGCCATGAGAAAAATACTGATTGTGTGAGTGAAGCAAAAAAGTACCATCATTATTGGTGCCTTCTGTTGATCCTGAAAGAAACCGGACGCGCTTCATTTTTTTTTTTATAGCATTCTCAAGTTTACTTGGTAAACAACGCTTCTTAATTATACAAATTCAGCATTAGTTTAATTTTTTAACATATGGTTTAATCCGAAAACGACTTGCAACCTTTCAATATCTATGGTTCAAATCATACAAAACTAATCCAATATTCAAAGGTTGTCACATCAACAATAAAACACAAGTGAACTGTCATGTCAAAAGGAGAGGAAAAAACAAAGAGAAGTAAATCAATTCAAAGGTTAGGTACACAATTCTTAATTATACAAATTCAGCATTAGTTTTCATCTAACGTGTTAGTTCAATAATACCAATTCAAATTCAGCAATCCATAGAATAGTGACTCATGCATGTTAAAACTTGTTGAAATTGTCACAACTAATTTATTCACTGGTTTGTAGATATGCAGCCATGTGTTTCCAAGTTTTGTAGATATGGAGGAGGGTGTGAGAGTAATTTAAGGCCCTCGCAATCGTTAATCACCAAGGTGTTTCAATATCATGGGTCGAGTCAGGTTAAATTTTTTATCTACTCGAATTTGACCTAAAAATTGAACTCATCCACCCCTGAATCTCAATTTAACAAGAAGGTATTAACTTAACAACACTAGCATGTAAAGTAAGTGTCAGTGTGGATTATTTAGCAACTGATTTCTTCATTCTTTAATCAGACAAGAACAAATGAATGACGGGATTATTGGAATTTAACATACGAATTAAAAAAAACAGCTTATATATATTGAAAAACTGTAGATTATTAACAAGGTGTTTAATTCATAGAATTTAGGAGTTGTCTAATCCATGAAAGATTACTTCTTATAATAGAATAATTATAATATAACCAGGTACATTGTATTTGTCTATTTGATTTATTTAATTTAATGAAAGATTTTTATTCTTCGGTTGATAATGGAGGATCATTGCTTCCTCTTAAAATCTCACCTTTTGATATTAAATTAATTAAAGGGTAAATTACAAAAAGTCACTAATCTTAGAGTAAATTTTCACTTTTCCTATTGAAATTTCAACACTATCAAATTAATCACCAACATTATTGATTTATAACAAAAAAACTGATGTTGCATAGGCGACTCTTACTTGGACCGTCTGTCTACTCCTGGTAATGCACTTATGGAAGACCATTTAATTGTCTGTTAGTTTTCTTAAAGCTTCAACATCTTTCATCTCTGAAATAAACTTTTCTCTATTAGCGATAGTTGTTTATGTTAACAAATATTCTTTTCTCAAGATTGAAAAATACTACTACTTTAATAAATAAGAGAATGATTCAAAATATAGTTCAGTCAGCCTCAGAAACATATCAGATGATAGCCATTCTAAAGAAAGAAAGAAAAACAGAAGCAAGTTGCTCCTTGTACAAAATGGAGCTTCCACTGTTGCAGTGGAGATGGTAAGGGTTGTGTTCACTGTTAAGATGCACTTTAATCACTCAATCACTAATCTTAGCACCTGATTTTTCACGCTTTCTTTTCTTACTCCTTTTCTTCAACAACCCTTTCTCTGCTAGTGTTTTCAGTTTCTGCTTTTTACGTTCTTTCACTTTCTCCTCAAACCCATCGTCCATCATCTTCATCCTGGCCACACGTTTAGCTTTCAATACCTGCCAGTTTGCATAAGATACTAATTAACCTGACATGCATAGATATCAGAAACTACTATGTAGAAAACCAACTCTTTAGTGCCTTAAAACAGCCAAGTACTCGGTGCTTCAAGTATGGTTCATATTCACTACATTTGCACATCTCCCTGAACACATATTTCACACATGCATAGTAGACCTAATAGCATCAACGTGTTGACCAGAGGCATCCTTTCGCAACAGCCAATTTTCTTTTATTTCTCTCTCAAGTTAATGCAGTAAGACAAGAACTTCGATGCCTAAATGCATATTATTGCTTAGTTCTAAGAGGTAACCATATAGTTTCAACTTAAGAGCATTAGTTGGAATTGCATAAGCAGTTCACACAATGCCAATCCTCAGAAGGTTGAGTTCTGACAGTTGTCTAAATGAATAGCTCTGCAGTTTAAGCAGAAAAACTACAGGAAAAAAAGAAGAAGAATCTAACTGATCATACCTTTGTGAAATCAGACAGGACTTCATTCTCTTTGCATTCAAATTCTTCCAACTGTTTTCCTAGTTCTGCTTCTATTTCATGAACAAGATCCACATCATTCTGCAAATTACATTACTCTAATAAGCAACTCAAGAAAATGAACAACTAGGATCCTCATACTTAAAAAGCCTCTTTATTAGATCAGAAAAGGATAATCCATAACATACATGAAAACAATATAAGAACACAAATGAATTGGGATTGAGGAGGGTGATAGAGAAAACAGAAGGTGATGTCGTTATCAATAAGTTTTATATCTGAAATATGAGAGAGGGTAGACAAGGCTTAATTTATTGATGGAATTCGAACTCAAATTGGTTTCGGTTAACTAGCTTGTAGCTTCCTTATCTAACAAAAAGTCTTTAAGTTATGTAGAATTGACCACATATTACAGGAAACATGTACAGAATATCAACTACGGATTGTTTATAGATGGCAATCCCCTTTAGGGCATATAACACATGCAAAGGAACATGCTATGCCTTTAGAACAATAACTAGATAATTCTCATTTCTAAGGTTTGTGTTCTTCAAGATTTATGGGAAAACCTTTCAACACTTATCTTCAGGATCCATAGCCCTCAGAAACCATATTCAATGTCAACAACCACTTCATAGTTCATACTCACCTCAGTAACAAAGCTCACAGCCAATCCTCCTCTACCAGCCCTTGCAGTTCGCCCCACACGATGAACATAATCCCTAGGATACCTGCAACAAGTAGCAGCTAACATTCAATACCCAAGCATAGTTCAGAGACACTGGGTAAGAAAATTCTTAATTAATAGAACCTTGGAAGATCATAATTGATGACAAGATCAACAGTAGGAATGTCTAAACCGCGACTAGCAACATCAGTAGCAAGCAGTATAGAAACCCTTCCCGATTTAAAATGCTGCACTGCTGAAAGTCTTAGAGCCTGTGATTTTAATGAATGCAGAGCTGCAGCCTCCACTTCAAGCTCTTCTAACAATAAACTTAAAAGATGACAATCTCTGTTCCAAATTTATAAGAAATGTCAAAACAGAAATTTATGAAGAAACACAAATTTTATAACTTCAAAATAAATTCTGATAAAGCTACTAAGGAGAAAAGAATCACAACTAATGCAACATCTACAAGGTGGAATATTTTATTTTATACACAGCTTAACCAATTGTAGATGTAATAATAATAGTAGTAATAATAATAAGATGACAAACTAATATAAAAAGGGAAAGAACCAATCTACTCAAAGGTTTGATACCTGCATCTTGAGGCAAATATCATAGCGGAGCGGATATTCATGTCTTCCATTTTAGACAAAATGTGAACAAGATAAGCATCCTTCACAGTCTTAGGGATGAAAACATACTGCTGCTTAAGTGTTTCAACTGTCCTGAAGCCTTCATAAGCCTCATAGAAGTAGGCCTTGTTGGCAGAAAGCTCAAGCAATGTTTGCAGTTCACTGGTCATTGTTGCAGAAAATAACAAAGTTTGTCGATTCTTTGGCAAGCATTGGAAAACCACTCTTAGTTCCTCCTCAAAGCCAGCATCCAATACTCTATCTGCTTCGTCCAAGACTAAAAACTGAAACAAAATAATAACATAAAAGGAATACGTAAAGGTGGAGCAATTTCAAAACAAACATATTCATTTATTTAGCATGAAGGATCTGAAGAAGCCAGTGATCAGATAAAGAATCTCAACATCCTTATCCTGCTTTCCCGAGTCAATTATCACTGTCAAGGGTAGTTAAAAATATCATGTTCCAGTTACTCACATTCAACAATCTCATTCTAAAAAGTTCAGCTTATTTTCTGAGGAATAAACTCCATTCTGAAGATATTCAAATCTTCCTGTAAACTAATAATAAACAAAAGAATACAGAATCATTTAAACTCAATCCCAAAGTTACGTAATAATAGATGAGAAAACCTTCTCCATCCCTTAGTCCATATCACATATCTCAGCTTCTTATTCTCAGGTTTTGAAGATACTTGACTAGAAAATTACTCAACACTAATTATATTAATTAAACTAATACAAATGCAAGAAAATAATTAAACCCAACATCCTATGTTGTCCTAGACTTCAACAATTCATCCACCAAGTGCGTGAATTTGCAAGACAGAAACCCATACATAAGCAATGAATTCAAATGCTTTACCCGACATTCCAATTTTTATCAAATGAAACACAAATTTATCACGGCTTACCATCCACATCATCCCCATTTAGCCAAATTACTAGCTAATTGCACGTATTATCCAAAAATTAAATCAATCGAAGTTACATTCTGAATTTGTCAGTGTCAGTTCCAAATCATACACTAGCAAACAACTCTCATCAAAATCCGCTCTCTCACTCATGAAAATAACAACGAAGAAGATGAGGGATTTACCTTAGTTCTTTGAAAGACTTTAGGAATATCAGGATTCTCTTCAAGCAGAACTTTGACTCTTCCAGGTGTAGCCACGACCACATGCGGCCTCGAGACCAAGGCTTTCGCCTGTGTAATCATATCCATTCCACCCACCACAACCGAACACCGCAGATGCAAACAAGACCCCAAAGCTCTAAACTGCTCTGCCAACTGAAAAGCAAGCTCCCTCGTCGGAGTAATCACCAGCGAAAAAACCCCATACGGATCCTCCGCTAAACGGTTCAATATTGGCAGAGCAAACGCCGCCGTTTTCCCACTTCCCGTCTGAGCTATCCCTAGCACGTCACGACCAGCAAGTATTTTAGGTATGCAATGGGACTGAACCGGCGTTGGCTCTCTCATCCCAAGTTCTTTGCATGTCTGGATGGCCCATTCTGCTAGGCCCAGGTCGGAGAAAGCAGAAGTAGACGCGGCGGCGGAAGTTGAGGAGGAAAACTTTTCTAATTGGGGAGTATGGGAATCATGTTTCAGGGAGGGTTTAGGGGTTTCAGTGGCTTTGGGTCTTCGGGGTTTGGAGAAAAGAGGAAAGCTTTTGTCAACTAAAGTGGACGAATTTTCTTGTTCCTCTCCTCCTTGCTCCATCATGAATTTACTGTTTGGAGAACGAGAAACCCTGAGGAGGAAAGAAAGAGAACGAGAAATTATTATTCAAATTTGCAACACTTAAACAAACAAGATAATGCTCCAATGGGCTTATGCGTCCGACCCGGTCAGCCCAGTTCGACTTGGGTTACATTTGAGTCCATAATTCCAATTTGTATGTCCGCCTAAACTTTATTAAATTCTAAGATATAAAATATATAAATATTAATTATACTAATATTTTTAAATTATTATATTCTAATATGATCATAATAAAGTATGTTGTAACGTTTAAGAAAAAATTAAAAAAATTTCAAAATTAACCCCTCAATGTTTACTAGAATGGTGAATTTGGGTCCTATTCTTTTTTTGGAGCATTTTGATTGTGATGTTTTATTTTAGGGCAAAAAGACCCATAACATTTGATAAAATAGTTACTTTTGCTCTTATCGTTTTTCTTGGAGCATTTTAGCCCTTGATGTTTCATTTTAGGGTAAAAAATATCATATTTTGAAGCATTAATCATTTACTAACTATTAGTTTTCATCTATAGTGGGACCTTTTGAAACATACTTAACCCCCGCATTCGTACCCAAATACAAGTTAAGAATGACACTATTTTTATATAACATTTCTTACTTGAAGTTGATAAAAATTTTGTTTCTTTTAAAATTTCTAATTTAACATTTATTATTAAACTATTTAATCACATAAAATCATAATGAAATATTTAATTTTCAATTCACATTCGGTTTTAGGCAATTTAATATTATTTCATAACACAATTAAAAATACCCAATTTAAAATCAATCTATTAATCTTTCTGATTTAATACTACTCATACACAATTACTTAGTCACTTACCATATTTTCTCTTCTCTTTATTACGTTTTCTTATATTATATTACTTTACGATTTTAGGACAACTCTTATCATATACTTTTATATCATCATATATATAATTTTTGTAATATCTATAATTAAATTTATTGAAACATCTCATCTGTAGTTGTTGTCTACCGCCACACGACTACCCACAGATAACAACTATTATTATAGTTCCATTTCATCTACAGAAAATTCGTATTGTGCACATAAATTTTCTCACTATACACGAAGTATCATAATGCACTGATGTATTACAATTCACACTAAGTTTTCACTTAATGAGGCATTCAAATTAGTTAATAAAATATTTTTATAACATTATGTAACAAACATATATTTTAGTATAAAATATCGTATAAAAACTTAATATAACATTTTAATTAATGAATGAGATTTATCCAAATCATCCGAGTAATTTGTAATTCAAATTTTCATATATAAATCATTCAATGTTAAATCGAACTTTACATATAAAATTTTACTGTAAAGCATAATAATCAAACCAGTAATATACTTTTTTCCTGTACCGTTCCTTTTCTTGTATTGTATCTTTTACTATATATCTTTTATTATATTATATCTTTTACTATAATAATATTTCTTTTAATTTCATTTAATAGCCCAATGTATAATCATGGGAATACATGTTACTCAAATTAGTCATGAGTATTCAGTACGATATGCAGTGTAATTGCCTATAACTGTATGTCACATTAGTATCTTGTATGCAACATAGTTGCTAGTAACGATATGGCACATTTAGTGCCCACTATACAATATAAACTGACAGTAACAGTATGGCACATTCAATGCCCAATACGCAATATTAGCTACCACTAACGGTATGGTACATTCTGTGCCCATTATGCAGAATAAGATGCCAGTAATACTATGGCACATAAAGTGTCAATATCAGTGAACATACAAGTACTGTAGAACATAACATCAATATACCAATAATCAGATATGGTACCTCACAAACGTCAAAATATCATGAGACCCATAATGTACATATAGTGCCAGTAATCAATAAGTACTTCACCTCACGTACCACAATCTCTCAAGTCTTATACACTGGGTTTTTATTAAATTTTATATCATTTTTCATATAAAACGTTTATAGGAAAATTATCACATTCATATAATGTTTCATTCATATATTAGTATATTCAACTAACATAGTAATTTTATATTCGTACAAATATATTTAAAATGTCATTAATATATATTTAATATTGATTTCTTTCACCAAATTTTAGCATTATCAAATTAATCATCCGAGTTCCTTAAATAATTAGTTCTCACAACAATTTACTTAGTTTTTCAACATTTCACACTTAGCTATGAATAAATGTTTCTTTTAAATATAACCTAACATTTTGAAAATGTCCAAAATAATTCCTTAATATTCAAATTAAATCCATATCAATCATCATAATCAACCACTTTTACATTATTTTCAATCTAATGCATTATCTTTACATAATTATCATTTTATCTCCAATTTTCCTAAAACTTTTGAATTGGACCTCTATCTTATACACTTTTCACATTAATCCAAATTCAATAATTTATTATTCAATTATAAATTTTAGCATAATACACTAACTTTCTAACCTTTGCATATTAATCCTCCAACTTCAAGTGATTGCAAAAAAGTTCTTAATAACTTAACCGAATTCTAATTTTTCTTTACATGTCCTTCTAATACTCTTTTATCATTATAATTTACTTAAACTTAACATATTATGTTATACCCAATTTCTATTTTAATCCAAAATTTCTCCATATTTATAAGTTAATCATTAAACTTTTACATATATCCAAAATCAGTCCCAATAAACATTAGTATCACTATTCTATTATTTAAACTTTAAGTGCTTTAATATTCATATTTATTTAGTTACTTTCAAACTCACAATTTATGAAATTTATATCTTAGTCCCTTAACTTTAATAAACTTACAACATCAACCCAAAAATCAACATCCCAACATTAAATCAACATTTTAATATTCAATTCTAATATGCTGCTTAAAATTCTAAACAATTACACAATTGCTAGTTAAATTCTCATCATTTTTCCATTATTATGATTTAGCCCTTATACTCTTAAAATCTTCCAAATTCGATTCACCATAGGATAAATTCTTCTAGAATTCATCTCAACTTTTCTATTTTATTCAAGATGGTCATTTTTATCATTTAATCCCAAATTCAAGCATCATAAGACAACTTAAAACATTCCAACAATGTATTCAAATTCTACTCATCAACTTTCTGCCAAATTCCATTTCAAACCCACTACTTATATAAATTTGCAATTCAATCCTCAATCTTAATAATCTTACAAATTAACTTTAATTCAAGCTTTAATTAACATAACCAAAAATTCCAATGTTTAATTCAAACATAATACCTCAGTAACTAAACATTTTTTACTTAGTTCTTATCTCTTCCATATTTACAATTTAGTCCTCAAACTTTACCAACTTTCTAAACTTTACCCCAGATTATTTTTTACGTTATGCAAAAAAAAAAAAAACTAAAAAAAAACTAATGTTATGTTTAAACTTTGAATTTAATATTATATTTTATAACATTTTGTATTCTTTGATCATGCTTATTTTGGAATCCCTGATAGTTATGGTTATTCTCTGGATTATTTTATTTTATTTTTACAATTTTCAAATATTTTTATAAAAAAGTATTTTAAAATAATTTATAATTCTGCAATATCCACCTTCAAAAAATGATAGAGTAAAAAATAAAAGTTAACGAATCCAGTTCCATATTATTCATTATCGTTCTTCATTCTAAAATCCAAAGCAAATATTGATTTTCCTTTTTCTTATGAGCAAGTGGGGTATTTTATATCTAAATCTTTGACCACTCGGTACTATACTGAAAGTTAACAAAAAGTCGAGAAGATGAGATAACGCCCGACCACGAACGCACCGCCTCTAGAATCGTAGGCAAGCGTGCGGTGAGATTGGTCGGCAGCGGCACCACCGCCTTTGGATAACGACTAAAATTTTAATTTGCCGACCTATTGCAAGAGATCAAATTGACTTTGTTCCTGTCCATACAAAAAGATATTTATATATATATATATATATATATACACACGCACGTAGGCCGATTTCATGATAACTTCCCTTTCATTTTCCTTTCGGATTCTTTATTCCAAGACACTGAATGGCGCAAACCTCAAGATCCTTCGTTGTGTGTAAATGGCGAAAGGTATGTACGTAAAACTAACTAACTCGTTCCTTTCATTTTCTTTCCATTTTCTACTTCATTTTGCTTTGTTTTCATGCATGCAACGGTTTTTAGATATTAAAACAAGACCGGTTTGAGAGATTTCATGCATTCTCATTTAATTTAACACGTAGGACCGTAATAAATTTTATGTTAGGAAATGATTTTTTAAAACTTTTAAGAGATAGATACAAATTGTTAATAGAAAATTAAAATAAAATATTTAAAATATATGATAGTTTAAAATTCTTAAAGGGACAATTGTTGTCAGCTCTCTCGATCCATCTGTGTGCGTGATACTTATTAAGTAATCTAAGTGTACTGAAGTCATATTATTAAAATTTTAGAAATGGAGGTATAAAATTACAATATTATTTTATTTTAAAGAAAACATACAAATTAGCTTAATACTTTCGTCCTGACGTGTATTATATATAGAAGTTAAAAAACTAATAGAAGTTATAACCCCAAGTTAATGAGTAGTTGACTAACGTGGACTGTTTAATTACGCGGGAACCGAAGAGAAAGAATTCAGCAAGGTATCTGAGGAAGAGATTCAAAAGGTTGAAGGTAGACATGAAAGAGATGAGCAAAGAGCAGGAAAGCGTCAAAGAAGTGCAGAGGCAAGTGGAGGCAAACCTCGGAGCAATCCAGGAAGAATGCGATAAGCTCCGAGACGAAACCGCTCAAATTATCCGACAATCTGCCCATACTCAGACTCGTCTCGCTCTCGTGTTCAACATCCTAAAGGCACGAGAACAGGGCGATCTCGCCCAGGCTGCCCAATTAACTCGGTCACTTCGGTAAACCCTAATCCTTTCCATTTTTTTCTTTTTCCATCTTCAATTGGTAGCTTTTGCCTTGTCACAAACGATTGATTTCTCCTCCTTGATCTTTTTTTAGTGAAACATTTGGCGGAGATGAAGCAACAATGAAGCAGCTGTAGTCCAAAGATCAAATCCGAATTTTCTTTATCCAAGTTGATGATGTGTATAATTTCTCGATGTTATTTCCATGATTATAATATTTTCTTATTGATGTATTATTGCAAATATTACATATACTTGAAGGCCAAGTTCAAGTATCATTTAATATACTTTAGTTTTCTTATTGGTGCAATGCAGATTGGTTGTATTCATTGAAAAATATAATATTAAATTATTTTGTGCAAATATTTATTTTATAAATTATATATTAAATTTCATTTTTAGAAATTTAGAAGTATATTTTCAATGAACAAAGGTGCATGTTTCAATCATAAAATCATAGTTTTATACTTTCATAAAGATTTTATAATATTATATCATATAATCAGAATAGTTGAATGATGAACAAAATAAACCATTTTATAGATTATATTAAAGAAAATGAAAAGTTTATATTACACATTAATGAAATATCAAACGTAAAAGATATGATTTTTTTATTTATTTGAGTAAATATAAGGTAATATATATTGAAAGATAACTTTAAACCATTTGATTTTGAATGCTCGAATATGAAATCACAAGGAATAACAACAATTCATTTACCATTGAAGTCGCTTGATTTGTACATAAGAGATATGATGTTACATATTCTTTTAAATATATTTATTTTTTAAAAAAAATATTTAATAAAATATTTAATATCATCTAAATATTGTTTATAAAATTATTTTTCACTGATAGTTTTTCAAATAATAATCTATATATACAAATTGCTTTCAATAAACTCTCAAGTTTAGAAACCCTTCAAAACACAACAAAAACAGGCCTCTCTTTATCTGTTTCTCTTTAGCTATGGTTCGATCCCCTTTTGCTCAACAGACTTGGCACTCGAGCCCACTCTGCTTCATGATGGTGTCGGAAGGCGACCATTGCTGGCTCTCCATTCCGTAATTCATCAATTCAGTGTCAGTTTTGAAGGTCACTCCTCTACTTGGACGCTCGTCTTGATGCTTCATTTTGATTTAGTTTCTGGCCATGGAAGACCTCGCAATAACCGTACTTTTTCTCTAACCCTAATTTCCTCTTATTCCGTCTTTACTTTGCTAAATTACCTTGTTTTTTTTAATTATGCATATGTTATTACAATTTAGCCATGTTGAAGCGCCGTTTGATATTAATCATTGAAATATATAACCGCATTTATTTTTCTTGGATTTGTTATGTGTACTTGTTCGTTTGGTTGCCGATAAAGTAAGGTTAGTTTCAAACTTTTTGTTTTTCTCCCCTTTGATTTTTGGTTAGGAAGCCAATAGAATCTACTTTGAAAAGCTGAATATAACTAAACAGTTGTTACTGCTAATTGAGTTTGGTAAACAGAGCTTGATTTATAATTCCTTTTATTCGAATCAAATTCTTGAATGAGAAAAATTAAAAGGCTTCAGATTGATAGTTTGTTTACCTCATGGTTCATGAAGTCTAATTTCTTATAAACATATGCGAGAATTAATGATACGAATTATTAATTTCTATCACCACTTCATATTCGTTCTGTTAAAATGAGTTTTCTATTTTAGTTAATTCTTTACATGATAATGATTTTTCTGGACATATTTTTGGGTTTATCCATTGTTTATTTTGAGTAATATATATTGCTTTGATAACGATAGTCATTTATGTTGTGCGTTTGGGTGACAATTTAGTACTAGTAAGCTGTGGAAAGGGCAATGAAAGACCTGAAAATTACTTGGAGGATGAGTCTGAGTGAGAAATGATGATAATAACAGTGATAGATGAGAATGAGAATCGAGGTGAACTTAACGAGTGCAATGGTAAAACCCTGTCAGCTTTTGAGGTAAGTCTTTTTCCCATTCTCAAAGATTTACAGTACTGTCGGTGTCCGGTTCCAGAATTTTGCTACTAAATTCTGAATTTGAGCTACATTTTCATTACCACTGTATATATGCGTTATATTCAACCAATATGTTAGGACCTGAATTCCTATCCATCTAAAGTAATTGATCAAATAAATTGAATTTAGTTCTCTATTCTTTATTCGGTAGCCATTTCTTATTCTTATTCTTTTCTTTTAACTTTTGCATCCATTTTCAAAATTTGAATCTCAATCTATGTTTTGTTGCTTCAGTTGCTAAGGGATATCTGTTTTGGCTCTTTCATATCAATTTTATTGGTTAGAACTCTCAGTTTTAAAGAAGCAGACTGTTTTGAGTAATAACGGTACTAAGTTTGCTTACATATCAAGTTCTTATTGCTTTAGTTTTTTTTATGCTTTGTTACTCTGACTTGTCCATTTTGGCACTATACTCGTGTCAACACAAGTCGACACTAACTTGGGTTTGGGATCTGTGTTGATTTCCTGGGACACGGCCTCTTTTTACTGAATGGAGAAGAACAGTTCAAAAAAAGTAGATTAAAGGAGGCAAGCAAAATGGTATCAGCAAGAAACAGATGGATCAAAGAAACTGAAGAATTAGGCCTAGGCTTGAAGAGTATGGCCCAAAATATATATCATTGTTTAGTTTATAAAGCCAGTTAAGTTACTTAAATTTGATTACAACTAATAAATAATTTTAATAAATAAAATGTTTTAAAAAGAATTTTTTTCCTAAAAATCATAAAAAGATTGTATTATATTTTACTTAAAATATTTAATATGTAAAACGAACCCTTGCAACCGTATCCTTCTCTAGGATCCCTTGGTTTAAAATCCTCGTGTCTTAAGTTAAAGGCGGATGATGAGTCAAACGTTTAGGTACATATCAGCACCTGACACTGTTATTCGAGCAACATAGCTTTGATAAGCCAAAGTATCACATAAATACAACTATTCAAATGTAAAAGGTAATTTAAAATTTAAAAAAAATGCTAGCTAGTATGGTTTAATGTTTTTGATGTATATGCTCTTGGGCAAAAAGAAGATAAATGTTGCATGTCGGCTAACGACATGGAAATGAGAAGTTATTGGCATCATTCCATTTGTAGCTTAAATATAAATCTCAACAGTTGCTTTTGGTTTGCTAAATCATGTGTTTAAACATAGATGACAACATGAATAGTTGTGGTTTTAGTTGTTTTACTTTACTTTTGGCCTTGACTAATATAGTTGCGATCTTAATCCACAACTTTGTTGTGTACACAGTCTATACTGAAGAACATGATGCGTAAGGTGACAAATTGGGCTTGACTTTTGGGGTTGTGGTTGTGGATTACGATGGGTTGTAGTCACAACAAAAGCAGTTCAGGCTGCAACTTTTGTTGTTACCTAATATGCATAGATCTCTTCCACCGAGTAAAGTGTGGGTTTGAGAATCCTAAACTTATAGCATAATGATTTGGTTAAACACAATTCTAAACTTGTTGGGGGCTTCTATGTTGCTTTTTTGGAATTGTTTTTGGAGGTTGGCACTTGGGCCTAAGTTGCTATTGAAATTAAGCTATTTTTGAGATTTTCTGAATCCAAATATCCATTGCCTTGCATGTGATTTAGCTACTATTTATCCTGTTGAGGTTTTTCCATATTTGAAGTTTTCTAGATCGTTGAAACGTAGATTGGTCTTCTGTCTGCGGCATTTGATTATCTGTTTTATAGTTCTGACTTAGATTATGTGCTGAATTGGGAATAGTTTGATAGGGTCATATTGTCGCGCAGGTTGCATTTATGATGTATATGTGAAAACCATCTCATTGAACATTCAACTAATCCATTTGGTATAGTTTCTGGTGTAGTTGTTAGAGACCTAGTTGAAAATTTGTTCTTTATCTACATATTTGAATGTGAATGTGAGGAATTTCTTGATTACTTAAAACTGAATTCTTCTCGCTCTCTCTTTTATGTTTGCCTTTGTTATTTTATAGTTTACATTGTGTATCATCTCTACAAATATGGACTGTTGTTGGTTCCTTCCATTGTATGGTGTGTTGCCCTTGCTTTGTTTTCTTTATTCCCTTAGTTTGTTCTTACTCTAATAGTTTTGATTTGGTCCCTCCCCAATCCCCTTGCCACTTGTATGTATAAAAAAAGTTTTGATTTGGTAATTCATCACATTTTATTTTGTTAATAATTTTGACATATTACAACTGGTTAATGTAATATTTAACCTTAAGGTAGCTTTATTCTATAGTCATTTTCTCAGAAAATTCCAAGATAATTCGTCTCAATTATTTTGCAAAATAAATCTATTTGATATCCTTTCGCTCTCAATCTTCGCTGTAAAGGAGCAATCAATAAAACTTAGGGTTACATTTGGTCCAATGTCCTATTTGAACTGAGAATTTTGACGCAATTATATAGTTAAATTTTAATTTGGATTCAAACCATTAACATCCTTACATTTTACCATTCAATGCTTATCTATAACGTATAAAAATTTTCTAAAAAGAGAAACTCAAGAAATAAAGGGAAATAATTAAATTTATGAGTATGCACAATGAATCGAATTCAAAATTTTCAAGGGTATAGGTACATCAAACTAAAATTTATATGCAAAACTTAGTAGGCAAGTAATCGAAACCCTAATGTCAAAGGATAAAATAATAGGTAAAAAGAAAGAAAAATATTTAAAAGTACAACCAGTAGCTTGGTTGTGGAATCAACCAGCGTACGACAAGAGGAAAAGTAAAACTGGGCAAGTGGGGATTAGAATAAAAGGCAAGGCGATCGAGAACGAACGATCTCGGCAGCAAAGGGGCGAATACTTATGGTGTATCGCACGAATTTTGGTGGAAGTCGGTTGCTTTCCGTGTTCGAAATGTGTACAGAAACCATTATAGTAGTGATGGCCTACAAATTGTGGACATTAAATAGGATTGACCCCAACATGTGTCAAATAATACGAACTTATCAATTACATTATTGCTGGATTTGATCTGTGTACACGTCAATTTTTTTGAATAATGTGTTACAAAAATAAAATTTAATCATATAGAGGATATTGGAAATTATTTTTCCAAGTAGGGTACCTGTTACCAAGACGGACACATGATTTTATATTAGGAGAGGTGAATTTGAACTTATAAAATTTCAGGCGGCGAACTTGAACTTATAAAATTTTAGGTGAGCAAGAACAAGTTTTCAATAGAAAATACATTGAAAAAATTTAAAATATATGATAATTTTAAATTTTTGGAGGGCGACCGTCTCCACCAAAGTTCATCCCTATCTGTTACGATGTTTATTGGAAATCATCAGAAAAATACTATAATTTATAGAAGGCATCTAGAGTACATGATGTTTTCTTCATATTTCATATATACACGATAGCACAGATAATTAAGTGGTGCTACAGATTTTTAAGTAATGTTAGGGTTTGAATCCTGACGTTTGCAAATGGAGTAAACTGAGTTGGGAGAGTTGTCTCTCGCCTTGTAGTATTTGATCTAAATCAGTCGATCAATAGATCGAATACCATTGATAAATTTAAAAAATACTAATATATGTAATTTTATATATCGCCAGTGAATTAAAACAATAACAAATCATCATTAAAAGTTTTAAATAAAATTTATTTACATCCATTACCAACAATGTGTTATAAATTTTTTTAATAGTTGAGAGTGATTACAAAGTAGTATTTGTTTATAATCTTATTTAGTCATTGATACACACATATTTTATAACAGTCTTAATCACTTAGGGCACTCAATGAGTTCATGATGTATTATAATTTTTTTTTGAATAGTTTGAGGTGGTTATAAGGGTAGTATTTGTTCATAATTTTTTTTAACTATTGACAACACACATACATCATGTAAACACAACTTCTCGAAGTCATAACATCAAGAAAGAATAAAATTTTCTTTAATCACTAAGACCGTTCGATGATTTATAGTGACATAATTTTAAATATGAAAATATGTCATCATTTAATTCGGGGTATATAAAGTATTAACCTTATATATAGGAGACTTCCCCCTCTTTATATATTTGCATATGGCGAGTGCTATTTGAGAATAGAAAGACCAAGACTTTGGCAAAGATAAAAAAGAAGAATATGAGAATGACTTTCTCTTCCCATACTCATTTGCATCCTCCGGCAGCCATCAAGAAGAGATGCCACCTATCTCGGATAAAGCTCAAGGTTTGTTTCTATTCTACTATTAATTGTTACTATGTTAATGTTAATCAATCAACAAACAAACGAATGCGTTAACCAATAATTAGTCGGTTTAATGAAATAAAATATTGAATCTTCTAAATAAAATCAGAAGTTCGAATTATAACGTTTATGAATAGAATAAACTAAGTTAGGATGATCGTCTCTATAATAAGCATCTATAAAACTTAATCTAAAATAGTCTATTGATAAATCGAATATTGATAACTAAATCATAAAAAATAATTTTTTATTAATTTGGGGTAAGTACAAGACAATATTTTTTCATAAATAATTCTCCACCATTTGAGATTAAAAGCGCATACTCTTGACATTTCTAATGCACGGACTCGGGATCTCAAGGATTAACAGAAATTCATTTACCACTAAAGTGGTTTGGCTCGGACTAAAGACAAACGAATAAAACCATTAAATGGGTTCAAAAAAATTCTTTAGAAAATTATAAATTTAAATTCCTATCATCTTTACTTTTAATCTCACTTATATGTTAAGGTGGATATTGGATTTACATTCTAGAGGCTTATTATTATTTTCATTAAAAATACACAAACTAGATTTGAAATTTATAATGTATTATAATTTTATTAGTTTTAAATTTTATTGTATAATGCATGCAAGATGAGTTTAGACAAAATTTTATTATTATATTAATTTATAATTTTAAGATTAAATTATAATTTTATTATTAAAAAAAGACTCTTGTTTGTCCTTTTAACACTGACATGAATGAATAAAAATTCAGGATGATTTAGGGGTGGGTGGGTGTATTCCTCCTTTTAAAAATTATAAATTATTATTTATTTAAAATTTTTAATATATTTTCTATTGATAATTTTTTTTATAATTTTATAGATTTGATCCTAAAATTTAGAAATTCACTCATAATATAAAATTACGTGTCCGTCCTTATATAGAATAACTATTTTAAAATTGAGTTTACCTTTAATTTATGTAAAAGTTGAATTAGGAGAGTTGATATTTTATTGTTTGAATTAGGGAGTTAATATAAATAAAAGTTCCTAACAAAATTAGGTTAAGCCGAGTAGTCATAGGAAATTTTCAAGCGTTGATCGGTATTATTCGCTTATCTCTAATATTTTCTTATTGGATTAAATTTCCTTAAAATTTCTAATTTTTTATTATAAAATATTAGGATATAGTACACAAACGATCCCCGGATATATGACTCTTTAAAGAATGGTTGTCGATTTTGAGTGAATTTTGTAGGAAATCAATTTAATGAGAAAAAAGAAGAGTGAAATGTGAATGTTTTGATATTGGTCTTGCTGTAAATAACAACTAGTGATCAATGAGATTGACTGCCAATGACAGTCGGAAAATTTTAATATTTACAATTAAACCTTTTTAGAGTTTAGTTGTGAAATCGAACACTCCTAAAGTTTAGTGCCTAAAACACCATCGTTTTGGGCATCAATATTCGCACTAAAAACTACGTCATTTTGTCTACATCATCACAGTGATGTAAAGATCCTTCCACGTCACCGTCCTATTAAAATTTAACAACAAAAATGATATAATTGAAGCTAAAATCAAAGTTCAGTGCTATAATTGAAACAATTTGAAAGTTTAATAGTATAAACAATACAATTTATAAAGTTCAGTAGTGTGTATATATATATATATGGATTAGGATCCACTTACACTATGTAAAACCAATAAGTTTTACGCCGATTTATAGCCATTAGATTTAAATAAATAAATAATTTAGATTTAATTAAAATTTATAACTCATAAATAAATATCTTTTAAATCATAGTAAAACAATAGCTTTTTTTACCCTAACCTCAAACCCTATACCCCAAAATCCTAATCCATAACCTCAAACTCTAAAGCCTCAAAAATTTTGAAACCAATCCCTAACCATAAAGCATAAACCCTAAACCCTAAATCCTAAATCTTAAACCCTAAACCCTAATCCTAAAAAGAAAATTATTGTTTTATCATTAGTTAAAGAAATATTTGTTTATGGGTTATAAATTTTAATTAAATCTAATAGCTATAAATTAGTGTAAAACTTTTAGTTTTACATAGTGTAAAACTCATTGTTTTTTTCCAGTGAATATCTTCTCATTTTTTACCGTTAATCCCAACCTTTGTTTTCCTCTCATCAAACGATCTTAAAAAATGTAAAAAAAATTAGTTTTACATTAACTATATAATTTGATTCTAACCCATATATACAGAAATAGGTGAGTTCTTATGAATGATTTTTTTAAAATAACATTAGGTATTTGAATCAAATTCAATAATAACTCCAGTGCGATAGATGAGATATTATAATAATAATAATAATTATTATAACAAATAATAATCCTTTCAATTTTAATATTAATTAAAAAATTAAATTGTTAATAAATCAAATAACCATGCATCATACAAAATGTTTGTGTTTGGCTTACAGGGGAAGCTGGCAACGAAAGAGATGAGGAGGAGAGCTGTGGAATTGAAGGGGGAGATGGAAGAGATAAGTGAAGAGCAAATGGTGATAAAAGAAGAACAAAGACAAGTTGGAGAGAAACTGGAAGCCATAGAAGAAGAATGCCAGAAACTGAGGAAGGAAACTAATGTGATCATTCAGCGGAGCGCTCAAACTCAACTTCGTCTAGCTCTCATGTTTCAAATTCTCAAGGCCAGACAACAAAATGACTTCACCAAGGCTGCTCACCTCACCCTCTTGCTTCGGTCAGCTCCATCCTCCCTATACCTAAAAGTTCAAATTTCCATTCGGTACTAAATCTCGTAAATAAGGTTAGAGGTTCAAAATTTTCTATTGTGAACGAAGCAGATTCGGTCAGGAAAGTCGCCCTAATAAACAGACACTTACAATACTCAATCTGAATTAGTCGATCACCGGATCGAATACCACTGAAATAGTTAAAGGACTTTAGTAATTAACGTGGTCATTATGAATTTTTTAAAAACAAAAGTAACATTGACACCTGAAAACCCTAAAACTATAAATTTGAATATCAATATTTTATAATTAAAATTTGTTTTAATTTAAATCTTATAGATTTGAGGTCCATTTAATTGATCGAATGTTTATATTATCTCAATTTTCTTGATATTTACCTTAAAAATATAATACCGCTATTTAAAAAAAATCATAATTTAAAGTTATTACTGCGATAAATAGCCAAGAAAGTTGAAGAACAAAAGAACGACATGGAGATTAAGTGAGTGAAAAATTTTAATCTCCTTTTTGTTATGGTTTTTACAGTGGGATGATATCAACTTCGGCCGTCAAGCATTGAGTGATAAAATTCTCTGCCTATTGCAATCAAATTATGTGTAATCTATATGCTTTCAGTTGTTCTACTTCTTAAATTTGGCTATGTTCATCTTCAAGACATTGTAATTCAATTTGATCTGGTTTGTGATGTACTTAAAAGTTGAGTATAAGTCAAATATAAATTACCCTTTGAATCAATATGGGATGATTGCATAGGATGTCCTAAAACTATGGCTTCTATTTTAAATTAGTCTTTAAACTTTAAAATATTCGATATCAATCCTCAAGCTACGACTTCATTCTAAAGTAGTCCATAAACTCTAAACATTCTATTATCAGTCCCCAAACTGCAACACTTGTTAAAAAATTAATATGTTTTTGAAGGTAATGGGAATTGAACCTACGATGTTCTAAAGAAATTCACAAGACGTTCAAGCACATATTATTTTTTTAGAAAGTCACAGGTTCAATTCTCATAACTTTAGAAGGTCACATTGTTCAATTCCTAGGACCTTCAAAACCTAGTAGAGTTAATGACAAGTTAAAGAAAGGCCAAAATGGAATGGTGTTGATAGTTTGATGACATATGTATAACTTCTAAAGCTGAGATACCAATTTAGAATGAGATCCATAGTTTAGGGATTGTTATAGTATTATAAAATTTAGGGACTAATTTAGAATAAAGATCATAATATGAGGACCTCATGTGCAATTAACTCAATACATACAAGAGTAGATTTTTTTTATTCATCACGTTTCTACATGTTTTCTAAGTTTTTTTTACTGAAAGTAAATTTTATTTATATTTGTTAAATATGATTTTTATTTTAAAAATAAAAAAAAAATTTTGAATAAACGAAATCAATATGACTATTTTATAAAATTGAAAGTTTTAGATAATCAAAATTGCAATTTTTTTAATAAAATGATAAATAGGTCACTCAATTAATAGATTGTTTTGTATATATTACTATATCATTTATAAATGAAACATTAGAAAGTGCTGGTAAGAAATATTTTTTAATATTTTATTAGTAAAATTATGAATGAATCACCCAATCATTGCTAAGACTATAAATGTATCATCCAATTTTAAAAATTCACAAAAGAATCACTTTTTTTTAAATCACTCAATTAATCCTAATGGTAAAAAAGTTACCATCAATGAGAAAAACATATCACAAAAATAAGACAATGTAACAATAAATGATATAAATCAAGATTCAATAAGTTCGATAATTTTGAGTGGTTTCTTGGTTTTTGAAAGAGATTCTCAAGAATCTAATTAAATTACGTGAACAAGGAGATGGAGGTGGACCTTGTAATGAAATTTAATTTTCATTGGTCACAGTCTAATACGACAATGTGATATGATTTTAACAATTAATTAGTTGGGTAACTCGATTGTTACAATCAATTAATTAACTCTCTTTCTTTTTAATTCTTTAAAATCTAAAACTTTTAAGGAATGTAATTTTAAGTGTCCGAAAATCATTGATATTTAACGATATGATAATATGTTTTTAACGATCAATTAATCGACTTATTCACAACTTTTTAATACTAAACGGTCTATTTATGATCTTATTAATAATTGATTGCCATGTAATAAACTTTTGCATAAAACTTGGGGTAAATTACACTAGATTCAATCAAATTTTAGGTTATGTATCGTTTAAACAGTAAGTTTTCAGTATTCTCAATTATACCATTGAGTCTTTAAATCGTTAACAGCCAGATCAAAACGGTATCGTTTTGGTGAGGTGTTTATGTCAATTGTCATCAGTCACGTCGATAGCGGTCAGCCATGTCATCATGATGTTAACAATTCAATGATATAATTGAAACAAAAAAAAGTTCAGTACTATATTTAATAAAACTGAAGTTTACTGATATAATCGATATAACGCCTAATGTTCGGTGGTATCTAATATGGTTTACCCTAACAATTGTCCCCTTTGCGGGTGTGGAACCAATAACCGTTTCTCCACGGTTCATATTAAATTCCAAAAAGAAACCCCCGCCCCCCCCCCCCCACCAAAACTTATAAATGATTGATTTTCGGACGACTATACCTAAAAAAATTAAAAATAAAATCGGACGACTCGCACTGGGGCCTGGGATGGTTGACTTTACAATCTGAACAATGAACTCGATGAAAGAAAAAAGAAATCTCTAAAAAATAATGCGTACGAGCAACTTGGACGGCATCGGACGATTAAAGTAAGCGGCAGGTTTTCGAACGATGAAGTGAAGAAGAAAGAAGGAATTAAGAGAGTTGAAGGTTGGGTTATAAGAATCAGATGATAAGTCTCTAAACATCACTGGCCTTTGTAGTTTCAGCTAAAGCAGGAAAGGAAGATTCCGTCCAGCTCTAGTTCTATTTTCTCCCACTCAAGTAAGAATCAGATAATGTTGAGCAGTTCTTTTCAGAAATCCGGTTGAATTCAATACTTGTTTCCTTGTTTTTCTTCTTCTGCTAGTTAAATATATATAGGTGTACCGCAAGATGTTTAGTGGTTATTCATCAAGTCGGAACTGGTCCATGGAGGGTTATTCATCGGATGGATCCACTCCATTGGTGCGAGATACACCACAATTTACTTTCGATAGGAGCTCGTTCATAGATGATTCTGAATTGATTGGTTTGATTGACTCTGAGTTAGTCATTGACACTAATGAGATCTCTGGGCCTGCTATTAATGGTGGACCAATGGAGTCTCCAAATTACCAGTTTAATCAAGTTGAAACGTCTGAAGCTTCGTTTCAAACAGAAGCAGGATGGGGCAAATCTAAGCTTACTCCAACACAAAGAGAAAACAAAAGAAAATGTGATGTCAACTACAGACAAAAGCTAAAGGTATAGAAAGTTTTTCTTCTCATTTATCCTACGTAATAAATCCTAAATTGATTGTGGTTTCATATTCAAATCAAGTATCGTATTATCCTGGATGCTTAAAATGGTATCAAAGACCAAGTCCTGTGCTATTTTGTGAGTATCATATTGTCTGGTAGGCTTCTTTGTTTTCCCCTTCCAGTTAAACCGTGAATTGCTTGTGGTTTGATATTAAAGTTGGATTACTTGCTGATTGGTTCTTCAGGAAAAGATGGGCATTTCTTCTGGGACTTGTACCTGGTTGCAGTAAGGTGTGTTTTTCTTGGATGTTATAGCTGAAAAATTACCTTTAAAATAACACCTAACAGTAATTTTGAACAGCTAGTTATGCTTAGTTTGTAAGGGTTTTATTGTGTTCCTGCAGGTTAAACGCAAGGAAACAATGCTAGATGAAATCATTAACTATGTATTGTCACTTCAGCGACTGGTTGAGATATTCAAGCTTAATTCAGCGACTGAAATGGTGCTTTTATTAAAATGCTCTGTTAAATGCACTAAATATAAAATCTTCAGTTTTATATTCAAATGTGTATTTCTATCTATTAGCAATACTATCTGTTGAAGAATCGGGAAAAGTAAACGAAAGAACACAAGAATTTTAACGAGGTTCGGCAATGTGCTTACGTCCTCGGTGCCTAGGCGGAGCTAGAAATTTTATTCAATGTCTCATAGGTTTAGGCTCCATCCCCTGTCCTCTTTACTGGTATATTTATGAGCCATACCTATCACTATCATATACTATCTTGGATACTTAAAATGGTACCAAAAGTCCACAAGTCCTGTGCTGGTTTGTTTTTCTTCCATATTGCTCTTGCTTGATATCTCTTTCTTGTTTGTTGCATGATAAGATCCTTTGTTATCCCATTTCAGTTGAATCAAGAATTTCTTGTGGTTTGATATTAAAGTTGGATTACTTGCAGGAAAAGGCAAGTGAACAGATAGTTGAGAATAAACACTTGAAAGAGGAAAACAAGCGATTAAACGCTGAGAATACAGCTCTAAAAGTGCAAATAGGACTGCTGCCTTCCAGTGGCAAGCATCCTGAGCATCAAAGTGTTTCATTCCAGGTAGCAACTCTGAGCTTCTAAAGTTTTTTAAGAACCTGAGTATTAAGTCATTATTTTGCAATTCGGTTCTTTTTCATGGCTGGCATTCATCACTAATGTTTATTATAAGTGACCTCAATAGCATTTGTTACATTATAAATTGGATGCATAAAACATACATTTAACCATTAAAACCAGTAATTCTTAACATATCTGTTTTTTGTAATTTGCAGGATCATCATGAATCTAACTCTGAAGATGTTGGCAAGGTATGGTATATTATTATACATCTTTACGGGTCTAATGGGTTTGAACTTTAACTGAAATTCATCTCATACATTATAACTATTAAAATCAATCAGTGTTGCTTATTTGCTTTTTTTCATTTGCAGGATCACCATGGAACTATTTCTGAAGCTGTTGACCAGGATCACGCCGAGAATACAGCACTAAAAGAGCAAATAGGATTGCTGCCTTCCAGTGACAAGAAGCTTGAGCATCAAAGTGTTTCTCTCCAGGTAGCAACTCCGAGCTTCCAAAGTTTTTTAAGAACTACAATAGAAGTCATTATTTAGCAGTTCGGTTATTTTTCATGGCTGACATTCATCACTAATATTTATTATAAGTAGGCTTAAATGGACCATTGCCTCTAAAGTAAACACTTTATACCGAATTGCTCTTAAAGTAGTTTTTTGTCTCAAAGTTTAAATTGTTACCTTATTTGTCTCCAACTGCTAACTTTGTTTTAAAAAACAAGGGTAAAATACATATTTAATCACATAACTAATTTTGCAATTCTGTTTTGGTCACCTATTTTTTTTTCAAAATCAGCCCTAAACTTAAGCTTTTATTCCATTTTGATAATCTAGTTCGATTCGATTTACTTTTTAAATTTGTAATATATAAGAATTCGTTTATATCACATATTTTTACAGTGACTTTTTGTTTAGCTGACAGGCATGGGTAGAGCTCGATGCAAAGCAAATTTGAAGAGAGGGCCTTGGTCTCCTGAAGAAGACGCCGCTCTCAAAAGCTATGTTCAGACCCATGGCACTGGTGGTAACTGGATCGCTGTGCCCCTTAAAGCTGGTACCCAAATCAACCCTCTTTTGTCCCTTAAAAACTAGGATTACTGAGAATCCTGCCAGCTTCTTGGTTGTTTTGTCATGATCTTTGTTCATAATACCAAGTTTCATGATTTTTGGTTCTTCTTTTTAGGCCTAAAGAGATGTGGCAAGAGTTGCCGGTTGCGATGGCTGAATTATCTCAGACCAGGCATTAAACATGGAGGGTTTACCGAGGAGGAAGACGACATTATATGCACTCTATATACTCAAATGGGAAGCAGGCAAGTTGTTGTGTTGTCTATGTTTTTTTCCCGGATATTCACTAAAAAAAACCCAACTTGTGATTGCTTTTAGGTGGTCTCTCATTGCATCTCAACTCCCTGGAAGAACCGACAACGATGTGAAAACCTACTGGAACACCAAGTTGAAGAAGAAGCTACTTGCCGGGAAATCGACAAGCTCTAATATCGACAACACTTTCACCAGTGCTGCTGTTTCATTGCCGATTGTATCTGATGTTGGCTATGGACTCGCTGTCACCAGTACCTCTCAAAGCTTGCCTTTAGACCCGGTCATGCACTTTTCTCAGCCGTCAGGTCCGAATCTGGACAACAGTCACAACAACATCGTTGTTGCCTCATCCCGAGAAGGATCCGCCGGGTCGGATTTTGCTGGTGATGGCTATGTTGAAGATAAGGGAAGTGTTCTGGTCGATGTTCATCATCATCAACAACAACAGTTTAGCAATGAGTTCATCAATGGCGGCGAGATTGGTGTTCCGAGTTTAGCAGATTTCTCTCATGCTGACATAAAGGTTACTCGAGGACTGAATCAAAGCGTTGTTAACCGATATTGAACGTGAACAAAAACTTAAACTTCATGGGAACCAAATTGGAATAAAAACTTGAGTTTATTGATAATTTTGAAAAAGAAAATAGTTGTGTGACCAAAACAGAACCGTGAAAATATTGAGTGACTAAATATGTAGTTTACTCTTGTTTAAATTTAGGGAAAGAAAACGTCCTGATAAATGCTTTAGGGAAACTTGGTACAAAATGCATAGTTTTGGAGGTAATGGTGCATTTAAGCCTCATAAGTAACCTCAAAAACTTTTGTTGCATTATAAATTGGATGCATAAAGCATACATTTTAACCATTGAAATCAGTCATTCTTAACATATTTATTTTTCGTAATTTGCAGGATCATCATGGATCTAACTCTGAAGCTGTTGACAAGGTATGGTATATTATTCTACATCGTTACGAGTCTACTGGTTTGAAATATATAATGCTTTAATTGCAATTCATCTCATACAATATAACCATTAAAATAAATCAGTGTTGCCTATTTACTTTTTGTCATTTGCAGGATCACCATGGAGCTAACTCTGAAGCTGTTGACAAGGTATGGCATATTGTTCTGCATCTTTATATTGGATTTAGAATATCTAATGCTTCAGCTGGAATTCATCTTTGGACTTCAATTGGATTAAACCATATTACGTCTTTTATAAAGCTTGTAAATATCGAATCTTTATTGCTTTTCCTCACAATTTGATCCTCTCAGCCCAGCAGTTTGGAAATGAATGAGTTACAAAGAAGCCTACCATACAACCAACATGAAAGAGATGTCAAGCAAGAGTAATAATGAAGAGAAAACAAAATATCATAGGGTTTGGACTTTGATAGCATTTTAAGCATCCAAGATAATTTGATTCTCACTTTGAATATAAAACCACAATCAGTTTAGGATTTATTACCTAGGATAAGTGAGAAGAAAATTTAAACTTTCTTTACCTTTAGGTTTTGTCTGTAGTCTACATCACATTTTCTTTTATTTTCTCTTTGTGCTGGAGTAAGTTTAGATTTACAGCATCCTGCTTCTGTTTGAAATGAAGCTTCGGATGTTTCGGCTTGATTAAACTGGTAATTTGGAGAATCCAATCAGTCCACCATTTATAGTAGGCCCAAAGATCTCATTAGTGTCATTGACCAACTCAGAGTCATCCATGAATGAGCTCCTATCGAGGTTGAACGGATTAGTTTTGAATGGGAATTGTGATTTATCTCGCATCAATGAAGGGGATCCATCTGATGAATAACCCCCCATGGACCAGTTTCGATTTGATGAATAACCACTAAACATCTTGCAGTACTGCTATATATATATTTAACTAGCAGAAGAAGAAAAAATAGAAGAAACAAATCTAGTGTTGCAGCTGGAATTCATATTTACAAGTTTAATGTCAGGAGGTGTCTTTTTACCGAATATGAACCCATTGTTACCATTAAAATCAATCACTGTTACCTATTTGTTCTTTTTAATTTGCAGGATCACCATGGAACTTGTTCTGAAGCTGTTGACAAGGTATGGCATATTGTTCTGCATCTTTTATATAGGATTTGAAATATCTAATGCTTCATCTGGAATTCATCCTTGGACTTCAATTGGATTAAACCATATTAAGTTTTTTATAAAGCTTGTAAACATCGAATCTCGATTTGCTTTTCCTCCCGATTTGATTGTGTCAGCTCAGCAGTTTGGAAATGAATGAGTTACGAAATATGCAGGAAATGGTTCTAGCAAATCCAACAAGTTTAATGTCAGAAGGTGTCTTTTCACCGAATGCGACTCCATCGCAGTTGGAAACCGTTTCAGCTTCTAAGTTCCCAGGCTTTACTAGTGTTGGCTTGATGCAAGGATCAGAAGACATTTTAGAAGTCAATGGGGTGAAATCAGCAGCTGATGTGGAGGCTCAGTTGAATGCCACTGAAGCTCCTAGAGATGCTTGTTTGCAAGTTCAAGAAATCTCACTCAACAAAAGAAAAAGAAATGTGCAGGTAACGAAATGATTTTCCATTACATACTTGTTTTTGTTCGTAGTCTAAGGTTTGATTGCTAAGATTATAGCAATTAGCAGGATGCTGAGATTGAAGGCCAACCACTGAACAAGGCAAGAAAGGACAGTACTGTTGAAAATCAAGAGAAGGGAGAAGAAGAAAGCATCCATATCATAGCCCAAATAGGCCAGACAAAAACCAGTCACAGTTACGATGTAAGATTTTAAATCCTATACTTTTGAAATTCAGCAATGTTTAGATCATTTGATTGGGGTTAACTGGTTATGACCGCAGGTAAGAATAGAAACCATCAAAGAAAAGAAGAGAACTCTTCAAGGACTTGTACCTGGGTGTAGCAAGGTGTGTTTTTTCTGGATGTTATTGCTTATAGGTTACGGTTAAACTAATAATTAGAACAACAAGTGTTGCTTATTTTGTGAGGGTCTTATTGGTTCTTGCAGCTTACAGGCGCAGAAGCTCTAGATGAAATCATTAACTATATACAATCACTTCAGCTACAGGTCGAGGTATTCTAGCTTCATTCAACAACTGAAATGGCGCACTTCAATCTTATCAAAATGATAATATCTTATATTATTATTATGATTTGGCAGTTCCTATCGATGAAACTCTCTGCATTCCATCCCATATCAAATGGTGATGCGGCCATTACATCAAATGGCGACGCAGCCGTTACTGACTTTCTCTTGAAGCTTGAAGCTGATGATGAGAGTAAAGTGAAATTGTCAGACTTTGTTGGCTTAGATGGTGAGCGCATACTAATAGGCAAATATAGGTTCCCACTCTCTCTACATCCTATCATAAAGAACATCATTGATGCCTATGGTGATGTTTCTGCAACAAGTAAAATGAATCCGACTATTGTCGAGGCGATCTACATCATGTTTTGTGCTTCCATCAAAGAGATGAGTGATCTACGGCTAGAGAAAGTTACCGAGGGCCTGATATTGAAGTGGAGGGATGTAATCAAGGATGCTCTATGCATGAATTTCAAGGTGGATTTTGCCATGGAACATTTGAAGAAAATTGCTAGCGCATACATTGGCTTAATGGAGCATTCTAAGATACTCAAGTTAGAGGCTCAGTTGAGTGCTATGAAAGAAGAGCATTCTAAGATATTAGAGAGGTCAAAGGTATTCATGGATGCTGCAGAAGATTTTAATGATAAGCCTGTCAGCTCGGGAATGTTTCTTTGCGCAAGGGGTGTTAAACAAACTCTTGAACGCACAAGCAACTCGAGTTCGACTTAAGAAGAGGATTCAGCTAACTCATTAATTTATTATTATTTATCTCCTCATTAATAGTTCACATGCCATTTTAATTTTAGTTATTTTATTTTACCATCTTATTAAAATAATTTTTTCCCCATTTGAAGCCCGTAAATGAGCTGGCAAGTCGAATGGTTTCATCTGTTATTTGGAAGCTCCAGTTCCTTGAAAGCTCGCAGATTTCCGCAAGGGATTGCAATCGCTGAACACTGAAACCGGTTCAAGATTTCAGATTTGGGTTATTTACAGTTGAATTAAAACCTATCATGTACAATGAAAATTAAAAAATCATAATTTTTTTTTAAAAAACCCCATAAAAACATTATTTTCAAAATGTATGTTTTGAACTTATATTTTATAAAATTATAATGCTTAATTTATTATTAAAAATTAAAATTCAAAAAATAGAAAAATAAAAAAAATGAGTTTTTTAAAAAGAAGTTTTAGATTTTTTAGACATTTTGATTTTTATTTGGTATCTTTATGATTTTATTTATTTATTTTAAGAAAATGTATTGTTTTTCCATTATGCATAATGTGTTCTGATTGTGCCACATCATTTTTTAATAGTAATGGAAATAGATAAATTGATAAAGGGAGGAAAATTGAATATATATATATATATAAAAGAGCCAAATTAAGAATTAAAATAAAAAAGAAAGAAAATTAGCTATTAATCCTTTTTTACTATTGTTAGCGATTCTATTTTTATATGTTTTTATGTGTTGAAAATAGAAAAACTCCAATTTTCTATCAAAAATTAAAAATAGAGAAAAGAAAACAAATTTATCGATTAAAAATAGAAATGGATTGCAAAAGCAGAAAAATGATTCAAATCATGGAAGTAGATGGTCCATAGCCATTTTATATGTTCCAAAGTAACTACTTGTCAACTTTTCTTCTAAATTTTACAGTCAAGTTCAATAAAATGAAAAGTCTGGCATTTTTTGTTTACAGGGAACTGGACTTGGAATTGCAAAGAAATGGTGATATTATTAGCAGCATGCACGATGATATTCTCGGCCATGTCATATCGTTTCTCCCTTTCGAATCAGCAAACCGGTTTCCTTTCGACTCGATGGAAAGATGTACGGAAGAGAAACTTTCCGGAACGAAAAGGAACCATAGACCAATCTTTTGCTGCAATTTCAAGCTTCCTATCGGACCAGCAAAGAACAATTAATCGGGGGTTCATTTTCAATTTAAGAAACTTAGTTTCATCGCGGTAACTGGTGAGCCTGATAAAGCACTTCACCTTGATTTCTCCAACGTGAAGCATGAGTTTCCATGGCTTTTTTATTGGTCCCTGGTTTATCATGCACCATCGCCATTGTCAGTTAAGGTGAAAACCCTTCATCTCAAATCAGTTTCTTTCACTTTCAGTGGGGCAGTTTCTTTCACTTTCAGTGGGGCAGTTTCTTCCATAATGACCAAGTTCAAGTTTCTTGAGAGTTTGACGATAGAAAATTGCCATGGCTTACGCTCATTAAAAATACACGCCAGGCCTAATTCGAGGTTCAAAAAACTTGATGCCTACTTCCTGCAATCGCTTCGATTCCAAGGCAAATTTCCGTCGTTTCAACGAGGTTGTGTTATTAGCTCACCTTGGTTCTGGCCTTTGTTTGATCATGAGATTTACCCGGTGGATGTCATGCTTGATTTCAGCCAAGGCTCTTGCTGTAGTAAGCTTGGAAGTTGCCGATTCCCGTCATTCTTCATTGGCTCCGAAGATATAGAATCTCTCACGCTTAGCTGCTGGTGTTTTAAGGTATGCTTCCGCTGCCTATAATATGTCTGTTTTAGGGTAAATGATTCCAATTCTTATGCCTTTGGTTTTGTCTCTGAATTTAGCCACTCGTCTATCCTAGGCTACGAGTACCGCCCTTTTGCTGGGCCTTTAGATTCCGCCTGATAGAGCTTTGGTGGATTGATTATGCAAAGGACAGATTCAACAGTGATGGCTTATTCTCCTTTTTGAACTTCTGCCCTCGACTTATCAGACTTTATATCACTGTAAGCTTCTTCTTCTTCATTTCATATTTCAATCCATATATAGAGTTGCAGATATATTAGAAGATCTAACTATTCCGAATGAAATCGGTCCTTATAGATTGACCCTAAAAGCCACAGAAGGAGAAACAGGGTGAGTAACTATTCGGTGGGAGTGGCAAGTGTTTCAAGATTAGAAGATCTGGAGGTAGTGAAATTTGAAGGATTTCCTAATGAGAAGCAAGAGATTATGTTGGCAAACAGGTTGAAACAAGAATTCAATGTGGAACCGCTAATCATAACAAACTCAAATTATTTGAATTGTGGGAGACTTATGGTAAAAGCACCTGCTGTTAATGAGCAAGGGGAGGAGGATTCATACAAGTATATTGAGGTGAGAGTTGAAGATTTGTATGGTTTATGCCCTAAACATCTTCACATGTGCATCTAATTATAGCTGCAAAGATTTTGGCTTTGTGCTAAATTTATTCTCTAAATCCAAAGAAAAACATGGGTGCTGTTGACACAGGTTGTTCTTGTTCATGCCCAAAGCTAATGTTGAAAAACTAGGCCTCAAATTTGAGAGCAACTAGCAAGATCAAGATAGTGAAAATCTCATGGATCATGCAAATATAGGTGTTCTTATTCATGCCCAATGCAATATAGGTGGTAAATCAATCGAACTCTAATGAATAAGGTTGTGCTTTCGTTTGTTTGTTTATGTTTGAAAGCATTCATGTTAAGTTCGTGTTTGTTGAAATTTTTAATATCATGTTCATATTCAATTATTTATTTTTGAAAGTGTTCGTGTTCGTTTAAATTTTAAAAATCACCTTCATATTCATATATTTATTTTTGAAGTTGTTTGTGGTCGTTTAAATTTTTAATATCATGTCCATATTTATTTATTTATTTTTGAAGTTATTCGTGTTCGTTTATTTATTATTAGTGAACATGTCCGTTTAGCGTTCACAAACATATTCATTTATCGTTCGTTTTATAGGTTCAAATTTTAGTTTTTATCTTTTCATTTGCATGCTACATAAAAAATAGTAAAATTATGTCACTAGTGCTTAAACTCCTTAAGATTCACAATTTTAAACTCTAAACTTTATCATGTATTCAATTTAGTCATTATTTTCACCAATATTTAAAATTTAAAAAAATAAAAGAAAAATGAGAACCGGATAAGTGAGCTTGTTTATGAATATAAATGAACGAGTCGATAAATAAGCTTATAAACGAGCTTATTCGTGAACATAATCGAACCATATACACCTCTATTCGTCTTTGTTCATTTATTAAAAAAAATAAAAAATTTATTCATACTTATATATTTAGCTTAATAAATAAACATAAACGAATGATAAGTTCATTTACACCCCTATTAGCAATCATCTTTTATCAGCTCATATGTTCAATGTTGAAGTATATATATATATATATATATATATATATATATATATATATATATATATATATATATTAGTAAATTACATAGATGGTCTCCTTTATTTTTGGTTCGAGTCCTTTAAGTTAACAGTCCATTTAATTTTGGTTCATCGGCCGTTTACTCCTGTTAATCACAAACATAAGTGTGACTTGACATTTAAAAAAAATAAAAGAAAATCCACATAATGACTGGCTGTAATATAGAAGAGGAAGAAGAAAAGCTCGAGATACTTCCATGAAGGATTGATAGAGATAATGTGGCTGCAGCAGATAAGGTTGGAGCAACTCATGATTATATAGCTTGTGGCTTCCAGTTTTTGTTTCATCCGGCTGCATTTTCAGTTGTTACGACCCCCTCGCTTGCAAATTGAAGTTGGAGGAAAACGTATTTCCTTGCCCTCAACCTTGATTATAAAGAGCATTCCTTTGTTGATTCTATGGTGCTATCGATTCTCTGTAAAAACAGACGACGAGAATTCAAAATCAGATGCGGCACTAGAGAGTAAAATAATGGTAAATTCTTTCAGGTTTTGGTACCTGTGAGCACGAGTGAGTTTGGCTTCCTTATCGTACTCTTGGTTTTCTCTTGCGTTGAAGATTTGGAACATTAGAGCAAGGCGGATTTGGGTGTTCACTCTCTGTTGCTTCATTTGGTTAATCTCCTCCCGGAGTTGGTGGCATTGAGATTCGAGGGCTTGGAATTTTTCTCTTACGTGCCTTTGCCCCTCCCTGATCTCCTTTTGTTCGTCTGCCATGTCCGATTTAGCTTTCTAATGCATCCATCTAGTTTTTTCAACCTTCTTTGCTGGAACAATACAAGGGTTCCGTTGCTTCTTATATGCTCACTCTCTCTTGATCATAATAAGCAATCAATGGAGATTTGTATCTTGGTGAATTGCGTTAAACCTCCTTCCAAGGAGATAATGAATTGATTATTAAACCTTCATGAAAACATGCAAATTCCATCTTTCTCTCTTAATCAATCACGTGGATTAGTATGAGGAATGGGGTTGAATTCTGCACACAAATTCATGAAAAAGAAGATGTGTAAACAAGACAACTGCAACTTCGATTCTCATAGATCTCTTTATATACAACTTTGAAGTCTATTCCGAGTCTTCTTTTTTCTTCTTTTTTTTTCTTCTAGTTTTCATTTTTGTTACAGTGTATGCTTCTAAAGATGAGACTTATTCGCTTATTGCTGCTTATTCTATTCAATTTGAACTATTTTTTTCCGACGCTCTACCCTTTTTCTGGGTTATTCCTGTAGGTATCTTGAAACAGTTAAATCGATCACCGATGGAATTGGATTTTCAATAACCGAATTAACTAAAAATATTTCTTTAATCACTAACTGATCCGGTTTTTTTTTTAAATATTATCGAATCGATTTTTTTTTAAAATATTAACCTAATCCAACAAAGTTCGATTAACTCGGCCAGTGATCATATTAATTTAATTTTTATAGGTCTTAAATTTTAATGGTTTGAGTTTAAAATATGTATTTAATATATTTAATATTTTTAATTAATTAATCAATTTCGAATTGAGTTAACAGTTAATCAAATATTAAAAATATTAAATACGAAAAAAATCCGAGAATGAAGGGGAAAAAACCCTAAATTTTATTCTCTTTTTTAGGGTTTATGTTGTTGAAACGAAAGGGGAGATTCTTTTTTAAGATTCCAATGGTCCAATGCATTAAACTTTTCGTTTCCTCTTCATTTTTTTTATTCTCGTTATCGATTTTCCTTATTAAAGAGTAAAAAAAATATTTTTTTATATTTTAAAATTTTTAAATTAATTGCATTTAATTTTTTAAATCTTTTTTTAAATATTAAATTAAAATAAATAAATATATAGTATATAATTATCAAGCTGGAAGAAGTAGACAAGCTCAGGGACCACTACTACTAGCTCTATCATGCCAGAAACAGCACATAAACTTATCCGTTGAAATATCAAATCACGAACAAAAACCAAACATCAAATAACAACAATTATTACGACACAAAAAGTTTAATCAGATAAGCTCATGGATGAAGATAACATATCATAATTAATCAGATTATTCAAACGGAATTTTATTTTTTTTATGCTTTTAATGTATTATTTTTCATTAATTAATACAAAATAAGTCAATTAAGTAATTCGACTATTAAAAGTTACAAAATGATATTTTAACTATAGAATGTTGTTTTATTAAGTCCATTGACTATTAAAAGTTACAAATTGATCACCAAACTATTCATTATATTCTATAGTCATCCTTTTTCATTAAAGAATTGACGGTTGTCTACGCTGAATATTAACATGGTGACTTAGATATGATAGTCGTTTGTGATTCCGGGATCAAATTTTTTCATATCATAGTCAACAGGTTAACGCTCAGCTCAGAATACCATCAATTTTTAACGAAAAATGACGAGTTTGGTACATAATGAATAGCCGAGTGATCATTTTGTAACTTTTAATAGTCGAAAAACTTAATAAAACAACACCTTATAGTCAATGAATCATTTTTATAATTTTCCTTTTTTGGTTTATTTAATTTATTTTTTAAACCGTTTAAAATAATTATAATACAATATTTATTCATAATATCTCTTAATTATTGATAACACAAATAACTATTCAAATCTTGAACCTGTAACGAAAACGGTGATAAAAAGTCGCTAAATGAGCCATCACCATAATCGAAGTCGCTAATTGAGCAAGGTGATAAAAAGTCAGAGAAGCCGAACTATTGGAAGCCCAAAATCAAATCCAAGTGCAATGAAAGTGGAGACAAATCATTGGATAATATTTTTTAATGGAAAATAACGGTATTACAAAAAATCTAATTAAAAATATTATTGTAAAAATCTGGATAATATTTTTTTATCGATAACATTCAATAATATTTTTATAGATAACATTATGGTAATTTTGATTTTTTTTAAATTAAAAATATTATTATATTTATAAAAAAAACCTAATTTCTTTTAAATTTTAAAAAAATCAAATTCATAAAAATCTTAAATCCTAACCCTAATAAGCCGTTGTCTTTTTCGGTCATGACCACTGCCGTCGACTTAACCTCTGTCATCCTCCTAGTCATATGCTATCATATTTTCCACCGATTAACCGTTAGATTCATTGGGGATCGTGATTTTTATCCTAATGTTCGTGTACAAAACGTCAATTTACCGTCAATCAGTCACGATTTCATAGGGATATTGATCATCGGGTAGGTGAGATCACTTGGAGCTTTGTCGACGGCAAAAGGTGACGGCCGGCTTGAGTTTAAAGGTTGAAATGAATGTCTTCAAAATTTTGGGTTTCGAAGTTTGTGTGTGTGTGTGTGTT